TGAGTATTGTTTCTGTTTTCTTAAACTATAATGGTTCACACCATTCGAGTTTAGAGCGTTATTTAAGAGGCGGTGTGTCTACTAATGAGAGTGAAAAGAGCCAATCATTTCTTACGACAAACACACACACTCAAATTGATCGGTCTATGTAATCGATGACAAAATTAACGCGCTACACTCAATTGAAATATAAAATGTCTATACTAATTACGGTTGCAGTTTTCAACCAGAATATAATGGCAGTTACAACAATCAATTTCGCCTGCAGCTGAAAAATGTGAAATTGAAAATTATGCATTATCGATGTGGAAGAAATACAGATTCACCTTGAGACATGGTGTGATATGATCATTAATTTGGATTCCCGCATCAACACACACACACACACAAATGTTGCCCGAATTAAAAACGGGTCAAAACCAGAATTTAATGACGCACCAACGAAGAAGATGATGCACTTTTGTCGCATCCATTACGCTAAGGTCAAGCAACTGTTTATCTGGGTTTTGGTCATGAAATCAACAACTCTCTCTCTTTCTCTCTCTCTCTCTCTTTTATCTCACACGCAATCAATATACAAGAGAGATCGGTAGCATTTCAACTTTGTGTTTATATTTTTTTTTAATTGGAATGTTGTAAATTACAATTTAATTCAATTTGGTTCGGCATTTCATGTTATTTTGCATTAACTTTTTCTGTCCGTTTTTCTTGGCCGTTTGGTATTTGTCGTCTTTCTTTTGCGGCATCGTTTTTGTTGTTGTTGTTGTTGTTGTGTTGCCTTTCTTCATCGTATTTACACCGTAATTTGACTTTTATCGGAATAGATATAATTAAACTCGATCACATGAATTTTACTTACAATGTTCGATGCTTTCTTATCGAACTGTGACTTTGAGAGAAAATGAAATCATCAAACGTGTTTTTTTTATGCTGGTGCTCTATCTCACCCATCGATTATTTATTGAAGCCGATTTGGTGCATAGAAAGCTAAGGCATAAATAATATACGAACGACCAAGCAAAATGTTACAATTGGCGCACAAGCAATTGCTCAATGTGATCGACGGCGACGATCGACGGGTACATTTTCTATATTTAGCCACCTGTATGTTGTGAATTTCAAATGACTGTAATGAGTTTTTATTTTATGCTCAAATCGAGAACCGATTGGCAGTTCATTTGTGCTGAGACCGTAAAATGGACAATTTCGATTCCAATTCATTTTTATTTACATTTCTAAGCATATGTGCACATTTATGCATTCCGTTTGGCACTTGGCAATATTTTCGCATAATAATTTCTATTTATAAATGATTGCAAAAAAAGGCGCTAATAATTAACAAGATTTCAAACGAGAGAAATACTGATTTTTTCCGCTGCAAGTAAATTCATTAAAAACTAATTCACACCTTGACAGAACCGGAATACTCTTGCAATGAAAAATGTATCGAACAAATATTGTTATGGTTTCTTATCTTATCCACTGTTTTGCTCAGTTTTCGTTCATTTTTCAAACTTATTACGACTTCGCAAAGAAGTTTGTTGTTATTTTTTTTTTTTGCTTTGCTTTTTATTTGTGTTCGTTTCGTTCATTGTCGGCTCCATTTGAATTGTACTGAAAACGAATTTGCGCGCGAATAAATGAAATAAAAAAAAAACCATTATTTGTGGGCTCCTATTTGTTTTGTTTCACACAATTTGTTTTTCATATTTTCACTTCAGCTCCAAATGATAGAAAAATCGACAAATAATTTCAGTTTCTATACAATTATCATTGCTTGCATTTCTCGCGCTCATTTGCTCACTCACACTTTTGTCCGCACAATTCGATTTATGTTCCATTGTTAATTGTTGAAACAATGAGAAAAATAATCATCCGTTTTACACCAATTCGAGCACATTCAAGCAAAGCACGTATAATTGCGTGCACATTGCAATGATTATCTTTGGAGCGAGCGTGCGTTCGTTCGCCTATATTTACTTGAGGTGTGAACCACATTAAATGGTTATTAATTTATTTACTTGTGAAATGTCACAATCGCTATACATGTGATCGTATTCGTTATCTGTGTACGGTTTATTTGTTTTGGCTTTCTCAATTTGGCCCCAAACAGATAAAATGTGTTGATAAAAAAAAACTCAGATTTAAAATATTCGCCGTAATGTCCAATCGGTTTTGTGTGTCATTGCGCGTTTAAATTCCATATGAATTCTTGCAGCTTGGACAAAAAGCCATTCATTGTTCTCAAAAGCGATAGGTTTGGCCACATACCTACATACATGTTTTTTCTCTCGAACGATCGGAATTTATGGGTAACGTATTTCGAAATACAAAATATGAGTCAACTCTCGGTTTGAATACAGATTATCTAGAAACCAGAACAACATTTTCACTCAAATGCACGAATTCAATGCATTTTCGATTTCTCGATTCACAGAAAAATCTACCATAACTCAATACCTCGAAAATATTTTATGGCTTTGAAATTCAATCGCTTTTATTTTCCTGATTACATGGCCAATGCAAGAAACTGATGAAAATGAAAAGAGAAAAATTGCATCTGCTCAAAACAATTGAGATAGATAGAAATCATCATCGTTTGCATTGATGTTGCAGTCAAAACAAACGAAGAATATACATATTTTTGGCGTCAGTTTCGTTGTTATTGCATCTCCTTAAAACAAAAAGAAGTAATAATTTGTTTTCGCCCGTGGTCGAGATTGAAGGAAAATAAAGTCGTCGAATGAGAGTGATAGAGAGAGAGAGAGATCGAGTGAAAGAAAAAAAAAATCAACTGATCTGAGCCGATTGAATTTGCTCGTTGCAAACGTATGATTATAGAAGCGCCATTTTCACATGTGTTTGTTATTTATTATGCACAAAGAGTGCGAGCCTTCGCAAAACATTCACTTCGGATGCATTGAAAACAAATCACTGTTGTTTAAAATTGTACATTCAGTACATTTCAGAATGATGGATGATTTGAGTTCTTTGTCTGTATGCACATGAAAAGCGCCAGATTTGAAGAAAAAAAATGTTACTATATTGCCAATGGTGACTTTTTGGGTTGTAACCCGTATGTCATATCTCATACACTCACACACGTTATGCAATCGATATGTGTTCACAGAGTGAACTGAAACAATGAAAGCGACCAGTATCGCCAGTACAAAAAGTGATGGTGAAAACCGACAATTGTCGAATTGAGATGACTGCTATGTATGGTTGAAATGAAGCGACTGGCCGTCACAACAGTTCGCCAAATCTACCGGGAGAATCTAACAAAAAAAAGTTATGATGTAAATCTCAATTGGTTTTGCAATTATACATGCGATTCAACAATTTATTTACTTGCATTGGCCGTTCTTTGTCTGTGCTTCTCCTCTCCTCCTCCAAAACAAGCGACGAGAATTACATCCAATTCACAAAACGAAATATCAAAATCAATGCGATCAACTGTACACATCGGAAAATTGAAAAATTGCTTATAGGCGTTGCACGATCTGCATTTCGTCTGTTATTCAAGTTGTAAATCACTGCAGTTGCATTTACACAGTTCATATCAACATCACTGACGATGGACTTGTATATATCACAAAAAAAAAATTGTAAACGCTTGTGTCGCTGCTGCTTCTTAACGTCGTGCAGCAATCACGATGCATTGTGAAGATTGAAGTGCACGGTTTTCAAAATCGAAAATAGCCCCGTCCAGTGCAAACGAGCAAGTAAACAGTGTGCGATCATCATTACAAGTATATTTCTATCAAGTGAAGAGAGAAGAAGTCGAAGAGAGAGAGAGAGATAGATTCTATTGAAATCAGTTAATTTATAGTCGGCTTAGAGATGCTGCAAACACGTTTCACTTTAAAACAGCCGAACGAATGAGATGCATTCAAAATTGAAAATGTGTTAAATGTATTCATGAAAACGATGAACGCAGAACAAACAGACAATCCGATTAAATGGGAATTTAGAATGAAATTAAAATTGTATAGAAAAGTCCGATATCATTTTTATTGAAGCGAATGAAATGATGATTTTATACTTTAATGCTTCATCATGAATCTCGCGGTTTATATAGTTTATTATTATTTATGCCGTGTATGTGTGTTTGGTGCATAAATGCGTGCGCGGATCGCTAGTGGGCAATAATCATAGATGTACCATGCATGCATATCATATGCACGTCAATTTTTCTGTCTCTCTCGCCCCTCTCTATCTCTTTCCATTTACAATAAATTCGATGCGCAGGTTAATGGATTGGAAACCTGTTGGTATTTATAACGATCTCCATTATCCCAAGCATTGGATTTGATTTTCTGTTCTGTTTCGTTCGCATCCAAGATGCATTGACTAATTCTTTTTTTTCCAATTTTCCCTCTTATTTACTATCACGCCGAGAGAGATGTTAATCTCATTTTATTGATTGCTTAACATTGATAAAATCCTCTTATAGTATGCTTTTGCCTATTTTATGTTCCATTTGATGTGTTGAACGATAACATCCGTCGATTTTATGGTGATTTGACACGTGTGATAATATCATATTTCCGGTTATTATTTACTTCTTCTGCGTTCAATTGAAATTGAAACAATGGGCGATCAACTCACGCGTTTATTTATCATAATTGTTGCGTATTGAAATTGTGATGGCCTCAAATTATCAACTTAGTTTGTAATTAGAATCGAAAGCATCCATCAATACCATTGCTGTATTTTGAGTGTAGCAACAATCATTCCGTCGGAACTCTTTAATTAACTGCAGAGAACAATCGTATAAATAGAACGAATGCATTTCGAAATGTCAACAAACCGAAGAGCGATAAACAAGAGTGGCAAGAAACAACTTTTCAACGGAAACGAATTGATTTACTAGCGTCTTATGATTGTTATGTGTGACCACTAGATAGTCACATTAGCATTAGCACTCAATCTATTTAGAATTGTAAAAATGTCTAACGTGATTTTTTTTAATTTTCTGTTTCTCCCGCACTGTGAAGCAAACAATCATCTGAAGAGGCATCCCACGCAAATCGTAAACACAGATTATAACTCCCATGGACACTTAAGTGGTCTCGAACGAAAAATTAAACATATAAATTGCGATCGAAACACTCTATTCCGCATACATCGAAGAGAGTTTAATTTGATTGGCGAGCGCACGATATACGAATGTGTATGCATAACATACACGACCGTAGACGTCAAAACATGAGAAATATTCGATCGTTCATTGAACCGCCATACGGTTGCAATTTGAGTCAATTAATGCAAATTCTACTGTGCATCGTACTCGAAATCTTTACCTATTGCTCATTGTTTGTCGTCTACGTGAAGTGTTGCTACTAACTTTGGCTCACCTTCAATAGAATTATGGCATTTGATACTTACACACACATATATGCGACGACTTCAAAACGACTTTAACAATATATTGTTTTCAATATGAAAATAAACCGAACTCAATCAATAATACACTTCAACGCGAAACAAACGACATGGAAAATGTATGGAAAAGCGTCTTTGCAAATATTAGGCACCTTTGACTCGGATTAGTGGCAAAACACAACATCAACCTAAGCGAAAAAAAAAGCACTATCACATTTCATGGAATATTTGCTTAATCCAAGCAAACCCCACACAACAAATGCCAACCAGAAATTTGCACTCAACCAGGGGCTATAAACAATCAACAGCCACTGTTTTTTTTTTGACGAATTTCATATGTCAAACCGATGCAATTTTTTTTCTGTAAAATTACTGCGCCGTATATTTAACGTCATATGCAAACGTGTGGTTGTGTTTGTGTACATCGGTTCTTTCCGATCAATCGCCGTAAGGTATCGTATGAATAAAAATCCACAATTAAAATATACAATATTCATATCGACGCTTCATTTACATTTACCGGCACATACAGATTACATATGCTTTATGATTACGCGAGAACACTGAAAAAACAATAACCATTCATTTTTAACTCTCGCGTTGCTTGTTTGTTCATTCAATTTTTGTATATTTCACAAAACACACTTCTTATACAAAAATTGCGTCCGATCGACTCGATGTAATCGCTTGATTGATAGCCCTATAGAAAAGAAAAATTGAATTTATGTACGTTTAAGAGAATGACCATTTTCAAGCCTTAAACAGGCGATTTGTTTTCCATAATTGTGCAAGTGGTTTTGCTGTCGATCTTAAATAAATAGTGTTTCATGCAAAAGACGTTTTTTAACCACATCATCAAGCACATTTCGATTCTGTATTTTTGTTTCAATTCATCACGATTTTTACAATCCGTATGCATGGGTACACACTGTGTACTACACAGCAAGAGCACTTTAGTGTGTTAAAACAATAGAAGATCGAAGATGAAATGGGTTTTTTTCGTTAAAGACGAGATGTACTTCATTCAAAGCGTTACGGGCACTCGAAATGAATTTGGTTTTTTATTAAGATACAGAGATGAAAACCACCATGAAATTGCACTTTACATACATTTTCAATTATCCGTTAATTTGTACCGTACATCTCAAACTAGCAATCTAATCTGCTTTCTATGCAAATATTTTTGGTCAATGTTTAATGGTCTTTGGTTCTATTTGCTCGTTCCATTTTAATGAAACAATTTTATTAGTACAATTTAAAAACGTTGTATATTAATAAGCCATAATTATAATTTGGAGCATGCTTGAATCAGATTCATTGGCCATTTCCCGGAGCATAAATCACTTTCCACTCGCAGATGGTTTTAATGTAAATGGTTCCGCAGATGAAATGATAAACATTGTAACATTTTGTTGTTGTTGGTGGTGTGAATGTTTTTCATTTACGTTTGCTGAATTCATGTGCGTAAAGTCGACACAAATCTCAGTACGGAAAATTGGTTGTAAAATTCAGTTTAAATCATTATCACGATGAATCTTCATTGAAAATCATATGGACATTGCCCTGTGTGAATATATCTCTAAACCAAATGTTAGTCGTACAAAATACTCTTGAATTTTTTTTTTCGTTGTTCCAATTAACTAAAACTAAATTAACAACTTTGTTTTCATGCGATGCCATTTTCATTCGACACATCGAATTGGCTACTGAAAGTTCAGATTTAAACGTCAAAAATGTTTTCTAAGTAGTTTTTTTCTTACAAAATTGTATTCTCCGTATCATCACTTTATAGTTCTACCGATGCGCAAACAGAGTAAAAAATGCTGAGTCAACGTTGAATCGAAAACAACGATACAAAAACAACACAGAATAAATAATTGGCGAGTATAAACAGAAAGTCGAAACGATCCGAAAAAAGCGGAAAATTAACGAGAAAATGAACAAATTAAAATCGATGAAGTACAAACCAGACGATGGTGTTCACAATGACTTCAGTCTATTCGATAAAATATCAAAACGTTATTCGAATGTTCGATTTTTACGGAAATCGGCAAATCGAAAAGATCCCCCAATCCAAATAACTGGAAGCTATGACATGAATGGTCGCAATTCAGACGATCACAAACTTGAAATTGGCGCACCAATTTTAATTTCGAAAACAACAATCGACACCGATTCCATCATCGATACAACACTCTTTCGGCACAGTGATTGCAGTCAATTGCAACGCAATTCAGATCAATCGGATAGTTATCATGATGCAAATAGTTCATTGGATACGCAACAATCGAGTTTTCATTCATCCGCATCGAGCAACGAAGAAAGAATCGTCGAAAGTGCATATGCCAAAATAAAACCACTGCCAATCATCGCCACCACCATTGCCACAACTGGTGAAGTTAATAACAATGGAAATTTCATTGGGAATCGTTCAAAATCAGCGACCAATTTACATAAAACCGAATTAAGCGTATATTTACAGCGTTCACCCAGCATGGAAATAACGAATCAATTCATTGAACCGGTGGTGACAGTGAAAAATAATTACAATAATGTTTACAATGGTTTTCGTATCGGATCGAAGCAAAGCATCGAAAGTGATAGTAGTTTTCATAATAGCCGTAATAGTATCACTGTTAATGGTTCGGTTATCGATGAGGAAGCGCTTGATTTTGATATGAAATCGGCATCATTTCAAAGTCTTGATGCACGTAATATATTCTTATCGATTGAAGAATTGAACGAAATCACGCGTCAGATTAACGAATCCGATGAATTTCGTTCGATGGTCGACGGTGATCATCATCAATTGGAATATCAAATTCATCGGGAAAATTTGAAGCCATGCGAACGACGCGTTACATTGTTACGAAATAGAAATCAACGATTTTTAAATATCACACCGAAACGTGATAAATTGACAAATGCATGGAGCGGCTTCAAGAATTGGATTGGCGAAGAAAAGGGGAAAATTAAGGAAGTGGTCAACAAGCATTCAGCTATGCAACGTGTTGGCGCCAATTCAAAATCCACAAATGGTGAAACCACTGCCGTCGATGGTGTAACTGTTGTAAATGGCACCGCTTTACAAATCACTCAAAATGTCACGGAAACAAATAATGAACAACACCAAAACCGATTCAATGGCGGTGACAACGAACAACACCAACAATATCGTATCAACGGATCGGAAAGCAATGATTTCAATTCATTGAATAGAAAAACTTTACATGAAATAGAGGTAATTGATGTCCGAACCATCTTCTTTTATTTGTTCCAAAAAAAATGTTAGTTTTGACCAACAAACATGCTTCATTGAATTCAATACATCAAACTAACGGTCTATTGGCTTAAGTGACTCTATTCGATACATTGTTTCGACGCAATAAGCCCCATTGGCAAATCAATCTCAAAATGATCATTATACTTACAAAAAAAAACCGCTTTGAATTACGTCCAACACACAACATTCTTATGACAACCTGTTGTTTTGTGCGGTAAAGGCAAATTGTAGGCAGTGCACGTATTCAATGGACCATCTAAAAATGTGTAAATTCCAATGTTACAAAGAAAAACAAAAAAAGAGCGTCAAGAAGACAGAGAAGAGACGCCTGCGTGCATTTTCAAATTGACAAACAGAAAAAAGAGTAATTTGTTCTTGTTATCAAGTTTTTGTGTTCACGATGCTTTTTTTTCTGTCTTCATTTCGGTTTTATTTACTTTCTTGTTTCGATCAAATTGCTTTTTTTTTTCTCTCTTCATTCAGTTTTTATTTATTCACAACTCGTCTTTCAATGAAATTGTAAAAGAAATCACTTTGTACCAGCGCTTACATAATTACAATCATGTTTTCTTTTAAACCACGTTTCACAAAGATAATTTCGTTCTTTGTGCAAATAGAATCGAGTTTTCTCAGTGATGAGCAACAATTCATAGACAAGAAAAAAAAGAAACACCTCATTTGTCTTTCATTTCATTCAAGTGTATAGCGTTAAATGAAAGCTAATGCTCATAGTGAATTCTGGTTATTGAAAAAAAAAAAAATTACCCGATGATTTTACTAAATAGTAATTTTCTTTTGTCGTTTCTTTTTCTATAATAGGGTCAAAATGGTTTCGAAGAGCTACGACGGTATGTGAAGCAAGGCAGTGACTTCGGCAAAGATTTGGTTGCGGTTCTACAAGAACGGTAAGAAACTCATACATTTCCTGATGAAATTTGAATAAAAGATAGAAAGAAAGCGATATTTAACGAGTATATCATGTCTTCTGCATAAAACAGAGTTGAATCAGAACAACTGTATGCAAAATCACTGTCGAAAATGGCATCAAAATTGAATAAAGCTTGCCGAGAGGTGCCCGGTACATTGGCGGAGGCATGGCGCAATGTCGCCGCTGAAATGGAAAGTCGAAGTGAAGTGCATCGTCAATTTTCCACCACAATGACTGAAGAAATCGTCAAACCATTGAAGCAATTACTGGATAATCAACATAAAATGAGAAAATCGGTAATTTTCAAACAATTTTATTTTCTTTTTATCGCTCTCTACATCGCTGTACGTAAAAACCATTTTGTTGACTACTGTATGATGGTTTTTTATTATTATTATTATTTGATACGTGTACAATTGTACATTTCCATTTATTTATTTATATTTTTATTCGAAAACAATTCGATGACAATAGATCGACGGTAATGTTGACAAGTCAGCACGAGTATTGGCCGAATGGCGAACGAGTGAGGCAAAAGCCAAAAAGTCATCGCATTCAGCGGCTCGTGAAAATGAAAAACTACAAGATGCAATGCTTGATGTACGAATTCAACGTTCACCATCGATAGCTCATCAAAATTCGTCCGCTGTGTCAATCATAAATAATAATACAAATAGTTTAAACAGCAATAAAGATGGTAGCACCGGTACTGGTTTGCTTGGTTTACACAAAGCGGCTACCGTCGACAAGGAAATTAAAAATGCAGAAAAAGATTGCGCAAAATTGGATAATAAACGACGCAAAGCTGAAGAATCAGTGAAACGAGCCGATGTTGAATATTATACACTTTGCATTCGTGCCGAACGTGCTCGCATCGATTGGGAAATTTCTGTCCTTCGTGGATCGACCGTTTTTCAAAGCCACGAACATCAACGATTACAAAGTTTAAAAGCCTATTTAACCACTTATCTGAAACTATCGAATGATATGAATCCAAATTTTACGGCAATTGTTGAACGGCTCACGCCACATGTTAATGCATGCAATGTGCAAAAAGATTTGTCTGTTATCAAAAATATACGGCGCGTGTCAGAGGGTCCGAGCGAACAATTATTGCCGGATTTCTATTGTGAGCACACAACACTCGCCATGAATCGCGATCGAAGAAAGCATGTAAGTACCATTTTTGATTAAATTGCTTGCCGTTTTATAAATGCGATTGTAATTTTGAATTCACAGGCATTGGTAAAACTATTGCAATTGGTCCGCACCGATTTGGATCGTGAACGCAAATCACGCAGCGGCCTCAAGGGATTATCACAATCGCTCAACTCACAAGAAAACCAAAGTGTCACCGATAAATTATATCATGTAAGTGTTGAATGATAGTTTGACGCCAAACGTCCGAGTACGTCCATTGGATATGAAAATAATATTGATTTTTTCACAAATTCTTACATTTAGATTCGATCGATGCTGACCTATTTGGAAGGTGCTCGCTTCAAATTACAATCGGCTCTGTTGGAATTGGATCATAAACCTCGTGGATCACATCCTCTAGGGCCACATATTCAAATTACACGCGATCGCACTGGCCTACAGCAAAGCATACTTAAAGTACCGCTCTGGCTAAAAAATGATGAAGAAAAACCAAATACAGATTCTGAGGCCATTAACAGTAATGATGATGACGCAGCATCAACAGTTGACAGCAAAAATGAGGTGCTTATTAAAAACTTTGATCGAAACTTTGGCCGAAGCAAATCGTCCATTGAATACCCCGTCGGAATAACAACGGGCGCTGGCACTGCTAGTACGATCATTGTTGATTCTCGTAATTTAGAGAATATAGACTTTGATCGTGGAATTGCCGATGGTGGTTCTAATCAACATGACTCTGATTTTGGTAATTAGCTTTATTCCGAACAAAAAATAAAACTATAAATTTTGAAGCAAACAATAATTGTGTCTGCATATTTGGACATTTCAGATGAATTTTCTTCACAAGATGAAGAAGATGAAATCAGTAGCCGAAATTCGGTTCAAGGAACGACGTATCGGCGACCAACACCAAATCCATCGACGCCAAAAATCATAAGCCACTGCAAAGCAATTTATGCCTACTCACCAAAATTAGACGATGAGTTGGAAATTAATCCAGGTAAATTTAACATTCTTTTAATACTTTCATTTTGCTGTTTAATAACAAAACGATATTGTTTTTCCTACCAGGTGATCTGATTGATGTTCATATTAAACAAGAAGATGGATGGTGGGTCGGTGCAATAAAAGACCGTGTTGGAATCTTTCCTGCCACTTATGTTGAAGAGCTCGTTTAATAGTGTTAACAGAAATCGCAATATTCACGAACGCCTTTCCCGTATTTCATTATCATGATGCGTTTCTTTAACTATTATTTTATTTGTTGGTCTTCCACTGTTGTAATTATATATGATTTAATTATTATTATGCAAAAGATATTGTATTATTATTACGTAAATTGTATTTAAAGGATTTATTCTCCTCATTTTTGACTAATTTATATTGTACGAATTCGATTAAACCAAAAAAGCAATAAACGATAATATTACTATCGAATTTTCAACACAATTTTAACTCGATATTTTACTGTATTAACAATTAAACTAAATGAACATGTTTTTTATGTTTAATTTAATTGTAACTTTTGCTGAATAAAAAAAGAAACAGGAAAACATAGTTTTAAAAGAAAAATAAATAACGACACTTTTATTCACAATTTATAATAAAAAAAATCCCAGCGCAATTACGATGTTAATTAGACGATTAAAGAAAATTTCGGAAAAAATTTAAAACGATATCGTTTTATTTGTAAATCCCATGATTATAATTTTGGATAATCTCAAACTTGGAGTTTGTAAAATAAGTTCCGAAATGGTTTGTAAAAATGTATTGCTAAATCCTCGCACTCACACTCAGTTTACCAGCGTTTTGTTCAATAAGAAACTCGTTGGTTTGATCAGTTGACGTATGCGGTCAAGAGTTCGAAACCATAGAAGATATGTATATTTTTTATTTCTACTCTGATTAAATATATCTCAACGTGAAAAAGGTGTTTGAAAAAAAAATATTATAAGAAAAACTAAACTCCAAACGAAAAAAATGTCAGCGCTCTAACACAGCATATTGTTTCTCTTCTCGATTAAAGAAAATTTCGGAAAAACTTTAAAACTATATGATTTTATTTGTAAATTTTCCCATGATTATAATTTTGGATACAAACAGTATGTTTTGCTCAGTGAGCGGCTGTATCAATGAATCTTGGAGGGATAATTAGTTCCGAAATAGTTTGTAAAAATGTATTCATTGAGGGCGCTCGCATTATTCATGAATTGACGCTCATTGATTTTGCTTTTGTGATAACATTAAAAAAATATATATATTATATACGCAATATAATTTCATCCAAATGTGAAAATTCATTGCAAACATGACATCTGGTCTTACTTCCGTTTCAATAAATTTTATTTTCGTAAGGAAGTATTTACACTGTTTTATAACATAAAGGACATATTTTATTTTTTTACTGGTAAAAGTAGTATAAATATAATTACTCCAAGTATTATTTATGTAAATTTTCCCACGAAAGTGCAATTAAAGAGGAAGGTTGATTTTTTGATAATATATTTTTTTTCATATAGAAAAACCTTCACATGTTGTTAAACAAAATTGCATATGTTTCGCAGAAAGAATTCTCAAAAATTGTGCGTAAAATTCAATTTTATTTTTAAAAATCTTGTTATGCTTGGATCCATAAATACGGGGTTCATTTTAAAAAGTAAGCAGATTCCTCCCGCAACAATAATTAAAAAAGTGGATAAATTGACGAGCTCGATAATGGAAAATGGGCTATTCCATTTCTACACATATATCAATGCTTATTTTAACAAACTGGTGGAAATGCCCAACGAAAGCAACAATGAAGCTATTCCCTTAACAATGGAACACATGAAACTTTCGATTTTTGTTTGGTTGGTGTGTTTGGGAATATCCTTATTTGTATTTATTTGCGAAGTTCTAACTTTTCATCTAAAGAAATCATACCATCGAATAATGATGAACCGTTTAAATGAGAGCTTAATAACTTGTGTCACTCCATATGTTTGTCTCTTTCCTTGTCATGAGAAATTGTATTTGAATTTGACAGTTAGTTTGACATTTGCCACAGGTTTTTTAGTTGTTTTTTTTTTTTTTGTGAAGTTTGTACAGTTTGGCACGATAATAACAGGATTATTTAGCACGATGAATTATTTTTATTATAATCTAGTGCATGTATATGTGTTATAGTACAATTTAGTTGATTTCACATGGAAGATAAGAGTTACAGTGAAATAATTTATTGCTTGTAATATATTTTTCGATAGAAAAATAGGATACACACTACTTGCTATTTATGTATACACTTTTGTGAGTTTTTCAATAAAGTTTTGAATTTTGGGTTTGAAAATCATACATTTTTCATTTGTCGTAATTTATCATTATGAAAAATACTCATGAATGAGAATATAAATAGCATTTGATGAGGAATGATTGAAAAATTACAAGATATTCAACAGATACGGAAATTATTACAAATATTCTTGTGCTACGTCAATTTAAGTGAGCATTTTGAAATTATAAAAGTTTCATTCTAGATTTTCTCTAATAGATTGATAAATTTCTACATACAAAATGACACATCCAAATATTCCGAAAAATAGACGTACGTAAATTGACGTTAAATGTCAGATTTGAATTTGGCGGTCCGTGTGTCAAGACTGTCTTAAGACGAACTGTCATCACTTGACACATGAATGTGTTTTTTCTTCATTTTCGAACTTTGTATAATTCACTAAACTTCGAATTTCTTGATTTTAATACATATAGACATTGGAATGCTACTATAAATGGGTGATCGCGTTGCTTGGAAGATGAAATGGTTTTGTGTACCATAAGTCACTATGCAAATTGTATCGCGGATTTGATCAATTTGGTCTTGGATAGACTCTTATCATAAGACAAACAAGTAATGCATTTGCCATTACAAATAGTTCATGTGCCGAACTAGGGAACAACTGGAGATAGCTTTCAGTTAGAGCCGACTGTAGAAGCATCCCAGTATGAACACGATATTAGCATGCGATCGTCGCAGCTATATCAAACATTAACGGGCCGTTCAACTTGAACGATTTCTTCTCAAGCCAACTATGATCACTTTTTTACCATTCATGACCGAAAATATTTAATAAGTAGTCATTCTTGTGCTTATAATGTAAAGTTGAAGGTCGGTTTTTTTTAAAATTTTAGAACATTTCCATTACGAAAGATAAATAGCCTTCACATTTTAAAATGCATATTGCATCATTTTGCAATACGTTTATGTTCAAAAAAATGTGCGTGTTCATTTAAAACAGCTTAATGTTAAGTCATTAACTATTGAATCGGTGAAAAATATCGATTCATTAATAAAATTCAGAATAAAATGGTTTTACGGGTGAAACGCTCGCGCATGTAGTAGAAATGCATTAGCAATACAAATAAAATAAAGTTGGTTCATTTGTCGTGTTAATTGGATAATATTCATACAACGACGACAGAAAGGAAAAAGTTAAAAGAAAAATAAAAAAAATGACCTGATTCCAACTAACATGCAATACTTTCAGTTTCTTGACTCATATTTACAACTTTTGTATTGTACTTGATCCGTTGACATTGAAACAATTTCGCAGATGCATACTGGATGAAATCCATAATAATCAACAACTTTTCCGGAACTTTTGTTCCACTCACCACTCAAAATTCTCCAAATATCAAACATTTCAACTAGCTTCGTACTCACAACTGTAAATTGAGATCTCATTCCAAAGGCGGCAAAAGCAAGATTTATAAAAAAAAAACCATTAATTGTGCAATGCAAGCAAAGTCCATGCTATAAACACAAAACGAACGATGTATTTCATTTGTGGCATAATATCACCAACACATTGCAAAGATTAGATGTTATTTTGCCTGCGATTGAGATGTAATAAGACGAAAAATATACACCAACAGCAGCAGCAACAAGCGCAGTAGTGTTGTTGTCTCTTTATTGCTTGCTTCAGCTGACTCAACACTGCCCACAGTGCATACCTATACATGATCAACACCATCATCGCGCGTGTGTATGCGTTTACAACTCGATGGCATTCAATAGCCGTAAACCATGTGCAGGTAAGTAGCAATAAAGAAGGAAAAAAAAGTGAAAGCGACTTCATAGTGTACAAACCGTTCGTCATTTCAATTTTATACTTGTGTGTTTTTGAGCATTCATTTTGCTTTGGTATTTTGAAGAATAACAAGAAAATTGATATTAGTATACAGAAGCACATCAAACTGTGTACACGTTTACTTATTCATCCATTTAAAACAATATAATTTAGTTCATTTGCAAGAAATTATCTATAAATAAAACGACGATAATAATCGATATGAAGTGACATCACTAATGTATTGTTAATTATTGAGACGGGCTTGCCGGCAGTGATGTGCACGCAAAACTGTGAATTCTCCGACCAGATACCGAGAAATACTTTGGTTATTAATCGTTTGTTTTTGTGTGCAATTCAATTGTTGGGTTAGTGAAAATTGCTTTTAATCTTTATATTCGTTTACATTCGGTGGTGATAACGAAAACGATTTATTTGTTTTATTAAGATTTTAATAACAAAGACGTTTAATATTTTATATTGTTTTGCATCATTTTTGCACACAACTCCGGTTTTATTACTTGCATTTGACGTTAGAAAAGACAGTACATTGAAATTGTTTCGTCATTGTCTGCATTGACTGTGTACCATATAGTTTTTCATATCGTTGATTTGTAATTGATTAAGAAAATGAATCCAGCATCAAATGAGATTGGTGCGTCGCCAATTAAATCTCCAATTGAAGTGATGAATCTCACCAAAGAACAAGAACTTATTCAAATTACAACGCAAAAAACACAAATTTTTGATCATGTTGCATCAACGGAAGTTCATAATATTTACAGTCATCTTGGCTACGGAGATTGTAAGTACAACTGCAATACATTTTACCCCAACATCTTTCTATATAATTTAATGTTTCTTTTTTATGATTTTTTTTTAAATTAAAGTATCGGATGCAATTACACAAACTATGATGTGTGCAATAGCTATCGGGTTAATATTATTGATTGTCATTTGGTGTTTATTCATTCGTCAAATACCGTACATTCTGCGACACACGCCAAGCAAATATGTGGCAAGGACATTGGTGTTGTGTGGCGTATATGCAATTGTCGGTTCGGCCGCTTTAGTGTCATTAATTTGCTTCAGAGCGTTTGTATTTTGTGATTCTGTGTGCCATTTTGCCTTTCTATTATGTGCCTATCAATACTTTGCACTGATCATCGAATATGCTGGCGGCGAAACGAATTTTATCAAAAGTATTCGGAGTACAGCTGTTTTCAACATTCGAACACCGCCGTGCTGTTGTTGCCTTCGATTCTTGTTACCATCAGCAATCACCAAGTTCGTACATGAGTTCACTTAAACTATTAATTGTTCTATTGGTGCAGTTGGTCATTAAATTGGTTAATTTTCTTGTAGGAAAAAATTTAAATATTTACGCCTAATGGTTATTCAAATGCCAATTATCCAGGGAATACTGCTGGCGCTGTTGAATGTCTTCAACTCTATCGATACCGTGAGTATACAATTTATTCATTAAACATTCATAATTCGTTGAATATTATACAACGGTTAAAGTTCATTCTAATTTTCAATTCTTAACATTTATTCATTTAATACATTTTCTATTTCGAAATAAAAAAAAAACTGTAGAGTTTGTACGAGCAAGTGCACCCATTTATGTCAATATTCATTGTTGCATCGATTATGATTGGTGTCTGGTCGCTTCAAATCAGTTCACGCATGATTGCCGCTCACCTGCCCGACCACAAAATTCTACATAAATATTTTGCGATTCAATTGGTGTTGATTTTATATAAATTGCAACCGGTAGTCATACATGTGATAGCTTATGGCATCAAATATACAACTGGTTACCGAATCAACAGCAAAATCATTGAAAATGGTAAGATAATCGCATCAGACATTTAATGATATTAACGCATATTCACACATTATTATGAATTTTTTTTTCTTCATTTCAACACAGCCATTATTCAACTAATTATTCTACTGGAAACCACTGTCTTGTCATACTTTGCGAATTGTGTGTATAGCGTGCCGACCAAAGCAAACGAAACAAATTAACGTTCTTTAGAAATATCAATCGAATGCCGAACAAATCTATGAAAGCATTGCGACAGAGAGGGAGAGAGAGAAGTGTGAGAAAAAACAATTATTTATTTTTAGATTTTTTTAGAGCTATTTACAATGGAAAATTTATTTTTAAAAAATGATTGATTTTCAATCAAATTGAGATTATTTGTTACCACTACATGACCAATTCAAATGAATACACAAACGAAATCAATTTTATCCCAAAAAAATATGAGATTCTTTCATTTTTTTAAAAAATATATTTGAATTATTTTGAATTTGATACAGTCATTTTTCCAGTCATTCAATGTTGGCAACACTGAGCCCAACAGGCAGCTGACAGTACGAGACTTTGTGAGCGAAAGAGAGAAGTGTAGTGTTGGCGGTCGCATTGCTTGACACATTGTTCGAACAGAACTGTCAAGTCGTTTAGAATCAAAACCAGCAAAAAAAAAACTATACACACGAAGATAGAAGCATAAAAAAATGGAACTGAACGACATTAGGATCGCAACGACAGTCATTACATGCCGATTGTGATAATCATTATAGTTTAGTTGTTGAAATGTGTATGTTGTGTCGTTCTGGCTGCTTTTGTTGTTTAAATCAACGTCAATTTTTCAATTCAACACATTTGGCACAGTCTGTATTTGCATTCAAGTTGTGTTGATGGGTGGTAAAGCTAAAGTGATTTTTTCGCATACAGAAATTCGAATGTGTGCTCGTGTGTTTTTTTTTTGTTTCGCCGTAATATGCTCGATCAGATAAATCTAGAGAATGGTTGTGCGTGTTACGTATTCACTCGTTTTGATCACCGATCCCGTACATGCTAGCTAAATCAATTCACACCAATCAACAATAACAATAACAATAGTGACGACAGAACATTTTTTTATTAAAAAAAAAAATACACGTACATATTGTCGATAAAGTGCATTTCATTTAGACAACTGTTATTTGATAACAATATAACGCATGTAACGAGGATTTCCGTTCTTATCAATAATTTTATGGAAATTGATTTTTGTGATGAAAAAACGAAAGTAACAAAATAAACTATGTGAATGAATAACGATAACTATTTTGCGGCAGCTAAAATAAAAGTGTTGACCTTTTTTTGTGCTCTCTATTGTATTTATTTTTTTATAATTTTTTTTTCAATTATTTGTTGAGATATATATATATATTTCGTATTTAAGTTTGATGATTTTGGTTTTAAGCAAAACCAAAAATCAATTCGTTCATTGCTCAATGATTTAAAATTGTGCTCAATCCAAATCAAACAAGTAAAATCTCAACAATTACATGACATCAAACTAACAAACAAAAGAAATTATTGCGATATCATCACTGTAGTACATTCAGAGCAACGTCCCATTCTATAATTTGTATTCGAGATAGTAACTAATGTTAAATTGGCCGTAAATATGTCGGTGCTGCGTCAAGTGTTAGGTTTAAGTGCATGGATTCGCGCTCTAGTGATTTTTGTTTTATTGTGGGGTCTTTTGGTGTTAATATTTGCATCGAAATTGAGCGGACCCAACGCATCATCATTGTCTAATGAAGACTATACAAATCATCGCCTGAATCAAGCAATTGAATTTTTAGAGGAATCGAAACGAAGAAATTCTGAACTTAAACAACTTATTGACGAATTTTTAAGGTAAAACTAACCGACTATTGTGTCCCAGTTTTTTGTTTCGCTGTTGAAATTTAATTGTGATTACAAGTATTGGCATGCAATCAATAATTTATTAAGTAGGCACCTGTCTAGGTATTTTCATTTTCTCTTGTTTTTAATTCAGAATTACGAACCCAGTTTGTATTAAACTATACTGGGAATAAGACCATTATTGAAGTTAGAAGTTCGAGATAGAATAACATTCAATCAACATTGGTGTTACGACTGACATTTTCGTGTTTTATACAATTTTTAGATTATTTCCAATATGAAAAATACAGTGGAATACCACAATTTATTTGAAGAGTAATTTGACACTCACATTGAAAAGATAATATTTCAATCGATTTGTAAAATAAAACCATTCCACCATCAGTCCATACACCTCTCGTTGTTTTATTGATTTTATAGAACATTCGAAGCAAAATGTATCGAATGCTTTCTGAATAGTAGAGAATTTTCAACCAAAATCCAAAGGCATTGAACCATAAGCATTTAAATTTTGTGAAATATCCCAAAGTGTTCACCAACATTTTTATGTCAAAAAGACCCTAGAGACTGCGGATAACGCGCCGTAATTACATATTCGTGTAAACTAATCATTTCATGTACTCTTTTCATTGAGTTCATTGACTTATTTTAATGTATTTCATAAACGTTCACAAAGTCGGCACGGAATTCAAAGTTGTTTCATTATTTCACATTGAAAGCAACAAAAATAGTAGAGCTTTTATGTAATTCAATTTGGCCATTAATAAAACTATACTGAAGAGTTAAAAAAAAAGAAAAACATGATTGATGATGCTCTTGTAATCTGATCCAAAATAGTTTATTTAAGGATAAATATCAGACATGCGATGTAGCATTTGATCTGTAAAATGCAATAGATAACAAATGTAACACGTGTGTTTTATTACTTGATTTACAGTGATAAATCATTGCCAGAAGAGCAAAGGCAGCGGCTGATAAGTGACATTGAAGCAAAGTTAGATGAAAAACCATCGAAATCGTTTGGAAATTCCTTGCGGCGATTCAGTGGAAATGAATTGATTGTATCAAATGGAATGACACCGATTTCAGAGTATGAAGAATTACGTAGACGCGTCCGTTCAAATGTACTTGAAATGTATAACTATGTTGGCACGGAACTCACAAAATTATTTAAGAATCACCCAATTGTACCTGAACTTGGTGAATATATCGATAAAGTGATGCACATGACGACCGAGCATAAGCGTTCGCTTATCAACGACATGGATCATTTACGAAGAATTGACGGTTATGAACAATGGCGACGCAATGAAGCCGAAAGTCTCAGTGACTTGGTGCAACGTCGTTTGAAATACCTTCAAAATCCAAAAGATTGTAGCACGGCGAGAAAGCTGGTTTGTCGTTTGAATAAGGTATCGTGAACATTCTCTTTTACACTTGATTTTCGTTTTATTAATTGGGTTACAATTTTTACAGGGTTGCGGTTATGGTTGTCAATTGCATCATGTTGTTTATTGTTTTATAATGGCTTACGCTACAGAACGTACATTAATTTTGAAATCAAAAGGTTGGCGATATCATAAAAATGGATGGGAAGAAGTGTTTAAGCCGTTGAGCGATACTTGTACCACTTCGGACGGTGCATCACATGCCAACTGGGGCAGTTCACATTTTAATACACAAGTGGTTGATTTACCAATTATCGACTCCTTGAATCCTCGGCCAAATTTTCTACCCTTATCGATACCTGAAGATCTAGCTCCAAGACTTAAAAGATTGCATGGCGATCCTATCACTTGGTAAAATTCAAATTGAATTGATTTCTATGCATTTCGTTTTTTCGATATATCAAATTTGTTTTTTCGATTCATAGGTGGGTCGGCCAATTTCTAAAATATTTACTGAAATTTCAACCAGAAACACAGAATATTATTGATGCGGGCATCCAAAAACTGAAATTTCAAACTCCAATTGTCGGGGTGCACATTCGTCGGACGGATAAAGTTGGCACCGAAGCCGCTTTGCACAATGTTGACGAATATATGAAGCACGTCGATGAATATTACAATCAATTGGAAATGGTTGAAACGGTGGAAAAGCGCAGAGTGTTCCTCGCCTCAGACGATCCAAAGGTATAAAATCGATGATTTGACTGTAATTCAAATCATTTTGAAATTCAATTCTTGTATTTTTTCTTAGGTGATTGACGAAGCCCGTAATAAGTATCCACAGTATGAAATCATTGGTGACCCGAATGCAGCTCGTACGGCATCTTTATCGACACGTTACACCGATTCATCGCTGTATGGAATAATACTTGATATTCATTTACTTTCAATATCCGATTATTTGGTGTGTACATTCAGTTCGCAAGTGTGTCGCGTTGCATATGAAATAATGCAAACAATGTATCCGGATGCATCGCATCGTTTCAAATCACTTGATGACATTTATTATTATGGTGGACAAAATTCGCATAATCGCGAAGCAGTGCTGGCACATCATCCAAATAACCATGAGGAAATTTATATGAATGTTGGCGATTTGATTGGTGTGGCCGGAAATCATTGGGATGGTTTTTCAAAAGGTCGAAACACGAGAACAAATCAGATTGGACTTTTCCCTTCATTCAAGGTCATTTTATTTTAATATATTAAATATTTTTTTTTATAATCATATTTTTTATCCTATTTGCAGGTAGTCGATAAGGTTGAAACGGCAGAGTTTCCTAAATACTCAAATGTTAAATAAAAAGCGGTGAAAATTAACAATAAGAACAAATTATATATTGAAATCTCCTCCGAATTATGCAATTTTCAAGAGAATCTAAATAGATTAATTTTAGAGAGTCGCCTCAAAAGAGAAACAACTAAGTAGCTATATTCTAAGAAAGTTTCTTATGAACAAATCACATACTGGTACAGAGAGAAAAAGCATGTTTCATGTATTCAAAGCCACCGAATTTATGGTCTCCTCGTTTGTTTGGCAGCAAAATTATTTTATATCTCATGTAAATTGAATCAAATTTTTCTCTTTATTTTTCTTTTTTTTGTATTCAACCTAATTTATCCGACTTGAAACGATGCATTTTACTTTTATTTAATGTGAAATTTCGTAATTCTATCATCACAACAAACATAGAATAAATAAATTGTATTTTAGATTTTGTTGACGACTGGATTTACGTCATATAAATAATTAACTATTTTAGGTTTTGCGCATGAATTGTGATAACATTTATTTCATTTATTTTCTGTGCTGTATAATAATTAACAAAGAAAAATGCTTTTTTACACAGAATGCTAATAAAGTTGTTGTAAATTTAGAAAAATCTCACTTGAAAAAAAAGAACACACATCTGTATTGCACTTGAACAACAGCAAACGGAGAAATCTTTTGTAGCAACACCTCTTGAGATACATATGTTTAATAAATGAAGTGAAAACAATAATTAAATATAAATCGTGTGTTTGAATTTTCATTTATTTTCAGAGACTGAGTAATTCGTTTTGATGTACTTTTTGATACTTTTCATAACTTTTTTTTTGGGTAAAGAGAAAATTCATTTTATAACGGAAGCAAAATAAAAATCTATTATATGGAGAGTGTAACGTTTTTCGCATTAAAAAAAAACTTTTTGTTGTTTTGACATTTTTCATAAACATACTTCATTCTAATAGTTTGTTTTTGATTTGTTGTTTTCTTTTCCAGGATTTCACTAATTTTAGAAACGATTTGATAGTCTTTTCAAATACGTATATACAACATGTTTGACATTTGATACAAGAGATTCACTAGTTCGCTACTTTTTCTTCCAAATTATATATTTCCATATAATTTGATATCGATGTTGTCCATGAGTGAGAAAATATTTTTAGCGAGATTCAATAACTGACCTTAGAAATGTTCCATGAAAATTAAACACATGCTTTAATTCTCCAAATAAATGTTGAAATACACGTAAGTGAAAGTAGTTCAGAAGAACCATTCAAACAAACCAGTTGATGGTAATCACTCAATCTTGAAACTCGAACAAAAACTATACATTTTAATTTTAATAAAATGAAGTGCTTAAGCCATTTGAAAACTATTTTTCAATTCATGGGAATTTTGGAAATGAAAAGTCTTCCCAATCGAAGACGTTTCCATTTTTTGAAGAATCGAAAATATTCGCAAATGTTCAGTGTTTGTTTAAGTTGTACAATTGCCATAATAACTGTGGTATATTTCATTTCTACAATTTGGTACTTCTTATTCACGGCTACGACATTCAAAGAGGAAACGATATCAATACATTTTGTGTGTACTTCAATTCTTATTAATTGCTGGTATTTCAATTTCGTTTGGCAAAAGAAAAAATACGCAGATCTCTTGGATGATCTTGATACGATGGTCGAAAAGAGTAAGAAGATACCATATCAAGTCGCAAAATAAAATAAAATAATAATTGTTTATGATCATTCAAATAGGAATACAGAATAATGTGTTTGCCGATGATTGGCTTAAAACTGTTGACAAAATTGAATCTTGGTCGAAAAAAGCTTTTATATTTTTCATGTGTATAGAACTTCCAGTTTATTTATTGTCATCTATTGGAAGATCAATATTCCAATATTACTTTTCGGGCGATGTTTCATTTAAACAAATTTATCCCGGATCGTAAGTTTATTTTGATTAGTACACTTGGCCAAATAAATTATATCGGATATCAAATTTTTTTAAAATAATTTACAGATTTCCTTTTGATTGGACAACACCGAGTGGATATTGTGGATGCGTTTTTATTCAATCAATAACGTCATTTGTAATAACGCAGATCTATTATTCGGCCGCATGTTTTCACGTTTGTTTTTGTGTATTAGCAACAAATTTTGCTTCGGATATTGTGAAAAATTTAAATGAATTGAATGAAAAGTATATAAAGAACATCGAAGAGTTGAGTGCAATGGAACGATTAAAAATGAAAAATAAGCTCTTTCAAATTGTGCAATTCCATTCAGAAGCCAGAGAGTTGAGTGTTTTGCTTTACATTTTTCATTAACAAACCTTGATTGTAAATTTTTTTGCATTTTTTCAGAATCACGGAACGTTTTTCCGTCTTGAACAGTCGAATAATAATTATTTTCATGTTGGTTATTTTGTTGTCTGTGTGTAGCCTGTTTTTGCAAATTGACAAGGTATTCACTCACTTTTTTATGATTAATTTTACATTATACATTGTAAAATTTTGTTTTTATTTTTCTTAATTTAAATGCTTCAAATAGTTGCTAGCAGAGAGAAGCGTGGAGAATATTACGCAAATTCTAATGTCGTTTTCGACTTATATTGTGACGCTGTTTATATTTTGTTACCTCGGCGAATTAGTAACGCAACGGTTTCAGGATGTGTCCAATGCATTTTATGAACTTGAGTGGTATCGGCTCCCAATGGAAGTAAGAAAGTATATGCCAATTATTCTGACATCATCTCAAAAAAAGGTTTATATTCAGGGCTTTGGATTTGTTCATTGTAGACTCTGGGTTTTCAAAAAGGTTATAATTATTCAGAAGAATTTACTCTTAAAAAATTATAAGTATTTTGTGCTCAAAATTGTCTGTATATTTTTAGATAATGGAAACCATCTACAATTATTATTCGGTTCTCTGCGAGTTGTGAACAAACAATCTATAATATGAATGCATTTTTAAAACTAATTCAAACTATCGGTCATGAAATGTCGTTTTATAATGTTGTATTATGGTTTGGTTGTTATTTATATGTAGTATTTGTTAATAATAAATTGATCTATGTTGCCTTTAAATTGCTTTTCTTTTTCAAATAAAATTCAAACTTCGAAATCAGTTTTGATGAAGCAAAATCGATTAGCAAAATTTGATTCTTTAAGAAGTTGTGAGGTCAGTATCTAACTTCAAAAACATATTTGGCTATATGGATTTTCAGTCGTCCATATAACCAAATTACAGTTACAGAACAGTCGGTAAAAATAACATATTTACTACAAAAACGTAATTTTCCAATTCGAACAGGATGTTCTTAGATTAAATTCCACGTCAGTGAATGTTTTAAATTGTCACCTCATTTTATTTTACCATCTGACGTGACACAGGTGGAATGTTCGAGACCATAGATGATGACGGAAAAGTTTTGGGTGGGAGAAGGTGTTTTGATAGCAAAAGTGCTTAGGGGGTCCCTGGAAAAATCCATAGGGGGTTCCGTCACGATGGATAAGAGGCTTGGAAATGAGGTTTGAACCTTTTTTTGCTGTTACGATTTTTGGCGAAAATCCCCAGCAAATCGAAAGAAATTTTCCCATTTGAAAAAATTGTTGAGCAAAAAAAAGGTTTGTATCGATTGTATATTTAAATTATGACATTACTTTCAAATATCAATAACGAAACAAAATATGCCACGTATATTACTGGCTGGTTGGATTACTTCACTCCATAAGTGGTTTTTTTTTGGTCATCACATTTACGCTCGAAACATAGAATCCTTATTTTACATCCATGTTATATCATTGATAAGTGAAAATTGGTTTCGAAATATGCAATTGTATGAGACTTCAAACAGAAATTTAATTTCATTGACCTAAAACCGTTCACATAAATATCTAGGAATCTGTTCCAAATTTTATCCATGCAGATTCCAATCTAGGTCTAACACATCATCGCCTAAGAATAAAATGATGGCAAAAATTTGTTACGTGGAAAAAGGCACTTCAATAGTAATGGAGAAGTCCTTTTCGTGTGTGTTTTCTCAAGTTAATTTTAAATTTTAAATCAATTTATGACATATTTCCTGGATACAAAAACACTCAATGAAATGAAACGGCTGAATTGACGTTTTTCAAAATTATATGTATCGAAACCAATTTTCACGATGATAAATAGGTAACCTATTTTCTTAGAGAAAATTCAGAAGTCAATGATTGACCCAAAAAAACATTCCATGAATAGCAATTTTGCAATTTTGAAATACATGTAAGTGAAAGTAGTTCAGAAGAACTATTTGAGCAAACCAGTTGATGGTAATCTCTCGATCTCGAAACTCAAACAAAAACTTTACATTTTTTCATTTTAATAAAATGAAGTGCTTAAGCCATTTGAAAACTATTTTTCAATTCATGGGAATTTTGGAAATGAAAAGTCTTCCCAATGGAAGACGTTTCCATTATTTGCAGAATCGAACATATTTGCAAATGTTCAGTGTTTTGATTTGTTGCACATTTGCCATAATAACTGTGGTCTATTTCATCTCATCAACTTGGTACTTCTTATTCACGGCTAAGACGTTCAAAGAGGAAACAATAGCAATACATTTTGTGTGCATTTCAACTCTTATTAATTGCTGGTATTTCAATTTCGTTTGGCAAAAGAAACAATACGCAGATCTCTTGGATGATCTTGATACGATGGTCGAAAAGAGTAAGAAGATATAATATCAAGTCGCAAAATAAAATAAAATAATAATTGTTTATGTTCATTCAAATAGGAATACAGAATAATGTGTTTGCCGATGATTGGCTTAAAACTGTTGAAAATATTGAATCTTGGTCGAAAAAAGTGTTTATATTTTTTACGTGTATAGAACTTCCAGTTTATTTATTGTCATCTATTGGAAGATCAATATTCTATTACTTTTTGGACGATGTATCACTTGACCAAATTTATCCCGGATCGTAAGTTGATTTTGATTAGTACACTTGGCCAAATAAATTATATCGGATATCAAAATTTTGAAAATAATTTGCAGATTTCCTTTTGATTGGACAACACCGAGTGGATATTTTGGATGCGTTTTTATTCAATCAATAACGTCATTTGTAATAACGCAGATCTATTATTCGGCCGCATGTTTTCATGTTTCTTTTTGTGTATTAGCAACAAATTTTGCTTCGGATATTGTGAAAAATTTGAATGAATTGAATGAAAAGTATATAAAGAACATCGAAGAATTGAGTGCAATGGAACGATTAAAAATGAAAAAGAAGCTCTATCAAATTGTGGAATTTCATTCAGAAGCCAAAGAGTTGAGTGTTTTGCTTTACATTTTTCATTAATAAACCTTGATTGTAAATTTGTTTTCATTTTTTCAGAATCACCGAACGTTTTTCCGTTTTGAACAGTCGAATAATAATTATTTTCATGTTGGTTACTTTATTGTCAGTGTGTAGCCTGTTTTTGCAAATTGACAAGGTATTGCTCACTTTTTTCTGGCTTAGAAAATTGCTTTAAATTTGATTTTTTTCTCAATCAAATACTTCACATAGTGGCTAGCAGAGAGAAGCGTGGAGAATATTACGCAAATTCTAATGTCATTTTCGACTATAGTTATGACGTTGTTTATATTTTGTTACCTCGGCGAATTGGTAACGCAACGGTTTCAGGATGTGTCCGATGCATTTTATCAACTTGAGTGGTATCGGCTCCCAATGGATGTAAGAAAGTATATGCCAATTATTCTGACATCATCTCAAAAAAAGGTTTATATTCGGGGCTTTGGTTCTGCTCATTGTAGACTCTGGGTTTTCAAAAAGGTTATAATTATTCAGAAGAATTTACTCTTAAAAAATTATGAGTATTGTGCTTAAAATTATCTGTACATTTTTAGATAATGGACATCATCTACGAATATTATTCGGTTCTCTGCGAGTTGTAAACATACAGTCTGATATATTTGCATCAGAGTGCTATATTATGAACGCATTTTTAAAACTTGTTCAAACTATCGGTCATGAAATCTCGTTTTCTAATGTTGTATTATGTTCATACAATGTGTTATGAATCAGGATGAGAGAGTATATAAGTTTGAAGCCAATGAATGTCAGCAACTCAAATGAAGGTATTTAATCCATTTACAAGTGTCACTGTAAAAAAATTCGTTAATACAATGGATTCCGTTCATTATATAACTTATTGCTCATTATAGTTGTGACATTATCTAGAAAATTAAGAATATTGGTCTTGTTTGGTACTGCTATTATATAATCGTCAATAAAATAGAGCAGTTAAAATAAAATAATTCTACAAACTCTTATTAATTTTAATTTTATTGGAAAATAAGTTGTGTGAATATTGTATGTGTCGTTAACAAAATATTGTATATTATAATAAAATTGTTTAAGATTATCTCTAATCGTAAGAGATTTTAGCCTAAGCAATTTATTATTTATTCCAATGAATTTTTGGTCATGATCAAGCCTCGTTCCCATAAACTACCGACGACTGCCATAGATTCTTCGATGTTGTTCGAAAGATTTGCAATTTTCACGTATTTTGGGTAAAAGTGAATCAATTTTTTTACAACGCCCGTTGTGGCTTCTTCAACTTCGACAAAATTCAGGTCACTACCATGGTATTCTTTTGAATTGTCAACGTGATAGTACAAATTGTACGCCCCGTCAACTTTTGTCAATCGGACAATGTGCGCGCGAAGAAGCCGAACTTCTGTCTCTTCATCCATTTCTGGCATAACAATATCTCCATTATTATTCAACAATGGCTTCGTTCCAAAGCATGTTCGCACCTTTTCCATTGTGCCCAGCACCTGAAAATAATTCAAAGTTTCGTTAAACAAATGACAAATTTAGTGAATGTCAAACAAAGAAGAAAATATGTAAAATTTATACCGGTGGGAGAGCGTCGAATTGATACTTTGTAGCTAGTTTATCAACTGCGCTATCGATATCCAGGTAATTTTGTATTTCTTTGAACATGGTAATCAGATGAGTTTTGATTTGTTTTCGCCGAGCGCTCAAGTCGTTAAATTCGGAGTACGTTTCGCCAAATTGATTCCAAATGTCAACCGGTAATCCCTTTCGGAAATTCACATTTTTTTCGATGGCCGTTTTCAATGCTTGTTTCGTCAACTCTTCAAAAAGATCAGCAAATGCATTCTGAAAACAAAAAATAAAAATGTAAAATGTGATCAAACAAAAAATATTGGCCGATTTGAATTTGTCTCACCTTTTGGTACACGCTCAATGTGATGTGCAATGAATGATGATTTGATACGGTTTTGGCTTGGTGAATCCAGCCTCGTGGGAAGTACAGCATATCGCCGGGCGATAGAATTTCCCGGAACTTTGGTTCACCAATTTCATCTTGTTGAAAATTACCACTTGATTCGCGTGGTAATTTTTCATCTTCGGTGCGTGGCGGATACAGCAGCCATTCCTTGACGAAAATAATTGGAATAAAATACAATTTGGATACAATTATTTGGAATATTTGTACATACCTTTTGACCTTCGATTTGCAAAACGAATGCCTCGATGTCATCGTAGTGGGGTGCAAAGCCTTGACTATTTGGCGGTGTCAAGTAAATATTTGCACCAACTAGACAGTGAAAATACTCCTGAAGTGTTGCATTGAACTTGTGCAATGGACCGATGAACGTTTGTGGATTGAGCAGACCTATTTATAAAATCAATGAAACAAAAACCGTTTATTTCATTGTGTCAATGATAAATATTGTATGATTTCACTTACGAACACTACAACCGGTACGATAGAACTCCCACACCGAACCTAGCAAAGCGCATGAAATTAATACGATATAAATAATTCATTTTACGATTAAGTCATTTAAATGAACAACAAGAAGAGAAAAAAAATACCTGGCAACGCGCGTCCATCTGGATTGTGCGTCTCACGTACCTGCCATCACACAAATGGTTAATATTTCAAAATTAATAGTTAAACAATGAATCATTATTACCCCATTCTCATAAGATGTAACATCAAGATTTTTCGTGTATTCCACAATATTGTTCCGCAACATTTCGTCGATCGCTTCTGTAGACACCTTTAAACTGGCATAATGACCACGATTATGTTCGCGCGAAATATACAACGGTTGTTTTTCCCAATTGTTTGCCATAAATGCCTTGACACCGTAGCCATGTAGTAGGTGTGCAAATGCCTTGTCACCATTTTCCACACTCGATAAATTCAAATCGTGAGTCGACGATGTTGTTGCAATGGATGCCATTTCATTTAAGTGAACCGATGTACCGTTACTGACATTTGACGTATGAGCTTGTTGATCTGACTTCTTCTTTTTCTTTGTTTTCGATTGCGGTGTTGTCTGTGATTGAATTACGAATTAAATCGATTTTCAACATATTTTTTATAGTTTTAATATATTTTTAGGTACTTACATTTCCGTTGGTGATTGGGGAGCTTGCTGTACCATTCGATTTGGATTGTGCTGGTTGTGCACTGGAAACTTCTGTGTGTTTGCGCTGAAAAGTGAAAAAATAAATAAATTCAATTTTTGAATGTAATTGATTTCATGGTGTAGCGTTGTATTGCCTCCAATTTTAACTCAATAAGAAAACAACGTTGTTTATGGTTGTATTTGATATATCAACACAAAAGTGTAAATAAATATATTTCGGCCATCATCACGTTGTTTTCTTATTGAGTTAAAATTGGAGGCAATACAACGCTACACCATATATTCAAAATACTCAGCAATACAAAATTTTCACATGTAATTGATTTCGTTGTGCAAAATGTGCATAAACTCAAACAATCAAAATGTTTGAAATTAAAATACAAATTCTGTACAAAAAGAACTGCGCAAAAATACAAGATTATACTTTGGTTGTCTGTTTATTTTATTATACGAAGAAATGGTTGCTTTTCTTTGCAATCAATAAACAACACATTCACCGATTTCATGCGAAAGCTAACGGAATTGTAATGCGATCTTATATTTTTGTTGAAGATGAAGTGATATGATTCTTTCAATAACAAAAATGGATTCTATTGTTTAGTACTAAATTGATGTTGTGAAATTCAACTCAAATCAAACTGTACTCACTTTTTTCGGTGATGGAACTTTGAAATGTACTTTGGCATTCGTACTTTTATTCTGTTTCTTTTGCTTGGCCGATTTCTGAGCTTTATTAGCACTCAGACCCGCTGCTTGATACGCAACAAATGCTGATTGGTTTTCCATTTTTCCTATCTCAACAGTAACAAACTTCGCGAAACGACAACAAAATATAGCGGACCGCGTTTGTTATTCACGTGGTCTGCCTGCACCGACTTCAAAACATTTGCCGAATGCGTGTATGACAATATTATGATTCTGTCAATGTGCGGCCATATTTAACACCAGAGGGTGCTGGAGTATCATATTTTGATTAAATTTGTCCTTTAATTTAATATTATATTTAAACTGATAATGATATCAAGCAAAAATAACACATTAATATAAAAGATATATTTTTACACTATGTTTTCAAAACGAAAATCCACATGGAATAATTGTCTAAAAAAATCTGTTCAAACAAGAACACATCCAATTTGACATATGATTTTGACAGCTGGATTTTCATTCGCGCAAGACTCACTGTTAAAATCTAGGTTATTTCAGTCTAATAGAATTTTATAAGAAAGCGATATTTTGGAAATTTAAATAAAAAAATTCCGGTTCCAATATGTTCCTCACCAATATTTTACTGAAAAAAGCGAAAGCCAAGTAAGTTTTTGAAAAATGGAATTAAAGCGTTTCATTTCAAATAAAAAAAACTTGTGATCTGAACTGGAAATATTTACTTTGTTGGTTGATTGCAATGAGCAATTAAACTGATTCTTTATTCGATCATTTTCGTGAATAGGCAAGTTTTAGTGTTAATGGAGAGCGCAGTTAGCCAACATCAATTTATGCAAATCCGTGATCGTTTGGGCGATAAATTGGAAGTGATTCGATATGATCCATACAGTAAGTACATTCATTGCGAAAACAACGACAGAACAAACTATTCAATCATTTTTTATCTTTTTTCATTTAGTTCAACAGCTGAGCGTATACCGGGAGCGCAGAAAAGTCAAGAGCATCCGTTAATTCTGCATAGCCATTTCTTACTAATGTAGTTGAAATTTTGTTTGCATACAAAATAAAAAATGAAAATGAGTTAAAACTTCTTTTATTCCAAATCAAATATGGGTACACAAGGCAGGTTGAATCTCGATACAGATGCGAGCATTTTTGGTTTGTACAAATGTACATACGAACATATTTTGGTAATTATTGAATTTTGGTAACTTTAATTACTTTCTTGTCTTGATTTGATATTATATGATAGTGGTAGTATTGATTTGGTAAAGTATATTATAAAACTCACCAGGCTAAAATTGATATACAGGCTGTAAAAAATCATTAAAAAAAAAAAAAAAAATGAGAGAATTTATTATTCTTGTAGGTAAATGCAAACTTTATTTCGTTTTTAGATTCAAACAATATAATCTTTTTTTAGCTGCGTAATTAAATCATCTGAGTAATCAACATGTCATCTCTCCATAAATAATTATAATGGTAATGAGATTTAATTGTGGACCAATACATTCTTTTGATCATATATCTCTCTCTCTCTATATATATGTATATCTATTAGAATTCGAATAAATTTTGAATAAATGTAATATACTTCTTAGATTCGTTGGATTTTTGTTCAACAAGACGGTATTTTTGGTGTGATTTGTTTATTTTTATTTGTGTATGCGTAGAAATAAGAAGTTCTTTTAAAGGCCTAGTTTGAAGTGTTGGTATTGTCCTGATGAAAAATCAACAACAAATCCAATTCCATATTTTGATTCAATTTGAGACACAAACCATACTTTGAATGGTTATATCAGAACTCGTTGAAAATCTCGAGCATATTAAGCGCCATCTAAGTGTGATTAGGTACATTAGGGTAGAAAATGAAATCTTCGTAGTGGATTCGAATCTTAAATAAGTGCATTAAATGTTTGGCATCGCGACGCGTCTGCACGGAAAATGTGGTTGTTGTCATGAATCGTTCAAATATCCCATTTTCAGGACATCGAAACGGATTGGTTAGAATTAAAATTGAATGTGACTACTTAAATGGTAATACATGATTCGTAGAATTTAAATGTAAGATTATATATTGGCCTAGAAAAAAATGACGATTAAAAATATGATGTTGACGAACAAAGGAGAAATTCAAAATGAAAATAGGAAAAATTGGAAAATAAAATATCGAAATTGATTGGATCAGCATGTGGACGCTGAGTGAGGCACAAATCGAATCGAGTTTCGGATGAAATTGAAAAGCTGATTTATCAAGAAATTTGTCTTAAATCGTAATAATTGGATGGCTGATCAAATAGTTCTTTTATCCTCCATTCATAATAATATATATATGATTCATATAATATGAATAAACTCAAACTTTTGGTTTTGATTTCTCTTTAATTTTGTTTTTAACAAATTGTCATTAGATATTCGTACAATTTGTATATCACTGCTATATAAATTTTCCAATCTACTAAATAATATTAATTTCTAAACAAATTGGATCATTTTTGTTTATGTTTGTAATAAATAGAATCATACTTAACTTGGTCTCGTTTTCACATGTAATTTGCTAGATTTTTGTTTTGTTTGTAAATGTTCTTTTTGTTGTCACATTTAATAAATAAATATATTCATTATACTTATACAGTATATTTTGTTTGCTTAGTTTGGTTTTAGTTGTTGTTTTTGTTAGGCAATTTAGGCATAGTGATCTCCTTTTGTGTACTCTGCATCTTCGGTTTTATACATTTCCAATAGCTATGACAGAGACATCGGCACGCAACAAGAGAGAAAAAAAAGAAAATAATCAATTTAATCGACCTTGAATGCGACAGATAATTGCTTGTTTTTAAACACACGACAACATTCAAGTAACAACATCAAGTTCACTAATAAATAATTTACAAATCAATGCATGCACCAAATTGCTTCAGCCAAATGATATAAAGGATATAAAGGCATATGTGTATCTACATACACTATGAAATCAACAATTGGGATAATTTATTCTTGCATTTGTTTTTCCATGAATTTGGATTTGTTTGGGCGTATAGTGACAAAATCGAAAATAAAAATTATCATCGATTCAAATAAACAAACAAAATTATTATTATTATTGTTACAAACTAAAAAGAGGAAAAGAACTTAAATTCGAGCACAGCGACTACAGAGACAACGGTACGGTATGGATTTTAATTTACAAAGTGGCTAAACTACAAAACAGTTTCAATGCTGGATATTTGTGTAATTGCTGGATACGATGGTATTCGCAATACCTTTTGGCAATCCTTTTGTAGTTCTTCTACTTGTTTTTCGTGTGTTTTGCGTAGTTTCTCTTTTTCGCGTGCCTGTTTTATTTGCGCATTCTGTAAAAACGGAATATATCGTTATGAAAATGAAGTGATTAATTTCAATTTTTTTTTTTAAATAACCTTTTTCTCATCCATGAATCGTTTGATATTGTTTTGTTTCTTTTCACGTAATCGTCGATCTTTTTCGCCTTTTGTTTTTAGTGTTTTATCGGCAAGTACCTCTTTGGCAGTTTCGACGGAAATTTTGGCCTGATTAGAATTGAGAGTTTTATTATCACGTTCATGTTTTGCTTCGAGCTGTTTGATTTGTGCCGCCTGTGTCGTTTCCATCAAACGTTTTAGAATGTCTTGTTGATCGTTCACCTGTGTCTTAAGCACTTCCCATTCTTCTTTCTTTTGTCGTTCGCACATTTCGGCCCATGCGCTCGATTGATCGGTTATATGTTTGCGAATGTTTTGATCGGCTTTGATTTCATCTTTGCTCTTTCCCTTAATTAATTTTTCAATTGATGTATTTTGCGATTTTTGCAACGATGCACGTTCTTTCGCATGTTTTTTCTTCATTGTTTCCAATTCTTTGGATTGTTTTTTGGCAATTTTCTGAAAACCTTTCTCTTGACGCAATGTTTCCAATGTAATCGGATCGAAAACAATTGGTGGCTCTTCAATTCGTTTTTCTTCTTTCTTTTCTGATTTCGATGCGTCACCACTGCCGGCCGTTTCTTCAATACCAAGCGCCTTCATATTGTCTTGTCGTTCTTTGGCTGCACCCATAAAGCCACGGGGATCACTTAAGGCGTCCATGAAATCTTCAAAACCATCTGGTACATAGATTTTCAATTCAATATTACAGAACAGCATGGGCAATGACATTGGGAAGTTGGCTTCAGTACGTAGGGAAATATGTCTGTAACCTCCTTGCAAACCGTCTAATGGCAAAATTCGCTGAAATGTTGTTTTACAAAAAAAAAAAAAACAGAACGGTGCAATTTATTTATTATTGGTGAATGAGAATTGTTTGTTTTTTTTTTCGAGAAACTTACCTGGCCCAATAGTTTGCCATTTTCATCGTAAACGCCCAAACGCAAAACGGCCAAATCGGGCAAAACCACTTTACGAAAGAGGAACGGCTCTTCATTGTAAACCGGATTCAAACCGTTTGCTGGCACCAAACGTGTACGAAATTCTTTTCGTACGGTGTCCGAAGGCAAACCATACATATCAACTTCAACATATGTACCGACTTTTTTATCCGATAAAAATTGGCCAGCAATTACTTGAACGCCACACGAGGCGGCAATAACACCATCCACCGGTGCATCGGCAAATGGATCAAAATCTTTATCTGCTCGTCGCATAAAATCGGGCTTCAATAAATAGCCGCTACTTCCGTTGTATTCGAACTTGCCCTGATTCAATTGCATTGGTAAATCGGATGTTTGGAAATTCAATGAGACCATTTGACAGCCAGCATTCCAAAACACTTGCGGCATATAATTTGATGAATCAGCACGTGTGCCCTTTGGATAAATTCGTGACATTTGACGTTTGTTGTAGTTGACAAAATCGATAGCCTGCTGTTTTAGCAAATTCATTCCAGCCGTTTCGGAGAAACTTGACATATTATGATGAATATTCTTTTCTGTATTTTGAAATGAAAAATAAAAAAAAGTCAATTTCAATAAATCACAATTTTGTTCTTTCTTAAATTAATACTTACGTTCCGATTGATCAAATGCGCCGAATTTAATTGGCTGCGCATAATTAATCATTGAACTTAACCAAGGGTGGACGTTGGTTGTCGACCCGGTGTAATTGATTGGAATTTCGGTACCCTCGCCGCCGTCTTGTGATGCACCAGGTTGACCGGCGGCAACTGGTGTTGCCACTTCTTCTGATTTTTTATCAAGTACTGGTACAGCGCCTGCATCTTCTGTCGGCTCTTCGTTGTCAAGCGCCAATTGACCTTGTTGGAATAATTCCAATTCGATTTTTTCCACTTCTGGCTTAAGTCTTTTATTTTTTATCAAAATCTTTCGTTTCAATGCTGATGGTGGCGGCAAACTTGAACCCGGTTCCAATGGATAGTCTGGTAATGGTTCTTTTAACAATAGATCACCAAAAATTTCATCACAGTATTTAGCTAATTTGAATTGTTGTGCCCGACAACAATGATTCTCGAACGAAAGTATAACTGGATAGTCGGACGTAACAAACGCACAATCCCGAATGGCATAGATAACATCTTTGAATAGAATATCGGTGCACATTGCCATGCCGTGAGTGATGATGGGCTCTTCATCTTCACCTTTACCATCCCAACAATCCAATTCCACACAACGGCAGCCGGCCAACAGCGTTTGTCGATACATTTCCACCGAGCTCTTACCGCCGAACTGACGTCCAGACAAATAAGTGTTATGCGATGAATTGATGTAATAATGTGAAAGTGGCTAAAATAAAATCGAATTGAATTGTCAGTTGTGCAATTTGCAGTTGAAGCAAAAATTGTTGTGAAATGAAACATACACAATCCATGTCCATGTATAAATCCAAGCGATCGAGAAATACGGGCGCATTTTCGTCGGACATTAAATAACGCACGAAACCATCTTTAGATAAGAGCTTTTTGCTTTTTGACTCTTCGTCCTGTTCATATGTTCCAATAATCTCTTGAGCACGTTTCTCATCGTACAGCGGATATAGAATCTCGTTCAATCGCGGGTCACGTTGTTTCTCATTCAAAAAATTAATGAACTGGTCTATATTGATGAATTCAGCTTTGCCTTGTGTTCTATTCACGTTCGATTGAAATAAGAGAAAATTGAAAGTCATTCAAAATGATCTTGACCCTTGTGGGCAATGCGATTATAATTAAAACGAGAGAAGAATGACGGGAACAAAACAAATGGATCCAAGGAAAATCACTTACATCGAACGAAACAACTCTTCGATATCGTTTCGAGGACAAATCTTGTGGTAGAGCGCATAAAACTTGTCGAATGTAAAATCATCTTTATCCATCGTGTCATTTTTGCCACTAGGCAAACCCAGCTCCGACAGGCATTGATACACCATTTTCTCTGTTTTTCCGGATGCAAATGTTCGTGCCACCACTTTAACCGGTACACGTCCTTTTGCATCAACCAAAAAACCAAGACGCATCCAACTGTCAAATGCGAAATAAAAATGTGAATACAAATAAATTAAATTCGATTTTGTGTACGGTTTGTTTCAAAATTCAATTATTTCTTCGTCGCTGAAACACATATGGCAACTTTACGTTTAATTTAATTTTTGAATAAATTGTGCTCTATCTACACTCGTGCAATTTGATTTATTCGAATGGAAGACAAAATGTATGTGCATTTATGATTCGAAAAACTGAAAAGCGAAGCAAAAGAGAATATAGCATAGTGTCTGTGGTAAGATGGGAAAAGCGCGTTGACATCAACAACGAGAAAGTGTCTAGTTTTCAATTAGAAAATTTGCAAGTGACAAATGACATGATATGTAAATGTTTTTTCGTGTGCATATATTAAACTTAAATGAGAATGTTTGGAAAGAGTTGACGATATATGACAAAATGCAAAGCAGCAATGATATTGCCATTTTTCAAATTCAATTTAACAAAATCATTAAAGAAAGACGACTTACAACTTTACTTTCTATCTAAAATGTAAATGCGAAGAGTATGACGACTTTCATGTAACAACATTAACAACAAATACTTATCGATTTAATGACAATCAGAGCAAACGTCGCGGAACGGATCGATAAAATAAATTATAAGCTGATTAATAAGAGCTGAATGACGAATAAATTTCGTCTAATTATGTTATGCTAACAAAATACAAGATGGTTATTTCACCGTCAATTCTACATTTTGGCTTGGGTTTTGTTCGTTTGCAGTTGAATGGAAGGAGTTAGGTAATGCTTTTAACTGGCAATTAACTTATATGTCGAATGTGAATTTTCTGATAAACCGTTCTAATTGTGTACTTACTGCTTCATTAAATTTGTTCGAATGCAAACATTGTTTATTTTATTATTATGTGTAATTTCACGGAGGCCCCGTTGCCAAATCTAATCAGACGTTAATAAAAATGTTTTATTAAGTGTGTTTGGTTCTTTTATTTTCGTTTGTTTCGTTATTAACACAATATACTTTTGTTCACGTGCGTAAAACACGAGATCGAAAAATCAAATTCTATTGCATTGTTTCTTTCTTCGTCGAAGCCGTTTTGTAAACAATAATGAATTCATGTTAATCGATTTTCATGTAATACATTTTAATGAACACATCGGTTTATTGAAATTGAAGAAATATTGTATAATTTTGTGTGTTTTATACCAAATACCATTCGATTATTGCACACATAATATCACTGGTAATATGATAGAGACATGCATATGTTAATTACGAAAACAACATTGATTTAAAAATAAAAAGAGACAGAGAAACAAAACACCATGGTTAATAAATGTATGAAATGCATCATGTACGTACAAAAGGCCAAGAGATTGGCTAACAAGAAGACGTTAAAAAAAGATCAACAGCACAGAAAACATGCATTAGCTAGTGCGTTGGAACGCGTAAACTTACTGCTTGAAAATACATGTCATCGGACAAATATTATTTGCTTTCACGTTGTGTGTGATTTTTCGCAGGCCATCAACCCAAATCTGTCGATTAGATACGATTAAGTTTATGAGTTTAATTTTCAAAATTTATTTAATATTTTTATTTCAATAAATGTCGTCTGTTTGGTTTAGATTGAAAGAGAAAGAAATTGGTTATTTTATTTTGGTATGAAATTGTAATTAAAATTTTAATCCAAATAATCCTGTTTATCGATTTTATTAATTTGAATTAATTTCAGACTTTGGTTACGTTACGGTATTTTGTTGTATTGGAAAGTTAAATTATATTTCTATTTCTGTCTTTTTTTTAGTTAGAATTTGAAAATTGATCTCAACCCAAAGTGTAGAAATTCATGAATAATTTAATATAAATTCAAATTTTCCTCCTTCACTATATGATGATATGTAAATAATTTTCTCATGACTGACCTTTGCTGTTTCCGCATCTGGGCAAACAATATGTTGATAATTCACGTTGATATAATCCGTACCCGAACATATAGTCAACGATCGTTCATCTAACTTTTCACCATATTTATTCCACAGCTTGTCAAGCAATTTCATGTCCTAAAAATAAAAACGAGAAAAAAGACACACACATTTATATACAAAATTGTGATGAAAACAATACAATAAATCAAATCGAAAAACCATTTGCATATTTTCTCTGCGATGTTATCTGAAACATCGCATAAATTATACGTCATGTGCGCAAAATTTGTATATTGTAACATTTGTTTTGCTCTTTTTTTATAAATGCACCATGAGACTAGATTCTATTCGGATGTATTAGCTGTTGATTGTTTTCAGTATGAAGATGAAATCACGTTGATCTATTTTCGAATCAGAATGAATGACATTGTCAAAATATGTGAAAATTTACATTAATTGACTGACAATACTAGCAGATAAATCTGTTGATAAATTTCTGAAATCCATTTTTGGTATTTTCTCAAATTTAAGACGATTGTTGGATGATGCAAAATTAATAGATGCACATAATAATTTAAGTGATTTAGGATCGTTACAGGTGTAATTTTTAGGAGATTCATATTTCAATTATATTTTTTCCAAATAAAATCGATAATCATTCCCACGGGTGAACAAAAAGAATTCAGTAAATTAAATCGTGATTATTTTCCTGTAAACGCTGCCCAATTCAATTATATTCATCATTAATGCGGAGTCTGTGATGCCGGGTTTGTAATACAATTCCTGAAATAGAATATTCATATTCCAAATTCAATTGAATTGCAGCAATCAAATAGAAAACCACTAAACAGTACATATTATGCAAGTGATTGTTTTTTTTTTTCGTTTGCAAATGTGCTGATTTTATTCGTGCACTAATAACGCGAACAGTTTGCATGATGGCAACATGCCGTAATCAAATATTGAATAATTTCATATTAATTATTGACCAACAACAAACATGTATTGTACTGCTCCCCAGCAGGTGTTGAATCAATTATGCGAATGAATTTAGTTAATTGCATAACACACTGGCCTCTGAGGTAGTTGATGCAACTGAAAGCCCACTGGAAATATTCATCGATCAGATGAAGAAATGAATTGGTTGTAAAAAAAAATGCCGTGGCACATGGTTCGTTCTTTGAATTTATGGACAGAGTAAATCAGTTTTTATCAGTTGCATTTTCCCATTTATTTGCTATCGGAAATGAGAAAATCCGAAATACATACTATTCCAATTTCCATTTATTTCGAAATTCAATACATGCTTTCGTCTCCATCTCATTGATAAAAATGCCCTTGCTATTCACATAGGTTCTCTGTTGAATTTTGAATTCGTTCTCATTGTAAAATGAGAATTTTAAAGCCCACAATGGAATTTTCATGAAAAACCATTTTCTATCAACAACTAATAAAACCAGAGAAACAACAATTTCATATGGGATATTAAGTCACATTATAATTGAGTTGAAATAGGAGTTGAGCTTGGGATTTGATAGAAAAAAAACCGGAGCTCAAACAAAACACCTCCTGTTTTATGTTCGTGAAAAGCCCGGATTGTAATTATACCGGACATTTGTTCATTCTTTTTCATATTCCCCAGCGTGCGGCGAACACACATTGTTCCGAATCGATTTTCATGAATTCTGATTGAATAGCAAAATGTCTATTATTCAGATCGTATTCAATATGTATGCAGGGTTGGTATAAATTTAAATATCTGCAAAATGTTTTGTTGAACGATGTACCAAAGCTGCAAACTTCCTTCGGGCAAACAGGATATTCCAATTAAATTATTCAATGGAATACTGAATGTCATTGTTATAGTTTTCCTCATTTGCTTCCTTTGTAAGTGAGCGAGCTTTTTGCGTTGCACTTATATATACAATGTATATAGAAATTCATCATGGCAGGTGAACTTTGCCAGACACACCAAACAAACAATATCATCAAAGCACAGTTTGCATGCAATCGATTATTTTAATATAACTATTTAATGACATTGGTCCATTGCGATCAATTGAAGCGAATGCACGCGATTATTCTATGACGTTCTCATCGGTGTCAGCGTGTTTTTAATTAAACCCAAAGATTGTTCGCAATATTAATTAAACTTGTTGTATTTAATAAATATAATGATTCGTTTCATTCAAAGTAAGAATCGAAAATTGCGGCTGTCATGTTTAATGAATATATGCATTACGTGATGCGAACCCACGACCAATTTTCTATCATTTTGGCGGCGAAATCATTGTTCGCTCATCGCAACAAACAATTCCTGATTGGATTGCTTCAATCTGGATAGCACGTAAAAGCGTGATTTTGGCATCAATTGTACCAGTGCGCATTAGGGTGCTTCATTTTTTGCACATTTTGCAGAATTATGTCGGCTATGCTCATAACCGATGCAAAATGATCATATCTATCCCATAAAGGTGTTTTCAAAATTTTAAAATGATATTTAGGCGTTCCAGGTTAGCTCTGAATGGAGACATGTATGAAATTCTCCTTTTTTCCGTTTTACGCCACTTCACGGATATATTTTTGAATTTTTTTTTCAAAATTTTTTACCTAATCGGTTTTTTAATTTCAAGTAAAAATGTGAAAATTAAAGATTTTTTCTTTAAAAGTACGACCAGAATAATTACCATGAAATGAAAACAAATTATGGTGTTTGATACAGCGTTGGAAAGGTATTTATGAGTAGAATCGAATGGCAAAGTCAAATTTAGAAAATCAACATTAGTGGAGTGGATTTTGGTGTCATGAATGTGAAGATGACGAAATGTGCAAAAAATGAAGCACCCTAGTGCGCATCGATAAAGGTCACTGATTTTACTGGTTGCTCTCAACAGTGTACTTGTCTCGCTTTTTATACTAAAAAATTCATTTTCATTATACTATCAAATAAAAACTCTAGTTTTATGTCACTTTTCGTACGGTGCTTTCGGTGATTTCCGAAAGAAAACTGTCGCCACTGAACTTGCTGGCCACACAATAAAAATGAACTAAAGGAATTACTTCAATAATTTTATTGATTCATCAATGCAATAAAAATGTTTGTGGATTCTTTTTTCTACTTCACTCCATTCGAATGCTATTGAAAGTTTTCCCAATCTTCATTTTTTTTTTTCATTTTCTTGGATATTACCCAACCTGCACGAAATATGTTATGGCAAAATAGTTTGCCAGTCGAAGTATATCGATTAAGATTGATTCGTTATATGAGATTCGAAGCGATAAAAAGAACAACAATAACAACATAAGAAAACGTACGACAGTCTGCCAACGGCATAAAATGAATCGTTTTCTTTCAATTTATCGCACAAATGCTGTTGCTTATGGTACATTGTTCGCTGATGTAATTTATTCGAACGGAATATTCGGTTTTATTTAATATGACATCATATCGCGTGCATTACAACCACTTGGCATTTAAGTGTGATTCAACGTAATATACGAATAAAATATGAATTCGTTTGCTTCACGAAGATTATGTTTGTTTTCTTCTCTTTTATCATTTAAATGATTCGATCTTGAGTTTGCCGCAACAGTGCTCGTACAACAATACCAATTTTCCGCAAGTTTACGGAAAGCGATTGGAATATTAAAACGGTTCGTCTTTAATTTATTATTAGTTCGAAGCATGATGGAAGAAAAAAAATTCGTTGCCAAATGTTGCTCAAGTGCGGAGAGCAAAAAAAAATGCTTGAGATAAATTTCGTTGAATGATTCGAAGCGAATCAGAGAAAGGGAGGTGCATAAAATGGCATCATTTTTACGAAATAACGTTTGTTTTCCGCTGATTGTCACACAAACGTGAACAAACTTCTTGCGACTTGATGGCTTATCTTCAGTTTCCTTACTGTGTTTGTGGCTTACCATACATTTATGACTTGTAATGGGAAAATGTGCACAATATGCACTTCTTTACTTGTTCAAGGTTTTTTCCTGGCACGTTCCCCAATCGCCGCCACATTTCAATACACCGCACCATGCCTATATGTATTATACTACAAAGTGTTTTTCGATGCAAACATGTAACTATACTCAACAAATTAAAGACTTGAACAAATAGAAAATGAATGTGGTAAAATGCTTTCAAATGAAAGAGAAAAAAACCGGGTCAAATATTCCTTTCGTTGGTGGCTCCAGTATTTCCTCAATTTTTTATGTTTTCTTTACCCTCTCTCACTCTGTTCATGTCATTGCGGCTGTATGCATCGATCGAAAGCGATACTCCATGAAGATATCGTATTTATTTTTATGGGCCACTACTTTCCAAACAGAAGCACATTGAAGCACTTTTTTGGTTCTCCTTTTTTTCTGCCGTTTTTCTTCGACGACGACAATAACGTCGATTTTTCCTATATATTTTCTTTTCATGCTCAGTTTTTCGAATTATCGTTATTTTTTTCGCCTTATTTCTAGTGCTGTTTTCATTGCTCTTTCGTTCACATACAATGTGGAAACAAGATGGTGGTCTCATTTAAAATGTCACGATTATGGGCCACAGCATAACAAAAGAATCCTTCGAATCAAAATAAAATAAAGAAAAAATAGCAGCAGAAACGAGAGATTGTATTGTAATCACAAACTGTGTACATATCATTTTCTTATGCTGAAAATCACATAACATACACACACAATTTGAGAGCACATCTGGCAATTGAAATGAGACTGATTACAGTCAACCAAAGCATATAATAACTGTTATAGGCAACGAGATTGCAGTAGTTCTAGAAAATGTGTCGAGTTTGTATTTGGAACATTTAATTATGAGAAAATTGCCGATACACTTTCACAATCGAACAATGAAACGTCAATGTGTGTGTGTATCGAAATAATATGCAATCATTCAAAGTCAAACTACTTGACAGTAGTAGGAAATATATAGAACTCTCCTTGTCATCCTTCCTTTTTTTCTCTGTGAATAACTGTAAATGATGGACATTTTCCACAGTTTTGATTTTTCAATCTATTTTTCTTCACGAACACCAAGTTTTTCTCACATTTTACACGCGATCTCGTAACCAACATTGTTCGTTTCAATGTCAATGACTTTCCTTTGTGAAAAGTAAGAACACCAATTTACCCAGAAATTGAATCGTAAACAGAACACAAAAAACACTGCAAAAAACCTTTTGCAGAGAGAGAGAGAGAGAGAGAGAGAGAGAAACTTAAACCTACACAAAGGTAGCTTTCTTAGATGCTTTTTTTTTGTTTTGTGCACCATTTGTGTTGACTTTGATTGATGTGATCCGGTTTTAAAATTATGTGCATCTTTCAAAGAAGTCGAGCTCATCATCATTCACGGGATGCAACTTTATCGAATTCTTAACTTGATTCTCGCATTCATATCGATTTTTATACTTTCTGAGCATAAAGCAGGGCTTGAAACCATACCGAATCTAAAATTCGGATTTCCTTATTGAATAAATCGCCTCTTCACACCGGCAATAACATGGGAAATACTTTGACAGTTTTTTTGTTCAAAACAAAATACAAAAAAAAGTCCGCTAGAATCGGATTTGTAAAAGAAATGTTTGAATAGTTTCAATCCCTGCGATAAAGCAATACGTGCAATGTTGATGCAATAAACTCGCTGCTTAAATGCATTGATGAGACAAAATTACATCAATATGTGCAATGCAAATGCACACACACATACGTCCAATCAAAATTGCGCCATAAAATGATAATCTCAATCCCTCTGATTCCAAAGACCTTGTGCACACGTTCCACACGATTCGAACGGCATATCAGTACAATCACGCATAATTTGATTATCTTCAATTTACTTATTAAATTTAAGTCATTACCGTGCTACATTGCAAACATTTCACGATCCAACTATACATTGCACAACTGTACAAGCCAAGTGAATCAGTAGCGAAAACAAAAAACTGTGTTTCACATTGTGTCGTTGTGTTTAGGTATTTGGTTGGTGCTTTTTTGTCGGGCAGGAATTCAGAGAAATGTAAACACGAGTCAATTAGAAACGTGTTGAAAACGAAATTATCATAAAATCATACGCATTATGCAGACATACAAGTATAATTGGATTGGGCTCGTTTTTTTTCTTCTTCTTTGTTTGTCCATGTGGAATTTTAACCATTATCCACGTGGCTGTAATGACTTGTATGTGACAAATTTTTGAGCATTGTTCTTTGTGCGTGTGTGTGTGCGAAAGAGAGAATGGTGATAGTGTTTGATTGCATGTATGTGTGGCCAACATTTTCCATTATTTAATGGACAACACATGACACGTACAACTCTAAATGGATCTGTAATGTGTAATTAAAAACAAAATGTACTTACCCGAGGAAGGCCACCAGCCCTAATATCACTCACTTGACACAATTCGATAACATCTCCTTCCTACCAATTGACCCGTACACCAAATGCCGCAATACAATGAAAAAGAAAAACGAAATATTCAGATGTCAGAAATAAAATTACTCACATGTGAACCAACTAAAAAAAAAACAGTGAGAGAAAACAGCCAACATACGTGAATTATTCACATTACCGAACATGAATTGACGGCCTAAGAAGAAAACAATAACATACAGAATATTCTGCAAAAAGACGAATACAAATTTATGTGAGCAAAAACCAAATATACAAACAGACAGCGCAAAAGTAAAACAGCCTACTTACATGTGTTTCTTATGTAAGTAGGCTGTTTTACCTTTGCGCTGTCTGTTTGTATATTTGGTTTTTGCTCACATAAATTTGTATTCGTCTTTTTGCAGAATATTCTGTATGTTATTGTTTTCTTCTTAGGCCGTCAATTCATCATGACATGTGTAGGTGTCTCAACACGGAATTCAAATTACTCAGAAAATGAAAGCGGTACTGTGAAAATTCTAAAAAGGTCATCACCGCTGTCGGAAAATGACATTTTATTCTTGGAAAACCAAACAAGAAATGTGCATATTTAATCATCGTTTGGCTAACATATATTCATAAAATATAGAGCTATTCATAAAGTTTTTATTGAATCATTTTGAATAGTAATATAATGTACAGGAAATTTTCCAGGTTCAATAGAAGCGCTCATTGTGGGAAACCATACAAATTCAAGTTGAAAATAAACACCAGAACAGCAGTGTATGGAGTGGAAATTCAGAATAACTTAAGTTTCATCATGTTACAAATGCATTATTACATACAAACCGATGCAATTGGCAGAAATTAAATTGCGTTAATTGATCTTTTTGAATTATATTCATGTGTTGAAATTCTATCCGAAAACATTCATTGTTTTTATGAAACCTGTACAAAAACATCAAAAATACTACAAAAGTCAAGAATCACTCTCTTTATTCAATATTTTCCAAGAATGAATTTTGCACAGCGAAAAAATATATTTTATCCGACAACAGAAAACAAAGCACTCCATGAAAAGAGAAAAAAACAAACACCTATCTGTATATATTTAAAATTAAACGAGAGGAAAACTGATCGGTGCCTCGAAAACAAAGAATACTTATAAATGAATACTTATGAAAAATCATCGGAATTCATGCCAAAAATTGAATAGCAATTGAGATTTTACTCTTAACAAGCGAATTTTGTTTTTCATTGTGGCAGATGAACGAGTCGATTTTTCAATATATTTGTTTTTTTTTTCTGATTTTATCTGAAAGTGCTCATATTTCGACGAATTTGATGTCGGGCGTATTTTGAGATTGTATGGAAATCCCAAAATATTCCATCGATTTTTTAATTGTTTGTGAAAAACTCGACGGGTCTATTGAAACATGCCCGAGCCTGGTTTTTCGTTTCAATCGAATTTCTCATGTTTTCATATACAATATCCACAAACAACGCATGTATGGAATATATGTTTATTATTGTTGATTATATTCATTAGTAGTGGAGCGCATTCAATTTTTGGCTCTAAATTTAGAAACACTTAAGAAAATATGTGCGAAAATTGTTTTGGCTTAATACATTGTCGCGCACGTTCGTGCTTATCATCAAATATTTGAAGCGTTTGTTTTTCGCTCAAGATAAAATTGCGAGCACTAAACAACGTTATCCTCGAACTTGAATTCATGTGAATTAAGTCTTACTTACAACATTTTTTTCTCGCTCTCTGTTGATTTTAACATAAAGTAAACTAAATTATCAAACAAGGTTTCTCCAATCTAAATGGAAAAGTAAAGTTTTGAAAGCCAAATAAATTGTCTGCTTAGTGGATCCATTGTGTTGCACACTTGCTATTGAAAGAATTTGGAGGCGAAAAAAGCGTTAAATGTTGTTATAACTTTTTCTCGATTTTAAATGGACGCCGACCCGGAAGATTAAGAACAGCAGAAAATGTGTTCGGTTGGGTAGCTGTTTCTCAATTAATCGGAACATATAATGTTTATAATACGCGGAAGCTAGAGCGACACCAAGTGAAAAACAGGAATTTGTGTAAAGCAAATTGTTTGCTTAACGTGCCGTCGCGCCGCTAAAATGTGTTAACTTCGATAAAGAAGTTTTTTTTTGTTTTCCTTAGAATTTCCTTCCAGCATGTGCGAGCGACAGGCGGGTGCGATAAAAGTAAATTAGTTTAGACTTTTAAATAAAATATTTACCATTTGGCAATAAAAGAGAGTTTTGTACAGCGACCCGGCCGCCATTCACTTCTCATTAGCAGTCAATTACAATGGCACACAATGTTTGTAAATGATCACAAATATCAATTCGACCAAACGAGAAATAAGAGTGAAACGAACGTTGTTTTTTTTTTCTTCTTCATTGCCACCGAAATGTAAACTACTTTAAACAAATCTTTAAACAAAATTATTACGAAACCGTAAGTTTTCGCAGTTAATAAATTTGAATGTAGGCTACTGATTATTTTATTTTCTGTAATACGGTTTTTTTTCTTCTCTGGCTCGTTCGAAATGCTAAACATGTTCAAAAAAAAAAAATTCAAAACTTACCCGTCCTTCACTTTTCCAATAGATAAAGAAGCCATACTCATCCACTTTGAAAGTGCATGCTATTTCGAGATCTGTATTATCTTTTTCTTCAGTCCATCGGTCAAATGTATTTCCCGCTAGCAATGGCTCAGGGACCGGAATTTGCCAATTGAATTCAAACTTTTTGGTCATTTTACTTTTATACGAAATTTACAATTAAAAAAAAACTCTAACAAATAAGTGTATATCACTCGATCTTTCGAATGCTGTTTAACGGCTCTTCTCTGCAAAGTGAAAATAAACAAATATTTTACAATTAATTACATTAAATTGTTTTAATTCGAACTTTTTGTCGAATGAAAAGAAAAGAAGATGAAACAATGTTACATCGCAGAAAGTTTGCGGGCGAATGCCAGAAATGTAAAAATATCAAAATTCTCGAATTTGATTGCATGATTTCATTGTTTATGACTTCTTCTCTCAATTGCCATCATTTTTATCTGCTGTTTCTCTCGAATTTTCATCATTTTTTTGTTTCATTTTAAATATGCTAAAGAATTCATATTAATTTATCGCCTAATTGGATCTACGTCTATATCATCATATGGTGGCACAAAAATCGCGTGATGTTTTGAATGAATTAGCACGAAAACTAATACACAAATAAAAAAAAAATGAGAAAGTATGTGTGCCTTATAGTTTCCATCTCGTTTGCACCGCAAATAACATATTCATTTCACGTGAATAAATCGAGTTTAGTGTAAGTCAATCAATTGAAAAGTGTTCACTTCGCTTCGGAAAATGAACCGCTGAAAATTGAAATAACCTATTTTTAGAGAATAGTGGTGTGGCGTGCCTTTCAACTTCCTTTTAATGAAATGCCAAACACGTTTAAAAGCTCTAATGCGGCGTTTTATTGATTGTCAATAAATCGACCGGAACACAAATCGTAGGTGTTAAATTGAGTTTAATCATATCATAATAGGGGAATAAACATGATTCATAATCGATTTGACAAACTATAGTTTTTGTGTTGTGTGTGTGTGTGTGGTTCTTAATCTAATTTTCGGTGTGCGTTATCGCACGATTATAGTTAACAAAACAGTAATAGAACGACGCTTAAACTGATTGATGGCTTTCGCAATTTATTGGCAAATATGATCGTTGTTGAATGTATTAAATGGCAAAACATTCCCAAAACTTGGCATGCAAATTTATCGCATATATTTTGAATAAAATAAATCGGCCTAATTTCTTTCTACTTCGCCAAATTGTCTGCCGATTTACACAAACATAGAGCACACAACAGAAATCTATACATGCAATACAATCTTTTGCGATGTAAATGTCTATGCCTATGAAGGAAGAGAATTTCAACGATGATGAACAAAAGAATGAATGAAGAAACAGCGAATAAAATTTATGGCCGGGCTTTTGTATATGTTATTTGTGATGGCGTGAATGATGGTGCTGTGTTGCTGTTTTATTTTGATTTCTCAACTGTGATGTCATTGCACCGAAATGAGGTAACGGAAATAAAACATTCGAAATTCGACAAGATTTTACAGCAAAATTTTCGAATCGTTTGTTTATCTGTTGTTGTTGTTTTTTTATTGTTTGTGGAATCACTTTCACTTTGTGTGTCACATAAAATAAAAGAAGAGAATTTTGGAGACGATTTTATTCTTGTTTCGTTTTGTTGCGCACACAAATTGCGAATGATATTGGATATCGCATGGCAAAATGAGAAATGTGGATACGATTCCAATGTGCATGAGTCTGTTTGCGGTTGGAAAATGTTTCACAGAAATACACACAAACACAAACACACTGTGGCGCAAACAATAGCGAACGAGCCGCAGAAATAAATTTGCCATTTGACTACACAATAAATCAATCAAAAGACAAGCAAGAGAGAGAGAAAACATAATGTGGCAAAAAAAAAATGCAAAATGAATAGATTAATTTACGAAATAAACGATAATTGTGTGGCGATGATTTTTTTTTGGCTCGCAAATATAAACAAATTGAAATCCATTCAATTGATGAAGCAACAAAGTTTTTTCTTTTCTCATTTTAACTACATTGTTTCTGATGCGCTTGATTTACGAGGCTTAAATGACTGAATGGGCGAGTTGAGTGTTTGGCATTTGGTTTGGTGAGATTGTGTATGTGTATCAGATTTACTGTTTATGTTTGACAAGTATCAAATGTACAGAAACAAATGGCAAAGATGGCTCGACAACAGTTCACTGGATTGATAATTTCATGTTGTTGTTTTTTTTCACGGCAACTATTTGCCTCAACTGATATATGTATATATAAAGTTTCATATTCGAACAACTGATTTGTGGTCTTTCGAACTCTTTCTTCTTCAATTCTGATACGCGCTGATATAGGGTCGATTACATGAAAGAACACTCTTTGAATATTGGCGAATCGATTTGGATTTTTATTATATATGTGCACCTGCAATGTTTCGCTTGAAAGCTGGCAAAAAGTCACAAGTCTAATGAATTAATGATACGTTCTTTTGCTTATCGAAGCAAAAAAATTGTGTTTGCTAATGCACTAAATAACATGAAATAGCAACAGAGACGTGTGCCTGTGCGCGTTTGTGTATATTATATTCAGTAAAGCAATCAAGTGATAAAAAAAGCACCAAAGCGATTTTTATCATCATTCGTCGTCGTGGTCGTAGCCGCCGCCAATATTCCTTCTTTTCTAATATTCGTCTCTTCTTAGTGTATTAAGTGAATGTGTGTGTGTGTGTGTGTGTGTGTGTGTGTGTGCGTTGTGAGCAAAAGCGCGCGCTATGTTTTTTTGTTTTGTTAATTTTTTATTTGGTTTATTTCTTTTTCCTCTCTTGATTCTGTTTCTAATTTGTTCGGTTCGCATTAACTATTTGTTTTTATTGTTTGCCTCTTTATATGGGATTATATTAGTTGAACAAGCGGATACGATGATAGTATGACAACGATAGAGAAATAGTCTCACAGACGAAGATATAAATCGCTTTTCTTTGCTTGTGACTTTTACTGATTTTCATGGTGTCTTTGACTTATGAAATAAAAATTATTTATCTTGTAGGCGCGCATCACTATTTTTTTCACACACTTTGACATCTAAGCTTGTACTTAACAGTCTGCACATAAACGTCAAAAGAAAATAATCGTTCAATTATTCTTGCCATTATAATGATTTGTTTTCATACTCTCTATCATTTTATCTGTCTGTTTCATTCATTGTCCAATTTACGGTAAATTATTTTCATACGCTTATTTTCTGTTTTCGTAGTTTTTTTTTCTTGCATATTACAAATTTTCGGTCATTATTTTTCCCGTAGAGTGTCTAAAAATAAGATTCTGTAGAGTTTTTTTTTTTGTATTATTGATTCATAGCCATAAATAAATGAATCAGATTGCTGCTACACGCTTGCGACCCACAACTATATCATCTTGAATATACACATGAAAAATATATACATATATTGTGATAGTTGATTTTTTCAAGAGGCCATCAAACTTTTGGTGGTGAAGAAAACCACTAGCGTAAATAGCATCTCAAGCGAAAAGATTTTGGGCCAAAAAGAATGAATGGAGAGCGTGAGAGAGAAGGAGAGAGAGAGCGAGCAGGAGATATATGAAAAATGAATTTCTTGCTGTTTGTTTTCGATGCGCTGTTATCACGCACAATATCTATATCTATTTGATGAATCCATGCGAGTGAACGATTCTTTTTGTGCGTCTTTTTCGAACTTTGAACAATGGACCGATTTTCGGAAAAGTTTCTCTTTCGTTGTTTCTATTCAAATGTAAGGAAAAACTTTTTAATAGTTTCACATAGTTTTCTGGGCAATGTTTGTTTTTTGCAAAAAAAAAAAAAACTGAAATGAAAACAAAAAATTGACACGCGATCATGAAAATAAAAACATACGCACACCGAAACACCATTCATCTACACAATATTAGCTCCAGTCGACAGCAACACGGAAGAGTTTTTTTTCTTTTGCTTTTTGTATGTGTGTTTTAGGTCCGAAAGGATATAATTTAAATAAAAATGAAACAACAAAATGTTTTAAGCCAATATTTTACGTTCGAATGGGCACTTTACGAATATGATATGCCACACCAGCGTTTAATTCATTTTTGTCTTTTTTTCTTGGTATTATAGGTGTGCGTTTTAACTTCGTTTTTTCACATCACTCGATTTTTTGTTGTTTGTTATTTATGCAACGCGCACCCGAAAAAAAATTCACTTCAGCATTATAGCTCATCGACAAGAACACTGATGAGAAGCACCGACAAAACACGCATTCGATACACCAATATCAAATTTATCATTTCGCTTAGCGTTGATAGACTGATGGGAACACGATACAAAATTGAAATGAAACGACAAACTGGCAACAGAAGCAGCACCAACAACAATCATACATCCTGTCGATGAGAATTATTAAATTCTTTTACACTTCAGTTGGATAATTTGCACTCACTCACTCACTCGCGCTCTCGCTACTACTCTATTGACATCGATGTGATGGTGGTGTGCAATTTTTGCTTCGTATTTTATTTTTTGTTTCAACTAAGACAATCCCATACACTCGATGTCAATTTCGAAGACATTTAAAAGAGTGCCGTATTTCACGATGAAATTTCACACATGTATTTGCTGCTGACTGCTACTAGCAGCATGAATAAGAAAAAAATACCGAGCAATTAGGCAATACACAATATTTTTTGTTGGTGTATGTAATTTTGGAGCGAGACCGAAAGTGAATGTATCATGTATATGTGCAAATGAAAATGGGAAAAACAGAAAATAAGTTAGTCGAACAATTTGTATAAGGTAATGTGTGCGTGCGACAAAGACAACAACACTCAAATCAAACGAATGAACAAGATGTACGATACATACCAGCTACTCTGCGCAAACGTAGCGTACAAACAGAGAAAGAGAGAAAAAAATAGTGAGAGAAACAGCAGCAAAACATAACAAGAGAGAACTACTACACAAACGCATACACACACATTGTCAGAATTGAAACATTCGGCTATCGCACTGCTACAAATACACCGAATAATATATGGACAATTCGAAATTGTGCATAGCAGTTCAACCAATTGCAGACAGAATACTGACTAAATAGCTAAAAATAAAAGAAAACGAATAAAAGAAATCACACTTTATGTCGAAATTGTTGATCAAGAAATATGGGGAGTGATAAAAATTAAGATTATAAAATAGGATAAAATAAATAAAGCAGTTATATCACCCACGCTTTTGGGCTTGTGCATTGTTACGGGCCTGTTATTCTTTGAACATTTGTGTGCACCCACACATTTGCACTGAAATTCCATTTATTGTATTCTACGCACACCGACACAGTCGCACACATACACAATCACAGCGCTCAAATTCAATGTATCGCATAGAGGCAGTGTGTCAGCAAGCGATGCATCATTGCTTTGATATTTCGATGTGAGCGCTCGAGTCTATATGTCGATGTGCATTTTCTTTTTCCAAATTAACGTAATACCTGAGTGAAGGTAATCCATTCAGGATCGCAGAAAAAGATTCAAGAATTCAATTGTAGTGTTCAATAGAAAAAAAGTATCCAAAGCAATTTTTCTTAGATCAACAATAATTTTTTGTGCATTTCGATTGAAAGTTTTCAAAAAAAAAATCGGAAAAAATCAATTTTATCGGCAAAAATTTATAATTCAATGTGCAGTTGTTAGTGCTATAAAAAAACCAGATAGAAAGAGAAGGAGACAGACACACAGAGAGCGTAACAATCATCGTAAAAGGGCAATATTGGCGACAGTGTGTTTTCTGTGTGTGATAAATCGATACATGGAGATACGCATAAATATGTGTATACCATCTCTACACTGAAATACCAACGACAACAGCGATACGTTCGACAAAGACAGGCAACGCAAAGTAAACTAAACGAAAATCAGTGTACAAAAGAGGGACAAAACGATTTCGACCAACAAAAAAAAAACCAATTGACGTTTGCGCTCTGCAAGCAAATTCCCGTAGTATATTTTCGAATGGCGATGAATGTCGTCGTATGAAAAAAAGATTCTTTTTTGTTGAGTACTCAAAAGAAAGTTGGTGATTAAGCTGAAAATTATTACTTGCACGCGTTATAAAAAGGACGGACATTATTTGTGCGCTCCAATTATTGGACAGCATTTTTTTCGTTTTCTGTTTGAAATTCATTTTGCGACTATTGTGTGAACAAAAGAACCAATATAGAATCGAAAAAAATAATAATAATTCCGATCAGAACTGGAAATACGTAGATTTTGAAACAAAGAGAAAAATAGTGATTTTTTTTTTCAGCGCGTGTGGTAGTGTTATGCATTCTAAGGACACACATATCGCAAAACAATAACATAACAATACAAAGAGCCAGACACCATTAATGAAATTAAAAAAAGAAAAATAAGTGGAGCAAAATATCGACTAAAAATTGATAAAAATAAACCAAGGAAACAATTTAAATAGAGCAGAATAATAATAAAAAATAAATAAATCACAGTGAAAAAATGGCGTCAGTATCATCTTCGTTAATTGCACGCAATACTTTGAAAAGTCGATTATTTCTCACGACATCATCAGCAACAGTGGCCGCAGCCAGAGTTTGGTGTGTAGCGATTTTTCTGTTGGCCATCACAAATGGCTGCCATTCGATTAAATTCGAAGGTGAAAACTTTGGTAAAAATAAAGAACATATCCTGGAAGCATCATATCACGGTTTAATCAAAGAGAATGAAACGTTTGTCGAATTGACGCCTTTAATAAAAGTGGACGAAACGCAAGTCTGTGATTTTCGTATCATAAAAAAAAGCAATCATGAGATCCCATTTGAAATTGAACTGGTCGACAATTTGGCCGTTGTGAAAGCAACAAAAACATTGAATTGTGAAAAGCATATAATTTATCGCTTTGACATTGTTGCCATTCTGTGCGATGGGTCACATTCAAATACAGCTAGTGTGCATGTTGCTGTGAGCGACATAAATGAATATTCACCCGTATTCTCGCAACCATCTTACGTAATTGATGTGGATGAAGGACGATTATACAAGGAGATTATCCGTGTTGAGGCAACCGATCGTGACTGTTCGCCACTATTTGGTGACATTTGCAAATATGAAATTTTACAGGGAGATTCGGCCGATCATTTACCATTTTCAATTGATAAAGAGGGTGTCATCCGTAACAATGCACCATTATCGCATAAAATCGCACAAAATCACATTCTATCGGTGGTTGCATACGATTGTGCAATGAAAGAATCGGCTCCGGTTATGGTGAATATCCATGTAAAACGAGTTTGTGAGGCACGTATAAACAATGTGCCCGACCACGTCAACTATACCACAAGCATTGCCACTGGCATCGATCTATTTCCGAAAATTAATTTGGAATTATGTCACTTACAATGTCCGGACACAAACATGTTTATTCAATCAACTGTTAACCTGAAAACCAATCATATTTCATTTGGTTGTGACCGTGATGCAGATAAATGTTTCCAGCAAAATAATGTCGTTGATTTATTACCAAAATTTAGCCAATGGACGAAGGATTTAACATACGATGAAGGTGGCTCCGATGCCGTATTCCATTTTGATGGTAATTCTGGTGCAATCGTACCATCAACCACAATTTCGCATCATGATTTTGCATTGCATCCATTCAGTATAAGTACCATTTTCCGACATCACAACATTGCCACCAATGATAAGCATACAAAAGAGCATGTCATTTGCAGTGCCGACGATCACAAAATGAATCGACATCATATGGCATTGTTTGTACGAAATTGTCGATTGATTTTATTGTTGCGCAAAAATTTCAACGAAGGTGATTTGAACATTTTTAGCCCGGCCGAATGGCGATGGAAGGTACCACAAGTGTGCGATAATGAATGGCATCATTATACAGTTAACGTTGATATACCAAAAGTTGATTTATACATTGATGGCCGTAAATTTGAATCAGTTGTTGAAGATCGTCACACCAATCCAGAGGTTATCGATGACTGGCCATTGCATGCTGCTCATGGTGTGAATACAACACTAACAATTGGTGCATGCTATCAAGGCTCCGAAAACCGTTTAAAACATGGATTCAATGGTGATATTGCTGAAATAAAAGTGGCTCTACAATCGACACTCAATGAAGATGAAATTCGCTGCACAAATGAATGTGCCGAACATTTGGTTGTACCGTCCGAACATCTATTGGAACCAGCTCAACAAATTCAATCGAATGCTCAGCTCAACGAAATCGTCATTGAGGGCAGCAATCAAACGAATATTGAAAAACTTTTGCAAAACATTCAATATTTGAATTCAAAAGAAATGCCTACGATTGGACGTCGTAATATTGAAGTGAAAACCGTTGTCAGTTGTCCTGGTAAAAAAGCCATTCGATTGCCAACCATTGAAACGTATTTGATGGTCCTTAAAGATGAAACCGTTGATGACCCATCACCGAGCGACATTCAATTGAATGGCATTCCAGACAGCGACAAAGCATTGACCAACGACGAGAAGCCACAAATTTTAATCACTGGCAAACAAAATCACTTGGTGTCATATCAAGATATCAAAGAAGGTGTCCACATTTTGGCCAATGTTAATATCGATGTTATGAGTGGCGATCAAATTTTGTCACAACTTCAAAAATTGGATTCATGCATTGTAACCGTTTTCCCAAGTTTGAATCCGGACCATGAGCAAATTGCCATGCCAAAAATGGAAAATCTTTCATCGACGCTCGATATCAAAACAACAATCACGAAGGACGGCGTTGAAATGATTGGATTCGATACAATTGTCAATTATCAATCGGTTTTGCAATCACTTGTATACACCAATAAAAAACCAGCATATTACTTGAATCGCGTATTTAAATTATCATGCTCGCAAATGAATTCACGATTCCGCAGCGCTGAATATACAATGACCATTACAGTATTGCATCCAAAGCAAATGCCAACAAGTGCACCGCCAACAAAAGAGGCTACCAAACCAGCTTTTATCGCTTCCGAACAATCGTCGCACGATCCATATGTGTTCGCTCATGCAATGGTCCACAATCATGAGGTTGATGAGCCAGTCAGTCGTATTCATAATATTAACAATCTTAAAGGTCATGGTTCACTTCAATCGACTTTATTGATTGCCATCATTGGTGTCGTTTTTGTTGTATTCGTTTGTGGCATTATTATTGTACGCATTCGTTCCGGTGTCGATATGAGAGGCGAATCAGTACGTAAACTTGATAAACATATTCCTGCCAAACTAAATACCGATCCACAGCTCGATTGGGACGATTCAGCGCTTACCATTACAATTAATCCCATGCAAAATTGTAGCGTGTCTGATGATAGTTCAGAATCGGAATCCGAATCGGAAGATGAAGAGATCACCACAAATGGACGATACCGAAACGTAAGTCAATTGGAATGGGACAATTCAACAATTTAAATGAAACGAGACCGAAACTGAACATCATACTAATCCCGAATCATGACTGATTATGTTGGAATTCCCAAATAAGAGAAGGTAAAACAATAATATTAATCAACAAATAATAATTTAATAACAAGAAAAAAAAAAAACAAAAAAATTAAATTTCTTTGGATATTATATTTTTGAAGTTTAAAGGAAAATCAATTCATAAAATTTCACTGTTTTTTGTGCTAAACAAATTCACACCAACACTATTATTATTATTATTATTATTATAGAGAAAGAGAGAAATGAACACAAACACACAAGAAGATGATGACACATACACAAATTGAAAGTAAAAAAGAAAACAAACAGCAAAATCATCTCGTTCTATTCAAAATGCTAATTATATTATTAACGATAACTATTCAACATTGGAATTATGTTTCAATTATAATTGATTGATTGATTGGAAATTGAGACAAAGACACAAATCGGATGAATTATACATATGTAATTGAGCGCTATTTTACAAGTATACAAACAAGATGAGAATGAAAAAAAAGACAACAACAAATTATACATATACATTAATTATATCTGTCCTGTTGTTTTCCGTCCTGGTGGCGTTGAAAACCAATATTTAAAATTATATACATATGTGAAACGATTATTAATCCCGTTAATATTTTTTTTTTTCACGCGTCATTTTGTTCGACGTTTTTTTCTTCATTGGAGACATGTTTATTGTATTCATAGAACGATAGTCACATATAGTTCTTTTTTGGACATTTGATTTTATATCATTCGTTTTAGTTTTTTTGACTAAAGCTAATAACACACAAAAAAAAAACATGACAAAAAATAATAATAATTATAATTAAACTTAAATAATTAAACAACAAAAACAAACAAAAAATAAAAAAAATCATAAATGTAATTGTATCTTTGTGTACTTTGAAATTATTTTCGAATTGAATGAAAACCAAGACAATGTGAAACGTGAAAGAGAAGCTATATAATTTTCCATTAATAAATAAAATTTAGTGTGAAAAAAGTGAAAAAAATATGAGAGATTTGATGAGAGGTTAGCTCTATTATAATGTTCAATCAATGGTGTCGGCACAAATTCACTTTTTCATTTGGATTTTTATTTGTGTCGACTGTCATCATATAGAAGTGACGTGAGACTTAACTCATTTACGGCCAACCGTCCATTCGTTTGTCATAGCTTAATTTCCTCAAATTTAAAGCCATTAAGTCAACAGATATCATTTAAATGGTCAATTAGATATGCAAATTCTACTGAATTCAATGGTAATTTCATTTGAATCTCAGTTTGAAACAATTCATTTTGCATATTCATTGAATTTTGTTAATTGAATCAAACACTTTAGATTTTCGGTATTTCTACATAGAATAATGACACAATTTGCCATTTTAGATAAGATTTTTCTCTTGTGATGTATATTTCATTGAATTCGTAGAATGTCTGATGACGAAAAACTCAAAATTCCATGAACAAAAATCGGTGGTTCGTATCAAGTCTCGCGTCTATTTTTGAATGGCTACAATGGAAATGCGAATTAGAAATCATGATGTTATTTGTAAGACTATAAGTATAAAAAAACACACACATATACTGAAAAAAGACACATTCAATCTAAATGGTACACAACAAAATGAAATTCTAATAATTCTAAGATTACTGCAAAAAAAAACATTGCAATGTTAAAAATAGTAGTAAATGAAAGAAAAAAAATATATATATATTTTTGGTTCCTCTTTTTGTTGGATTTGTGAAGAAAAATAAAAATAAAACAAAACGCAAAGAAAAAAAAAACATAAAAAAATAATGTGAGAAAAAAAATCCAACTTTCCTCCGGCATAAAAAAAAAAACATATAAAAATGAATGTTTAATTTAGAATTCAAACATCAGCTCATTCGACAAATTTAAACAGTGTGCATGTTAATGAGTGCAAATACACTCTTTTTTGATCGATTGAAACATTCTTACAGTCAATTTAATTCCGACCATTTCATTTTTTCACCTAGTTTTTAACAATACACACGTATATTGACATTTGAAGTGCGAACTACATGATTATTATTAATAATTGTTACAATGAGCTCCAATTGAAAATTAGAAAAAAATGCAAGCAAAAAATTATATCGCAACTAACAATAAATCATCAGTCGATTACTGTTACGATCATAACTATCACTATGTAATCACGGCCGCATTGTTACATTGCATTTATTTGAAATGGCGAAAAAAATGCTTTAAAATCATTCATCGAGCATTTTGCGAACATGGCAGCTGAAATACATTTCTGATGTTCTTTTCGAAATTGGATATTTCTGAGTACTTTTTTTACGCCGACACATATTTTGCATGAAACAGCATAGAATTTAACCGAAAAAAAAAAACAAGTATATACACAACTTTGGATTAAGTTGAAATATTAAGAGGAAGAAAAAAACACAAACTCGAAAGCAGTTAATGAAAATTGAATGAATTTTGCCAGTACAGTAGATTAAAACTATATATGTTGCAAATAAATATATATATATACAAAGGAATAATAACAACAACAATAATAAAATAAGCCGATGAGATCATTTTGAGATCATTGGACATTTTATGAATTCAGTGAATGGCGAATCATTCGAAAATTGGTTAGTCGCTTCGATGACAAACAATAAAGTAAATCTGAAACACAATATACGTTTGTAATGCGCCACTCTTTGTCACAAATATACATTCACACGTACATACAGAAAGAAAAAAAGAAAGAAAAAACATCCGGAATAATACCAAATGTCCAATTCACAAATTCCGATTCAGCGCTTCACATATATATTGTCACGATAAAAGCATTACTCTTTTTTTCGAATCTTTCGCTAAACCTATTTTAATCACTGCAAACGATGAAGAAAAAAAATGGTATAAAAAGTGAAAAGTGACATAATAAAACCATCCAGAATAAAACATGGAAACTCAAACGAATTTCTCGGCACCAGGCACAAAATATTTTTCATATATAATAACAAAGCTAATTTAGAATAGAGATTGTGTATATAATAAAAGAAGACAAAAAAAAAACAGAAATACAGAGGAAAATATGTACAACAAATTGTAGTGGAACGATAGAAGAAAAAGAAAAATGAATATTCAGTGATATATCATTGTAGAGATGCGAACAAGCACACAACACCGCTTTCGGGTAATCGTTCAAATTTCCAAGAGTATAGGAATATATGTAGGAGCATGTAGCATGTTAAACGAGGGCAATGAGATGAGTTCAAGTGGATTCTTGTGCAGAAAGGCGTCTTTAAATTGCATAAAAACATCCGTCGCAAGATTGCAACGAGCTTTCTCGCATTCTATATCAGAATTTCTTCACTTTTACTATCAACCCTCGCTCGCTCTTGCTCCTATTCACTTGACATCGTCGGCGAGGCTATACACATTCCCTTCATATCGATCCATCTTTTCTCATTCACTATCTCTTGGGGATGAACTGCGAATTGCTAAATGTGAAAAAATCGCTTTTTATACCATTTTTCTTTATTATTATTTTTTCTCTGCCCGCGCTACCCCACTCGATGTACTTACTTACAGGAAACAACAAAAAATAATAACAGAACAAAACACAATTTTCATACATTTTGCCATATAATTAAATATATATTTAACGAGCATTTACCAAGTTAAGCTTATTGAAAAAAAATTACACACAGAGAGACAAAACTGGACACAACTCGAAGATTTAAACAACAACAACAAAAAAAATGTGAACAATTCAAATTTAGATGTTTAATGAACAAACAAACTGGAACAGAATTCACTCATTTCAAGCTATGTAAGCGGATGTACTTAACTGTGCAAAGACAGGACAACTGATTAAACCCAATAAAGAGATCACATTAAATAAAAAAAAAATGTATTACGTGTTTCATTTTCCAATTTTCCCTTACTTGTTTTTTCGTCTCGTCTCTCTTATGCTTGTTAAACTTTTTTTTACAGATGAACAATTCGCTGACTGTAGTCTACTTTAATCTGGACTTTAATCACAACAAGATGACGGATACACCCAAAAAAGATTTGGATGAAAAACTTTTCGAAATTCATATTTACCTTAAATTAAATTAATTAATCCATTTAATTAAACAATAGACTGTGGACCGCTTTTTATGCTTCGTTTCACATTCACAACTGGCAAACTATGGAAACTTTCTATTTAATTTTCAAGCGAAAAATTGCAAATATTAAACGGTAAGCTTTTGGTAAGTAATGACTCTTAAAAGTATGGACTTTTTTTTACTTTTTCAAACTCTTCACAAACAAAATTGGAGTTACGTTCATCGACTCTCCTCAACTGACAATTCAATCAATTAGGAAACTCATTCAGACCATACAGAAAATTACTAATTAAATTTACAGTCGACGTCATTTGTCGATGTATTTCTTGGTTTTTCTTCCTCCATTCATTTTGAATGCTACTTCCACAGTGAAAAACCTAGTTCAATCGTTCGCAAATATTAACGATATATCTGTACATATACTCAAAAAATGTGCCATTATACCAACAAGTTGTTCACTATTTCCATACTGTTATAGACAATACATTTTGAGTGAAAAATGATACTTAACGAGTATGCTTGAATCGAAAAAAAAAAATGAAAAAAAAAAAAAACAGCGATAAGCGCAAAAACTACAAGTGAACAAAAAAAAGAAACGCTAAATGGAATGCATTAGTAGTGCTTCTCCTATGCATTCGAACTCCGTTTAGTTCAATGCGATTTTTCTTCTTTACCAATGACAATATCGTTTTTTTTATGCGATAACGAGGGAAAATACTCCGAAGCAAGAATAATAATCACCATTCGGGATTTCATGGCATGCCTCTAAAGCTGACAAAAATCGAAAACTGTTTGTTTTTCTTCTCGATTTTGTTGCTTGAAACAATAGCAATAAAATGCAAAACTTTTCAACTTAAACGTAAAGTTTTCGCGTAACTTTTCCATCATCCATTACAACGCAATTTGTTCAGCATTGAACAATGTGTGTGCCATTGTGCAACGTAAAAGTTCACCACCGACGACTTTCTGCTTCACCAACGGTATAACACAGAAAAAAAACCGTAAATAAATAAAGAGAGAGAAAAAAAGTTTTAAAGTTACCATCCATCGTGTGTTGCCATAGCAAACGCAACGCTGTCGTTCGATGAATTTGTTAAGCAACTTACTTTGGTCGTATTGCAGGCCCAGCCTCGATAGATCTGATATGAATGACCAATGATATTGCTACAACCGGATTTCATGTAATTTTTGTTGTTGTCCCATGAGATAATGTGAGTCTGTGGGAGATTTTGCAGATAGCAAATCCATAGATTAATACGTACCTGGCTTTGAACAACTTCTGCTGCAAAACTCAGTTGATGGCATGTTGACATGAGTCAAATTCAAACACCGATAAATCTGCTGACACTCGACAAACATTCAAAAAAAGAGGGGAAAAATGCAAACAACCAAAGTTCAATACGATTTTTTTTTTTCGATTTTTCTTTTTATTTTGTTAAGTGAAAAAAAAACTTTACAATTGCCTCAGTCGCATTAAATGTTCTTGTTATCGTGTCATAAAAACCAAATTAGATCGCTTTTAAATGCGTGTATATAAATACAATTGTTGCGGCCATGTCTTTTTTTCTTCTAAAAATGTTTTCTAACTGTTTAGTCTACGACGAATAAAATCAGTAAAGATAATTGGAGTTTTCTGCTGTTGTCGTTATCTTTTTTTCTATAGAACTTTTAAAGACGAGGTTTTGCAAATATTCTCGAAGAAAATAAATTGAAGAAAAATAAGAATATATTCTTAAAAACTACAAATAAATAGTTATTGTTGTGGTTGTATTTTTGTTTGTTTCGCTTTTTTGTGCTATTGCAAACCAATTCAATCGTATGTTTCAACAAATTTAAATATCTCTATAGGTCGACCAAACGGTCAAAAATGTACAAAATCTTCACATCTATAAATTTATCGCTTAATAAATATCGAATTTTCTTCATCTTTCTCATTTCTTTTTTAAATAATTTCGTATCATTTTCTCTGTTTAGGATACAAAGTCGTTTTGGTTTCGTTAATAAATTTCTATGGTCTACTGTATGTGTTTTCTTCATCTTCATCTTTTGTGTATCAGTACATCGATATATAAATAAATGAATTCGATTATAATTTAGATAATATAAGGTAATAGTACAATAATAGTGGCGAGAAGATAACCCAAATGTTCTTCATCGCCTCTCCTACATTTCTTATGGTTGTTATTATTGTTTGTGTGTAAATATGCCCCTAAAATGTATAAATACGTCTTACATACAATAAGTTTATGATTCATCAAATATATCACTAAAAATGCTATATAGTGTCTCACGAATTGATTACTATATACTCTCATCGCTGCTACACGTTTCATTCGTATAAATACTAAAATAGTGTGTATTCGGTCAATCGGTTTCTATGGGTGTTTCAGTTTTATGTTTGTTTGTTGTCTTTGTGTTGCTTTTCTGTTTGAGTATTTGGTTTTTATTTTATATATTGATCACCATTTGACATTTGGCTAATTGATGTGTGGGTTTGTGTATGTGTGTGATGTTTGGACATTGAAAGTGATTTACTTCATGCGCTGATGGTCCGGTGTACTTTTCAATATGTCCGGTTGTTGATGGCCAGCGCTGCTATTTGTGCTAGCACTGCCAATTGTTCCAGTTCCGTGGGACGAATTTAGTGTGTGCGTATGAGATGTATGCATTACATGAGAATTTAGAGTATTGTGAGCGGTGGTGCAAGCCGATGGAAGTGGTCGTGATCTATGAATAAATAAAAAATATCCAATTTGTCAAAATCAATAAGAAACCAATTTAAAAAAAAACCAAACTAAACAGAACACGTTCAAAAATGTTTCGAAAAAATTTACCTAATACTACGATGGCTTCCGTTACGTGTAAGTGTGTTCATTTGTGGTGTGCCCGGGCATGTGTGACCCAATGCATTCATATAATCGGCAATCAGAAGTGTGATTTCGAGAATTTTCGGTTTACTCATAGCAAACAATAGTTTTTGATCTGAATGTGGAAGCGTATCTTCTGAGCCGACAACAACCATAAAATCATCTTGACAACCGCCAAAAGTCATCACCGAACTGTATGGATATTTGGCCAACGATGCCATTGTCGATAGTTCGAGTACATTTAAACTGTCTTCCGACACCGCCAACCAGGCAATAGCTTGATCCGAATGACGTGGCTTCGCTTGGAATAGTGTTGCCCCAAAGAATGGCCACTTGCGACAGCATGTCAAATAAATGCGTACACAATCGATGGTTGTTCGGCCTTTCAGTAAAATCCATTTCGAAACGACTTTTTCTTGTAACTGTTTCAATTCGTCCGATGTCAAACCGTCTCGATAGCGATACGGATAGAATTTATCAATGACTTGTAATGAAATCGATGTGGTCATGCGATTCTTTTCGGTTACATAATCACTCATATCGATTTGTGACATTAACGATGCCAGTTCTAATGCCAAATCTTTTGTTAGCGGAAAACGTCCTTGGATGACTTGCTGATTTATTTGATAGCACAACAAAATTTTCTCCTTATCAGTTTCTTGTTTGGCTGAATGTTTCCAATACAATCGACTCTTGTACGTCAATTGAATGACACGTGAATTTTCAAATTTACCTAATCCCTTTTCACGCAAAGCCGTTTCCCATTTTGAAATCACATCACATAATTTGGCCAATGGATCGAGATAATGTTCGAGGTCTTTTTCAATTGGATCATCACTGAACAATGAAAAACCATTGCTTGCATCACGACAACCAATTTCAAGCGACAACGTTGACTGAAATTCCTCAATCGTTGTTGATCCATCAAATGATACCACCTGAAATGTTTATAAACAATTTTGAATTTAATTTCGCATAAAATTGAGAAATACTCGGCTGACAATCTGTTTTTTTGCTTGTAATATATGGATATTTATTATACGTACATGATAGCTTCCGTTCATCATATGTACTGGAATTGCATGTGGCAACGAATGATGGTATGGATTTTTTAGCAGAATAGATAAAACTTCCATGCGAGATGGTTTTGTTTCGCGGCCACCATTTTTTATGGTGCGTTCCAATGCTCGTTGACAATATGCCGCATATTTTCCGCATTCTGATTTTGAGTCAGCATTTCGAGATAAATGCAATTTCAAATACCACAGTAAACTGGAATTTTTTTTTCGTTTCACATGTGCGCGTGTACATTTAGAAGAGAAAAAACAGCAAACATCAGCAAAATTTGTAATTTATAATATGTTTTTTTTGTGTTTACTCCCAAATCGAATTCATTTTTTATCCATTGAGAGAGGGATACACAAGCACAAAACTTACCGATTATTTTTGGGCACGAATAATGACACGGCCAAAGCGAGTAATTGCCAGCCTTGCAAAAACGTAAACGACGGCGGATTCGATTTACAATCGAGCGGTATTGGCAATGCCTAAAAAAGTATCAAATTTAATAAGCAACACGTTTCACGCAAAATGTTAATAAAATATCGATTATTTTTATATGTATGTATCGAAGACTTCGGTTTCGAAGCATATGTTTTTGTTCAATTTGAACGTTATCATGCAATTTATCATCAATACCACGGCCCAATTTGAATAAATTGAGTAAAAATGTTTACATTCTATCTACTATTCGTTTGGCGGTTTAATTTATGATTTATTAGTGTCAGTGTGTATTTTCACACAAAAATATAACAAAATATATCAAAGAAAAATTCTGACTGTGGTTAATTTGGAAATTAAATTAAAAAAGCGTTCTAAACGAAACAAAACAAAGTGTAGCGTGTTTTTTTTTTTCCTGTAAGAAGAATGACGATATTGCAACACCGTCTCTTCCTACCTGAATTGACGTTGGAGAGCTGCCATTCGTTTGCGATGCACCTTGTTGGGTGTCACAGGTAAACAGGCTCTGCGTTGCACACAGCAACAATTGCTAAACAAAAAAATGGGAAGAAATATATTATAAACGGAACGCGATCCAATGGTCACAACCAAAAAAAGTTTGATCGGCAAGATTCAACTCTTCTTTTCTTTTTTACAACAACAAAATGAACATGAAAACGAAATGATGACTTTGATGTGAATGGATATGACGGCTAATAAATGATTTGATGACAAGATGATTGATATGGTTGGGATGGAAATGAATTTAATGTGACATCTTTATTTATAAACACACAAAAACACACTCTTTGTCAAGAGTGACTATATTCGTTTGATGTGATCTAAAAACGGAAAATGTTCGTTTCTCCCCCACCACACTCCAATCGTTCCAGAACACTGAAAATTTTATTCAATTTATCGCATCGATAAAATCTAAATATTGAAATCTCACTAAGTGAGCTAATTTCATAAACTAGTTCAATGTAGTTGTTCAATCTACAGAAAAAAACGTTGATTGAAATTGAATTATTATATATTTTTTTGTGTCTCACTAGGTCATTCAACAATTTAAATATGATGAAAATGCACTAAAGTCTGACATTCTAGGAAAGTACTTTTTGCTAGTCAAATTAAATTTATCGAGTTCATTTCTATCTATTGAGTTTTCGAATCATTTCATTTTTACTAAAATAAGTACAACATTGACATTATTAGAGGATAGCGTCAATAAAAATTGTGAAAAATCATAACAAGAGAAATTGAAAAGGGTGTTTGAGTGTGTGTGTGTTTTTTTTGTATTCCCGTGTGGAGGTATGATATGGTAGAGAAATAATAAAAACCATCAAAACGTGATGAAAAGAATGTATGGGTGGGTGTGTGTGTGCATGTTGACAGATTCAACTATATCACATCTAATAGCAAAAAGTGTAAAAAACTATTTCGATGAGATTTCATCCGATGAAATCGAATTGAAGAGAGATACAGAAACAAATCCGATTTCACAGAGAAACGAAAATAAAACGCAGAGATACAGAAAAAATAAATAAATGGAAACTCTGATAGTTTCGAGTTAACTTGAAAACACGAGGAAAAAAGTCAAAATAAAAATAAAAGAGAAAATGGAGAGAGGAAAAAAGAAAAAAAATGTAATACGATCAACGTACAACGTCCAGCATTCCGTTTATATACATTTCGCACATAGAGTTTTCACATATAATCTATAGAGTGTAAAAAACCCTTTTTGTTCAATCCAATTCGATAGTATTTTGTATTATGAACAGTTTGTAGTTTCGCTGTGCGAATACTCTCTCATGCGATTCCCATAAATTTATCCAGTTTAGTACGAAAATGTATGAAAATAAACAACGAACACATTCGCTTTGAACAGAAACAGCAACAACAATTACAACAAAAACAACAAAAATGTATGATAAAAGTTAGAATGAAAAGCATGCAATCTAATCTTAAAAGTACTTGCATTAAATGCAATCCAACTACTGTAATATAATCCTAAAAAAAATTTGAGCTAAAAGTCCTGTACGGAATACAGTCTACAATTGGCTACGAAAACATAGATAAGAGATAGAAAAAAAATAAAAATAAATTGTGGTTGGTGTGAAGAATATACGAGTGCGACGTGATTAAATGTAAGACCATGGAAATATGAGTTTAGTTATGTAAATGGTGTGAGAAAAGCGAGAATTCGATTAGCAAGCTTAAAGCATTTTTCGCAAACCAAAAATTTCTTTAAAATGCACATGAAATAGATGGCACACAACAAAATCGAAATGGCTTCTTCGTCTCGTGCTGTGTGTAGAGCCACTTTTATGGCCATTTTCAGCACGAAACAAAATAATGAGACCAATCTCAACCACGTGGCGATTAAATTGAGGGCCATTTAAGTGTAAAATATGGAAAGTTCACTTTTGATGCATCGTCATTTATCTTATTAAATGACATGACAGTGTTGGATGACACTCATGATGATGATGATGTTAGAGAATATGTATCAACTCAGGGGGTTAATCGTGTCAAAACCATATGTCACTTTGATGATGATGATAATAATAAGCACAAACAAAAGAGATAAAAAGCTTTGCCGCCGAACTTACGCGCGTTTGCTTGCCCAGTTTCTTGTTTACCTGGACCCCGGCTCCTAATTTTTGGCTTGTATGACGACTAGTTTGTTTCACTAAAATGCAAATTAACTCTGCCTGCAATTCTGGCATATCCAAACACTGCTGCAAGGCATTTTGTGCCAAAACCACATGATAGTCGATGCCTGGTTGATTCACAGCAACCGACATGAAAAGTTGACAACTCTGAAAATAAAATGTTGACACACATTATTTTCGACCTTTTGATCCCAAATAAAATTAAATAAAATACTGGACCAATGGAAATTACCTTGAATAACTTTATAGCTTCACTTTGTAGCATCTCGGAGTGTAACGACGACAATGGCGATGTTATTTGCTCTTTTGTGTGCAACAACATCGGATGACGCCACATTACACAAGCTAATTGAAAAATGTAAAACAATTATTTCAATATTTGATATACATTTTGTCATTGTTGAGCTTTTTGCTTGTCTTTCATTAAATGACGGTCAACTTACTTGCATCTCCGTCCAACTCCATAATCTTCTGCACCAGTTGTTCGTATTGTGTTCCAGAACTGGGTCCACCACCCGATACAACCGTCAAATGATACAACCAATTGTCACGCTCCTGTTTGCCTGGTAATATCAAATATGTTGGCCCTTGATGTGCTGGATGAATGGCAATCGTTAAATGTGCTTGGCTTTGGCTTAAATCTTCACGTTCTTCCGAATCGGAATCGGATACATGCTCGACCTCCTCACACGTTGCATCTCGCATATTTATTTGACCCAATGGATTCTGCATTAAAAAAAACCACATCGTTATTTATTGTAATGAATGGCAAAAAGAGCGAATAGAAGAAAAAAACATATAAAGATAAATTACCATTTCGCCGGGTGCTTTAAAATACAGGAACATTTTGCCTAATAGAACGCACCAACATTTTTTTGCATGGCCATTTTTCACTTTGGTTACCCAACCCTGAACAGTTGCCTTTTGATCGTCTCGACTCAATAGCAACTTGGTTGCATTTCGCCGTTGTACATTTTGTAGCACACGAATCCAATCGTCCATGGTGGCTATTGAATCGGCGGTTAGATAATAGACCTTTTTGCTAGTATTGATTTCGAATGTAGATGCACCGTCGGCTTTGGTGATTCGACACTGTTCGTCGAGTAAAATTTGACCTTGTGGCTTACGATTGACATCGTGTTGACTCTTCCAATAAGTTAGCACGCCATTTTTTAAAACAAACCATCGTTTGCGCCATGTCTTCAATTTTCCACCCAATTTTGCCAAATGACCAGACTATAAGAAAATAAAATTACATTCAATTCATCAATTTTTTTTCTGTCAATAGTTTCCTACCTTTTCCAATGATTCCATTTTCTTGTTTGGTGAGTCAACATACGAGCTTCGCAACAAAATCGATGGCAATGATGCATCCATGTACGTTGAATCAGCTTGAGACAGCGCATCCGGTGGTATTGCATAGTCTTCTGACATGCCTGATTCAAATGAAGTGTCTGAAATTACTATTGGCGTGTGTATGCGTGTGCGTGCGTGGTTTTTGTGTTTGGGATTGATTTGGTATGAATTTTTTTTAGTTTGTTTTTATGTGGGTGAGTTTGGTTCGTTTCACACGATATATGGACAAACAAAAACAATACACAAGAAAAGAGAAAAGAAACAAACAAAATGGTATTCGGTTAGAACAAAAATCATGCCGATTAATTCAAAAATGGGGGAAAATTAACATTGCAACATATAAAATGATGAATATGATTAAATGTAAAGTTTTCACAAGGTTTGAATGTTATGAATTAAAATATGAATCAATTATTATTATTTTTTTTGTAAAAAGAATATTTAGTATGAATAGAAACAAGGTAGTGATTCAAACCTCTTCCTTTAATTTTTGGACTGTCGCATTCAATGCGTTTAGCTGGGCTAAGACTAGACGATGTTTTTGCACTTTTCGATGGACTTGATGCCGATCCAGAAGTATTGCTCTCTGTATTATTGGTGCTCGACGAATTGTGCGAATTTATTGTGGACGCTGTGCATGTTGCCAATGCCACATGATCTTCGCCGTCGCTCGAATCATCGCTTGAATCACTGAACGGCTGACTACGTATTTGAGATGCTCGCTATAAAAAAATAATAAGAAAGCATTGAGCATTGATGCAAATGAATTTATTCTCGTACTTACTCCTTTAACGGTTGCATAAACGGGTACATTAATATCACAATATCCACCGGAAGCAGTACGTTGTTGTCGATTACCTTCGGTTGAATCGTCGAGCGTATTTGATGTTGCACGATTTGAATTTTCGCCGCTCGTTAGGCCATCATTTGCTACTTGATAGATTTTTGCTTCCCAACTTGGGAATCGATGCAGCGGTGGTGTGGGTGCTCTGGGCGCATTTCCCAAATCTGATGTGTATGTGGAAATATCGCTCGATGGACCCGAATCCTTAAGCCATATTGGTTGCTTTTCACGTGACGGTGTATAAATTTCGGCATAATCATGTGTTGGATCTGATGCTGCATCTTTGGCCGCAAATGGTTTTTTCGTAATCGAAATCAAATTGAGTTCATCAACGGCCGCTGCCAAATCGCGTGACAACTCTTGTGGTTCCATTGATAAATTACGTCGATGATTCAGTGCCAATGGAACACGTCGAATCGGTGGATCAAGTGATTCACTGCGTCGCCTACTATTTCGATCACTGTATTCACGTACGTCTAAACTTAAACTATTTCGCACCGGTTGTAGAATACTATTACGACTACTTTGACTCGCTAGATGATTTCTGTATTGGAAGGAAAGAGAAAAAAAGCAAATGATAAAGTTTTTGTGTTTCAAAGAAGTGTTCGCCAACTACCTTAAAAGTTCCAATTGTTGATTACATTTGACGTTTTGTTCGCGAAGCAATTGATTTTGTTGCTCCAGTTCACGCAATTTATTTGTAACCCACTCTTTGATTTTGGCTGCTTTGGCTTCGACTTGTTGGGCGTCTTGTAATCGTAGCAGACGTTGCTGTTCCACCTGATATTCAAGTTGTGTAATTTCTTTTTCGGCGGGAAGATTTATGGCGGCCGATGATGTGGAACTGGTTTTTGTTGTTGTTTTAGTACGACTTTTACTCGGTGACACTGACACGTTGTTCGCTTGCGATGGCCAATCACCTAACCTTTGTTCCATGACCCGAACCTATTTATAATTCGATCAGAATTGAAAAATAATTAGCCAATAATAATTGGATTAATATTAAATGCAATTTAATCATATGAATGGATAATATTCGAGAGTTTCATCTCATATTTTAAAGATTAAACTTTGAAATGTTCGGCAAACATTATAGATTGCATTTCAAACATCTTCGAAAATCTAGTTTCAACTGAGTGAGCCAATTTTAATTAAAATCAAATTTTAAACTACTCGAAATGGATAGCGTTCAACTGTAGCAGATGTGCTTGCACTTTCGAAATTGATTGATTGAAAGCTGTATATAATTGAAATTGACATTATTAATTCGGCCCATTAAATGCAGACTGCAGTGTTCATATAATGTGAAATGAATTTTTCAATTTTCATTATGATTGACTGACAAATGTAAACAATTTTTTTCTATCTTTGCCACTCTGCATAAAAATTTATTAAAACACTCATCGAGCTCGTTTTCATGAAATGAGAAAACAAATTGAAGTACTACTCGTACACTTTCATTTCAGTTTTTCTTTCGCTAAACAAACAAAAGTTATATGTTTGAAAAAAACTGCTGATGCTGTTGGCTACAATTAACTGTTAGCTATTTGAATTACTACATTTTGCTTTTGGCTGTACAACATGATTCGGAAAAAACTAGAGTCTTTTTTTTTAATTTTCAGTGTTGAAGAATATCTCCATTAAAATGGTGAACAAAAAAAAGTTGAATATTTTGAATGAATGAAAAGTTTACATGAAAAAGGCAGTGAATTGTTATATGCTGAAAATCATTTCAAGATCTGTAAACAACGTCAAAAAACCCGAGACCACAACGGAGAAAATCGATAACTCAATCGTATAATAGCATGGGAACCACATTCAATATCCGAAAGTATACAGCGGACGTATATGTATGATCTATGGCAGAAAGCCGCGTACAGCTAAGAACGACCCCAATTGAATTTATGAGTTGATGAAATAACAGCCGATTAAAATGCGTTGGTACTCGGTCTTACACACTTATAAACATGGGAGTCAGCAGCAACCCTCTTTATATCAAAATTAAATGGTTTGTCCTGTTTTTTTTTGCATAACAGTTTTTGAGCTACTGCTGCTGCCTGCTTGCCTGTCGCACACGCACAGTGTTTTGTATATGCATAAAATTCATTACTTATCTTACACATTATATTCAATATTTGAATCATATGCACATAAATTTTGCCTTTTGTTTCCCACAGTCCATTATGTCGAAACCAGGCGCTCACTCATTCATTTCCACACATCGTGATGAATGAATTCTAATTGATATGCTGCATAATGAAAAATATGAAATTCAAATGTGCAACAAGACAGCAACAATGAACCATTCTCGCAATTTATCCGAAGACAGAGCGTTGTGAGAAAAACGGAATAAGGAGAGTTTTTGACAGTGAAAAAATATGAAGAAAGAAATACGACATAAATACTAGCACTAGCAGTGCGTTTAAAGTGATTGTTGTATCATTTATACTGTTCCATTGACCCCTAAGCGTGAACACGGAACGCATATACATGCACATATATGGAGAATGGATTACACATTCGAAAGACAAAGAGACAACAAAACAGATGAACAAATATATTGCTCGTAAAGTTGTTACAAATGAACAATGTGACGATGATTAAAACTGACGATTGGGCGACAATCTTTCGCTCTCTTAAATTAGATGCGTTTATATTGTGTGTTTCAACTTCATTTCACTTCTCCATGTCAAATGAATCACCGTACTGTGTGATAATTCGATGATGAATGTTTTTATATATATATTTCTTGGCGAACAATGACATTGGCAAATCGATTACACTTGGAGCACGTAAATTGTAAAAAGTTTTTTTTTGCCATTTATGTACTAGTAACCAATTATTTATTATTGAATTATCACTTTGAGAATAGTTTTAAACCTGAACAATACACAATCAACAATAACAGAACATTGAACTTTTTGGGTGCAGTTCAAATGAATTCATTTCGCATGCATGCAGTCTGAAATGAAATGTTCCATATCATTCACTTATATCCACACACACACACAGTCGTTTTACATTAAAAAAAATAATGATTCAACTGTGTGATGCACAATTAAAAGTCGTGCTGTGTTGCAATTTTATGCACAAAAATATTCGAATGAAAAGAATATGAGATTCGGTATTTCAGTGCAAGAGGCGAACGGAGAAAGGAGAGAGATAGAGAGAGAAATGAAAGTAAAACAAAAAGAAAATATTCGTACGACGCCGTCTGATGCGAAAATAAATGCTAGCTTGTCTGGATTTATTAAACATACCGCAAAGAAATCCAAAGACAATCCATTTTGGCACGACCACAATATTACAAAGTACACACAAAACGGCTTATCGAACGGCTGGTGAATTCAACTCTATCGCAAATTGAGGTACTATACATGCGTACGCACAAACACTCTTGATGATGATTCACACAAAATTGTACTCCATAAATAAAGCAGCAGCAAGAGAACTTTGTCTGCAAGAAGCAAATAATAATAATAGAAGGATTCTTTTTTTTTCTTCTTCTCCTTATTGAATATATAAAATTTCACGCGCGATTGATACACCAGTGAAATGTTCGTCTTCGAACAAGGACAAATACACACTAAATACGAATATTGTCGCCGCTCCTGAACCCATTGAGAGAATCGAATTCGAATTAGAACAAGCACAAAGGGAAGTTACGTCATGTTGTCTCTTTTTGACGCATCTACATGCGACAACGATCAAACGCGCGTTCTATTGAATATCGTGTGATATATACAATGGTAAAACAGTTTTGGTTTAGTCATAACGCAGAAAAAAGACCGAATAATATAGACGCAATGCGGGTACGAATGCGACGGCAAAACACACGTACGCTTCATGTGAGAGGAAGAGGAGTGTATGTGTGTATGTTCGTGAAAAAGGCATCGGAAATTTGTTTGAGTAAAAGGGCCAGATGCATGCGCACAATCACATTTCTCCAAATAGTATAGACAAGGTACGCACATACTATGTACACATATGCATCGAACGCACTATTCGTCTGTTTGTTTTGTCGTTGTACCGAATTCATACTACAAGATATTCCAGTCAATCGTTCAATAAGACTTTAACATGCTTTGTGCAAATATCCCTTTGACATGTGTGAAAATCAAAACGGCACAATTAGAAAGGGTGCACAACATTCACGACACATTCACTTGACAACAACGGTCATTCATTTGATCTTTTGACGAAGAACCAGAAAACATGAAAGAAAATTAGTCAATTTGATGAAATGTCGTTTCAATTCGACGAAAATAACTTTATTTACGATTTCATTTTATCGAAACTAAATGAGGGGCCAAAATGTTTATGTCACGAAGTTCGTAAAGTTTCCTATTGAGTTCATATAAGATTAACATTTTACAGTCGGCCATTGGTTTTAATGTGTTTCAAGTCAGCGAGCGAATAAAGTGACTGAAAATAGAACGTTCTCGTGATTATGTAATGTCGAATATACGACCATGCTGGTGATTTATGTGCATCAAACAAATCACATACTGCGGACATTTGGGCTCAATCAAAATGAGCCTTCTGATTTCGGTCGCAAAATAAATTGTCGCGACGAAATGAATGTGCGCGCATCCAATTAGATGGATTTCCTCTTTGTTTTCTTTCCTTTTCGAGGAAAATTATGAGTGTCACAATGAAAAATGGGAGCGACGTCCGAAAAATGTCTTATTTGAAAAATTGCATTCGGTTCTTACGTTCTTTTCTCTTTTTTTACAAGCGATCCGCTTGCGGTTTTTACTGAATTACTGAAATTTATGTCATGCGAGTAAAAATTTGGCAGCACACACACACTCTCATAGTTCACCGTTGTTTTTTCTGTAGTGTTTTCATTCATTGCGGTTGTGTGATGTAATACCATTCAGGCATGAATAAGAAATATTTTTTTGTTGAATTGCCGTAATTTCAAGCGAGCCATCATGTCAAATGAAAAATATAAACAGGAAAAAAGATGAAATAAGATATGTTTTCGGTGATTTATGACAACTGGCTGGGCGGAACTCAGCAAACATTACGACAACGACGACAACGTTAAAACAAATCTTATTTTAAGATCGTCAATTGATGCGACAGCGAAACAAATAGTCGTAGATTCACTTAAACAAAATCTCAAACAAAATGAAACACAAATAATCACCTTACATCAACTCATCGACCGGTGCACAAAATTTGACTGTTTTCTCTTATTTTTCGAACACACCAATATAGAAGCAGATTTATCAAATGCAATCGAAGAACGAAACGCAACGTTTCGATGAAATTTTGACAAATTTCGAATCAAATGCGTAATTTTTTTCACGTATCATTTAAAAACTATGAGTTTGTCTGGATTTATTTGTTGTTATTGCTTTAAAACACACGCATGGTTTCATGTTGGTTCGTTTTTACTATGTTGGACGGAAAATAATCGATATCAGCTGCTGTAATATTCTGTGAAGCCATTCAAGTATCACTATGTCAAAAACGCATTTAAATGCACTCAATCCGTTTTGTTAAGATTCTTTTTCTTTTGTTCGCTCTTATTTTTTTGCATACACACTGGTTTCTTTTCACACAGCAATCCAATCGAATATCGAATATCTTTCACTTTCAATTTTAATTCATTTTCGTTTTTAAATCATTTGTACTTTTGGTTGCAATCAGTTGAATATTTTTGTTCGACATCTAATGATTTGTACGTAATTGAAAAAAGAAATTACATGATACGTATAGAAGGTGCATGAAGAAAATGAAATAGTTTCTAAAATCAAGTTGCCAATTAAAAAACTGTTAGTTTTCTTTATGCAATCTACATTATTTTGTTACAGAAACAAATCTGAATCGAATGGAAAGTATTTTCAAGATGGCCGAACGATTCTGCACTGAAGACAACTCTTATCAAATGCCAAGATGAGCATGTTTCACAAATTTCGAATCCACCTTTAAAATACAGGATCAAATAAATCCTGTGCTAAAAACTTCACGTCTGTCTTTCACTTTTTCCATACGATTTGCGGGGCCATTTCGACTGACTTTCGAACAAATAAATAAATGTTCGAAAAATATTTTCGACTTTCAAATCACCAAATGTCACTGCATATATTTAGCATACATTTATATTCACGATGGATAAACATTTTTACCATATGTCATTCATGTGAAACAGACCACTTTTCGAAAAGCTTCCCCTTTTTTATGTCATGTTCGCATTTTAAGTGCTATAAAATTGCGATTTGTACTAAAAAAGGACATGAAAGGAGAAATGTCCTTTCGAGCGGAGAATGTTCGAAAATTCATCGCAAATGAACGGATGTGAAATATGAAATAGTTTTCAGTAAAAGCAATTCCTACCTTATCTTCGGCTTCGTCGGCACGTTCTTCTGCCTCGATAACACGCTGCTCCAGTTCGGAAAGCTAAAATAATAACAGATACAATAATTTATTAGTACTTTTCATTGTTTGTTTGTAATTTAAAAAAAAAACGAAAAAAATCTCAGTTCATTGGCATTTCTCTGGTTTTATTTGAACAGTGCATAACTTGGGATTTGTTTACGTTTCACATAATGTAAACAATAGTTGAGGAGAATGACCGATGAATAGAAATCCTCTGAAGTTTCATTTCAATAGCTGAAAAATTCATTTTATTTTCGAATATTCGATGACAGATGGCGTTTGATCGTCGAGCTTAGATTCGTTCATTTTCTTCACATTGTTCCTGTATTCATTCGCGGATATTCATTCAGAGGGATTGCGGTCGATTCATTCGAGTAGCCGCAAAAATGAATCTATGCATTGTACTAATGTGTTGTTGTTTTTATACGGTATCGTAATTTTTGGAAGGGAAAAGCGATAAAAACCAAAGCGTTTGCATTGTTCCGCGAGCCTTTTTTGGCGAGTGTGTGTATTTGGTGTGCGAAGGATTTTCACTTGATTGAAAAAGGTTAAGAAGACTCGCCATTAGAATTATTGATTTTCATTACAACAATGTGGGGAGGTGGCCATTACTACGCTATTATTATAAGTAGATTTCTGTGGTGCTTGGAAATGCTCTTATGTTCGCTTCACAAGAGCAACGGAATATATTGAGCTAAGTCACAGCCATACACAAAGCATAATCGTATGCCGTGCGTTTCGTGCTAATGATGATTAGTTTCTATTTTTCTGTATGGTTTCTCTTCACTTTCTCTCTCTCTCGCTCCATCGGTCTCATTTTTTTTCGCTCTTCTGAGACGGGGACTTTTTTTTCGGTTTTTGTCTAGATATGTGGTCGAATGTTCACTATTCATATATGTTACGATTGTATTTTCCGGTTCTCATATATAAAATCCCACTAAATTACGATGGTTAAATGCGAGAAACGTTGGAATAATAAATTGGCATTAGATTTTTTGTAATGTGTAGAATATTGCAGGCTGTAACTGGTTGTATGCGTAAGCATAGTATGTGTGCAAAAGCAGCATTTTTCTATCGGTTTGTGTCTGCACAATGCGATAACCAACTGAATGCGTGCATGTATGTACAAGACACACTAGCAGCCGAGCGTGTGTATAGAATTTATTAACGAAAATCGAGTGGGTTTAGTTTAGTTACTTGAATAACGTTTGTTTGACGAAATTGATTGGTTCGCTCTCTTTTTCGCTCGCATACAGTAGTCAATGCGCGATTCATATATCAAAAGATTTTTATGGGAGCCCTTTTTATATTATATTATATAGATTTTTTTTATTAATATAGTGTAATAAAGCTGGTTCTATACATTTTGCGGTTGTTAGATTCGAGTTTAATGAATTTTTCATATGGTTCATTAAATACAGCAAACATAGTGCGTATTGTGTAAACACATTTTATGTTATCGTCCATTATGGGTGACTAAACTGTGAAGCACTCAATTTTAAATCAATTTTTGGGCTACTGTTTTCCATTACGTTTCAATGCCCATTCATTCTATCAAACAAATTGACTTTACACACAAGCATCATTTGGGTCTCATGACATTTCATCTAATTATTTTTTCGGGAGAAAAACAAATTAAACATTTTCAATTAACCAAATGAAAAGCGAATTCATAAGTGATAACAATGGTGTGCAGCTGCTTCCCAATATATATTTATATAGCTGTTCTCTCCATTCACATGGAAAAAAGCGTCGTGCACGCTGTCAGATAAATTTCCGTCATTAGCTATTCATTCGCTGTACCATTTCCAAAGATAAAAATCAGCATGAATATGAAATAAGGACAAAAGCTTGAACTTTTTTTTTAATGAAACCCCAAGTAATTTACTTTTTCTTCGTAATGCACACACACACTTACAGTATCGTAGCACCATTTTTGGCGCTTATCTGAACACATAAAATTTTCTCGATAAAACGGCACTTTACTCGTGCTCTCTTTTGCTCTCTCTTTTATTCTCTTTCGCTTTCGCATTCGTTTGTTTGTCAAAATGACATTTTCCAAGTTCAACACACGAAACATGGCACGAAAATTGATTTAGAAAATGCCATTAGATTAGTACCTTGTGAAACGCATGAAATTGCAATAATTTAATTAGACGTTTGATATGTTTGATGCTCTGCTACACGAAACAAGAATCGAAGGGAAAATCAACGCCCAATGGAGAATAGAAATGGAAACCCTGACATGAAATTTGAGAATGCGAGGGTATGGGGGGCTAGTAACCAAATTGAGATAACAATCTGCTATTGTAAATTATTCCATCTTATGAGTGTTAGACGGCAAAGGAATTATGTTTGCACAAAGTTTTTAATTTCTCATTTCTGAAGCTTCCACTTTCTGACGTAAAGTTTCCTTTTTTTGATTCAGTTCTATTTCGTTTTTTTCTTTTTTTCATGTCGATCGTCCCGCTTTCCATTGATATGCAAAAAAAGGTTGTTTGATGTGAGGAAACAGTGCGAGAAAAAGGTAAAAATGTATTCTCATTTGGAAATTGACATGCGTTCTTCGAGTGAGACGATGTGTTTGACTGCTTCTTGTTTGTTGCCTGTTCACCTTGCTATTTTTCTCAGTCACTCTTTTTTTGTGTTTGGTTTTCCTTTTGTTTATTTATTTATTGAGGGGGGTTACAAGGTGATTGATAGCTTTTTCTATTGGACGTTATGTATCATAAATATTTGTTAGATTTACGCGTGTTTTGCGTTTCACTTTCGTTCACTTGCCGTTGCCACAAAAGTAACGTGTAATTTTTTTTATTTTGTGCTCACATTTTTGCCATATCAAAAGGTATGCGAAATTGTGAACTATAACACAGTAAAGGTACAAGTAGCAAACAAAAAAAAATTGGAACATGAAAAGATGAATGTGCCTTGTGCGCTGAGCATATGTTTTTTTCCTCTCAGTTGAATTCTCCTTCGTCTCATCTAAATGATGGAACGTTTGGGACGCTTCCGTGCACACCAACAAAACACTGAGGATTTTACATTCAATGCCGTTTGTATTTGTTGTCTCTTATTCGTCTTCTTTGCAGTCATACGATACACAAGAACCGAAATATGTTCGCATTTCGTTCGAAATGGATTGAAAAATCGACACAAACACAAAAAATGAAAATAAAATATCAAATACGATGAATTGGTGTGATAAATCTTATGGCAAAAGAATGATGTTGCCGTTTTTCATTTTCTGCACACTCATGCCATTCACCTACCACCAATCAAAGTAAAAACGGTAAGTGAGTGTATGTGCATGTGTACATTTTTGGTTTTTAGTCGTATGAAGCGTACACACTTGCACCAGATAAAAGGAAGTAAAGAACCTTGTGCCGTTTACAACAGAATGCTAATCGATAATGCTTTTTTTTGATTCAATTTTAGGAGAACGATTAATATTTAAACATATTGCTATGTAATAACTGTAATAAGAACATAAACACAGCTATTGCGATAAATGTAGAGTGCATATTTGAAAGTGTTCCCTTCGGGAAAATAAAGTAAATGGAAAGCTATGGCATCCACCATTGCTGTTTAAATAAATGTAAGTATAAAAGCATGTTTCGTTCACTGCAAAAGCGATTCCTTTAAATTTGAATTCGATTCGATTTTTTTTTCCATACAAAGTGGATTATTATTCAGCTCGTGGAAATCACAAGAGCAACTGAATGGAATATAATCAAGACCGAACGAACGACCGACCAACCATCCAACTGAACGAACGTACGATAAAAAAAATCGAATCTTTTTATAAAATCGTTTGAACTACATTGTTTCTCACTTCCGAGAGTTTTCCGGAGCGCTATTTTTCGGTTTGGGAATCTTATTAAATTTGGTCATGCCAAGATTTAATGATCTAATAAAAAAAATCTACGCTTTTTGCAAATATATTCTATGGCCGGCAAAATGTGAATGAAATGGCGTTATGTTCGCGAACCGTATTGCATTCAACCGTTTATTATTCATAAAATTTCGTTGCCTAAATTGGCTTAAATTTCGAATTTCATTATTCGACCTAGATGCTGTTATTCATTTTCTCTTTCTCATTTTTGGCAATACCTTCATCTTCTTTTATTGCCACGACAACCGAATCGTAGAAAAATCGTCGCATAATGGAAAGCAACAATGATTAATTGAACTAAAGCAAATAGCGTTTTCAATATCGATGTCAAAAATATTGCGAAAGAGAGAAAGAGAGAGAGAGAGAGAGAGTGAGAGAAGGCTTAAAATTTTAATTTCAATTTTACATTTTAATATTACCAAAACGACACATGGGCTCTCTATTTTGGTATGCACCAATTCATTAATGGAATGGTCCAAATGAATGGAGCTGAGTTAAAATCCAATTTCAATTAATTTATGCCATAAAATGACTACAAATATGTATATAATTAATTATAAATGGCTGTTTTATTTATTAATTGAATTTTTTTAAAACTGAAAAATAGCCTATTACGAATGGGATAAGCGGAAAATTAATTGCGGACTGGGCGTCGACATTGTAAAACGAATTGAGCTCGAAATTTGAGTGACACTTGGAAAATTGTATTGTTTTTTTTTTCTCTCTTTTAGTTCTTTCTCTTTTTTGGATAAAACGATAACATTCGATCGAAATGGTTCTATCGGTTTAAACTTTTAGTCGAATGGCTGTCGAGCATGTCAATATTGACATTTGAAATTCTCTGTTCGATGTAATTTGAAGGGAAAATTGATGAAAAACCGCAACTCTGATGTTTGTCATACAGATACAAACAATTTGAGTTCGGAGCATCTCCTCCCGTATATCCGTGTGGCGAATCGAGTGAATATAAAAAAATAACGAAAAACCGAGAGGAAGAGACAAAGTAATGGTGGTTTGGCTTTGAGTCAATCACAAATGATGAAAACGACAAAAACACGCAAATATGTCGCATGATTTATGTTCGATTTTACGGGAGAGAAGAGGCAATTTGAGTGGAGATAAGGCTCCAGAATCCAATTAAAATCGAATTACGTGCTCGATACACGGAGTTGTTGGTTATTTTTCTCTTCATCTCTCTTTCTCTCACATGCTCACACGCTCGCACACACACACAGGCAAACACGAACCATAAAAACGGATTTTATTACATTTCACCGTTTGCTGTTTATACGTGCAACGTTTTTCAGCCACTTTTATTTCGCCTGTGAAATTGAATTTATCTTCGAATTGATATATGCGAAGCATTGTCCTTATGAAGTATACACAAAGTGGCTATATGAACAATGGCACCAATAAAACACATCTTTCATTTCATTCGACATTGCGTGTGTATGTTTTATGTATGTAGGTGTACTAATGCTCTCCCTCACACCCGTTCACAATCATTGTGTGACTGAATTTCGATGCTCCGTGCATTTGTGCTGCCACTTGAAAGTGGATAAGGCGACAAAGGTTAAATTGATTATTTTACTTTTGAAAATAGAAATAAATGTATCGTAAGCAGAACACTTGTATATATCGTCTGAAATTCATTGGCAATGTCGCAACGCATAAGAAAAATTAAACACTTTATGGATTTGGTCGTTGTTGTGTTTACTGAATGAAATGGTGAAATGAAAATGCACACGTACACAAAAATGACGATGACGACGACAGCATGACCGAATTTCTGTGAAAAGTGCTCTCTTTTCTTCTTCTTTTGATTTTCACACCAAACACCAATAACCATTGCAGAAAATGCTGGTGTTCAATGATTCCGATTTTAACCATGGCCAACATGGAGCAAGAGAAAAGCCACAGTATAATCGTTAATCGTTAACATGGATCGGGGGAGAAATCCAATGTGGCACGTTGCAATTTTATGACGATCCGTTGAGAAATCGTGTAAATCTACACAGTTCGACAATCACGGCCACACAGCAACGAATTCATGCCGAACTGAAATGAATTTCAAGCATGTGAATGTGAAAACGAGGCAAGTGCCATGCCAAGCCAATTGAAGGAAGAAAACTAAAAACGATGTGTTAAAGAAAATCTCGGTTTTATCGACACATATTAGTAGCATTCATTTTGGTTCAAATTTATCGCTGCTTATGTTGCATTGAAAGAAGTAAGTCAGTCATAACACGCAAGTACATCAACCGATTATATGAGGGAAGAACGAATGAATGAACCAACCAAACAACGACCGAACGTACGTTACGTACGAATGAAAAAAGTGTCAAATACACCGAACGCAATGCGACATCCACACACACACACATACATACTTGTGTATTGTGTTCGAGTAAAACCACATTATGAATGCAGGTTGTTGTAAATCAGCTTTAACTGAAAGGAAAATCCACTGCGAAATTAGCTCACGAATTCGTGTGATGTGCAAACACGTACTTTGCTGTCTCTTGATTTTCACTACAAAAACTCGTTTTTCATTTTCTGTTGCTGATTTCTTTTTTTTTTTCTCGTCTCTGTGTTATGTTCTGTTTTAGTTGCTGCTTGCGTTCGATGTGGTTTTGCTCGCTTTTTCTCTCACTTTAACTCACTGTGTGTATTTGTCATAGATGGAATTCCTTTTATTAGGGTCATTCGACTCGTCTAACAATGACTGGTGTCTCTTGGGCTTCGTTTGCATTCGCTTCATTCGCAATTCGACACACAAACCATTGAAAGAGCTTGGCAAAGCGGTATTTTGCATTCACAGCATCGTTAGCATAGCATTTATGAATAAAATCGTGCAAAAATGTATGTGCCAGACGCACTGGCACCGAGATGACAATGCATAAAATTTGCATCACGAAGAATATTGCAATTCTGTAATAAATAGCACGGAACAACAAGCAGATCAGATCAATACAACGATCGTTCAACACAAAATAAACACATTTTAGCCAAACACACAAAACAGGCCAAACACACTTGCCCCACACATAAACTATAAAATTAGTATCCAAATAAGCCAAAGCTTATCAAAGAACGACCAACGTAACATTCGTGAGTGTATGCATTTATTTGAAAGCTTAAATTGGTTCAAGTAGATTGTTCGAGAGCGCATTATGACGTGAAATTAAAAGCACTTGTTTTCATTTGAATGCACTCGATTGCTCTGTAGGAAATTCCCATGCAGACGCCTTTGTGTCACATTGTCGTGTTCTAGAGGGTCCTCTCCTTGCATGCACACACTCACACTCACCAAAAAATATAGCAATGCATGCATACATTGTGAGGTCTTTTCTAGCATTTAATGCAAATGGCATTCTCTGTGCTATCTATCCCTTCTCTCTCTCTCCCCCCACACTCTTTTTCTACTCTTGTTTTAAGTCACAATTATTAATCGCACACAAACCTTTCGTAGCAAATCCTCAAGAGATTCCATATCAAGTGAATCCATTATGCTGGCATAATTATTGTTCGTTTGGCTCGAATAAGAAGCCAACGATGCCGTCGATATGTTGAATTTATGACGCTTATTTGAAACGGGCGAACTGCGTGCAGATAACGACAATGATGGTGTTTTAATCGTTGCCGTCGATGTTTGCAACAGATTCTTTTTGTTCTTTTGCTGGAGCAAATTTTCCACGGTTAACAATAGTGAGGCATCCATTTGGGCGACGTGATGATTGTACGATACACAAACAAATTACAAACAATCCACAATCAAGAGTGGAGCTAAATGCAAACGAAATATAAAAAAAACCGATTCGCAGCGACACAGTCAATGGAATCGGAAATCGCGTGCACTAGATAATAATGTTGATGGGGCGCTGAAGATGATAGCTGTGTCTCTTGATTGAAACAATTATATCGTTGAATTCCGGATACAATCCTAACCAACCGAACCAGCAACGATGGCGATGATGATAACGATAAAACACAAATGGCAAATAATTTGATAAAAGCGACAAAATCGTCGTGATTTGTAGCATTCATAAACACACACACATATGAGCCGGTACACACAAAAAAAAGACGACAGAGAGATAGGTTCGTTTTTTTCTATTTATTCGTTCTGTCTTTTTACAGGGTATGGTATGGAGGATAAGAGTTTTCGAATTCGCATAAATTCTATTGAGGGCTCGACATATCTCAAGGCAAATCGCCAAACGGTTTTTTATGCTGTTTTGCTAACGCTGCACAAACTGAATATGTCGCTTGTTACATCCGATTTATGCACATTCACTTCTCTTGAAGGTTTTATTTGGCTTTCACATTATCGAAAGTATGGCAATATGTGTATGTGTCCGTGAAAATTTATTTCCGTTTTTGTGGGATATTTTTTTTTGTCTGATTTTTTTTGTCGTCTTTGTGCACTCACATACTCTATCTCTCTGTGTATACTTTTTTTTTCGTTATTTTGCAGCAGCAATAATTCGGTGTCCAATTTTATTAGATATAAAAATTTCACGCTATTCCAATCGATCGGAACCTTTTTTATCACTATCCGTCGAACATACACACAAAACAAACAGTTGAGAGAGACACGGAACAAAGAATATTTCGATTTTTACGCAATTATTTTCCCTGCAGTCACAATAAATCACGTTTTAGCATAAAGTCCTTTTAAACATTCCTACATATTTTTGCACGTATTTTCAAGTATCTATCCACTTTTAACTTTTACTGGCTGTGCTTTTGTGCTTCGATGGTGTGTTTTGAGCGCGTTCGTGTCTTTTTTCTATATTAAATATCGTTCTTATAAATCTATTTAAATTTTTTTGTCGGTTGGGTTTTTGTTTGTTTATTTATCTAAAACACGAAAAGCAGCTTGCCATTCTCACGAGAGTAAACAAATTTTAATTAATTTACATAGGATTCACTGCCACAAATTTAATTTTGTTTGTTTGCTCAGCTCCTATCTTTTACTCCTGTTTGTTGTTTCTCTCTCTCTCTCTCTCTCTCTCTCTCTCTCTTTCTCTCTCTCTTGATAAACGGAGCTGCAATGAAACTGTTATTCGTTTTCTCTTTCGTTGTATTTGTCTTCGTCAGAATTTTATTGAAGAGTGCTAACACACGAAATTTTTTTATCAAAAAACACTGTACTCAAACACATTTACTTCGTCTCATGTTATTTAATTTAAACGCCGGAAGAGATAAAAGAAGCCAGTGTTATGTTGTTGATGTGATGAACAGAGAAAAAATATATCGCAAAAAAATTCGATATAGAATTCTTTTTTTTCTCTATTTACCACTTGGCTGTAGCAACTGAAATTCTACCATCATTGTTGGTCGAAAGCGCATCAGTAACTGAGCTTGATATTCGTTGGTCGTTGAATGTTTATACTAACCATTGCATGGGAGGTGAGTCGGAAAAAACGTTCAATTTTCCACTCATGAGGAAGGAGAACAATTGTGTGGAACATATTTATTTCCAGTCGCTACCCTCTTCAGTGAAACACAACTCAAAGCGTAGAAATATAGGCGAATGTGTGGAACATAAAACCGAAATCAGGGGTAAAAAAATGGAAAGTGCGTGATTGAGAGTTGGGTGCGCACCAACCGTACATGTATGGTGAAGATATAAAAATCATTCTGACTGGAATTCAAGTGTTTAATTCAATGCAGCACTTAAAAAAATTGTCACTTCATTCGGAGACGATGAAACTATTTGTTGCAATATGTTTTACTAGCATTTTTATTGCGACGGAACAGAAGGTTGTAATAGACACACGTAGAAACTATAACATCAGGTGATTTATATTTAAATATATTCAACCCTGAAGTGAATGAGCGAGCGAGAAAGAGTGCAAATGCCAATCAACGTGTTCACAAATAAAACTGAACAAAGTGACAAATAAAAAATTCATTTGATAACATTTACACTCACCTTATCTCGAAGCATGCCACGAATACGTTCCGACTGATTTTTCGAGCGATGCAATTCAAGTTGTAGTTCTAGGCATCTTTCTTGCCAATTGATTTCAGGGAATCCAGTTTGATTGTTGTAATTGTTTACTTGTTGCACGTTCAAGCTATCTGTCAAGGCTGAAAAATGCCAATTTGGATGGTTGCCACTGCCGCCACTGCCACCGTTGGACGGTGTCGTTTTCGAGTCCTTCAGAAGGCCGTTTGATTTTTGTACGGGCGTATCACCGCTACTACTGTGATTACTGTGTGTACTGTGTGCGGGCGATGCTGGTGGCCGATAGAAATGCGGATGTTTAGGTATTAATCGTGGACTACTGGGCATAGATCGGCAACCCATTGAAATTTTTCGTATCGCAGCACTTGCTGCAATCGCTTGTCTTTGTCCATAGCTATCGGAATGTGAACTCATCTGCAAACGATGGCGATGGAGAAAAAGTGTGAGTTCAAGAGGGAGAGAAAGAAATAGATGAATAAAAATAACCACAAGGTAAAAGTTTAATTTTATTTGAATAAAAAAAACTTTGCATACATTTGAAATCAGTCGTTTCGATCTGGTTTTGCAATGACACTTACCGGATTCGATGATGAAGACGATGACATAGTCGATTGCAATGAATGCAAAGTTGTGCTGTCATAGTCTGTTGTTTGTTCGCCGCTGGCATTTAAATCGATAAGCGGCGCAAAGATGGTTGAGAGTCTGATATGTGATGCAATACCATCGCTAGATGTTGTTGCTGACGGTAGTGATGTCGAATTTTTGATTTTGCCCGCACCAAGTGGAAGTTGAGTTTTATCAGACATCTGTTTTCAATCTGTCAACAGTATCTCTGGCGTTTCATTTCTAGCAAATCGAACAATTGAGCGCGAAAGAATGAGAGAGATAAAAAACACCACCAAAATCAGTGAAGAAAACGTGGAAAATTTAACATTTTAGTTTTATTATAAAATTTAAAATTCATGTGGCGAAAGAGTTTTAAATAAGAAATGTTGTACGATAGAGTGGGTATTATAGAGTGGGTGGCGGGAAAAGAAAATAAAACGAAAGGCGGATGCTCGAATAGCGCGTTACATGAAAATGGTAAACGATTGACTGTATCAAGGAAACATTCATGATTAAGGATTAGAATAGGTAAAAAAGTGGCGGAAACGACGATAATTTCGAAACAGTTATCCAGTGCGCAATGATAATAATCGTAAAATTTTATGTGTTTCACAGTTCTATCGAACTATTCCATATTGTGTATGTGTGTGTGTGTTTTTTTCTATTCAGTTTCCTTTTGTACGTTGGGTTCACAATGTAAACGTGTCTGTGTGTGTGTGTGTGCCTGTGTGAATTGTATGGATAAATGTGTGTTGGCGCGCAAAGTCGATTAACCGCAACAAATAACTCCATCAAAGCTGTGTGTCGTTTTCGATTGTCTTTGGCTGTATGCTCGCCACTTTGCCCATTTTTATAGTGTCGTTTCGTGTCGTGGTGCCAGTCTCGCAGTAACTGAATGCGATCTTTTTAATTAAAGTAAATATTCTGAACAGGCGTTAATGGCCCCAAAATGGTTATGATTATCTGTTTTCGTATTTAACGAAAGAAGCAGACACAAATGGAATGAATGAGATCAACAGCAAGTGTATTATGTCCACAGCTATGTTCGCATGGAATCCGAAACAGGGCCGTTGATGCAATTAAGCATTTTAAGTGCAATTGGTTTCGGTACACACAAATGATTCGTTCCTGTACATAAAAGGCGTGATATTATGCTTATACGATGGCCAAAATGAGAAGTACGAGGTACAACATCTACTTATTTCTTATTTACACGAATCATTAGCCAGTAATGTACAATGTTTGGAGGCAGTTCTGGACTAAAACGTCGAAGGCGAGAAAGAGAAAAGAAATACACACACGAAACGATACGACACCAAATAAACCAAAACGCAATGTACGAGCGTTGGTGTGGTACAGAACGTTAATCGATTGCATTAATTTAAAGTGGTTTGCTTGAAACAGCGTAAATAGTATTTACCAAACATAAAATACTAAACACCCGTACAAAGTACAACCACAAGCAATAGATTTGCTTTGTTGTGTTCGCCGTTTGTATTTTACTTTTTGATTTTTAAATTAATTGCGCTCTAATCGCATGAAAAATTGAATTCAAACACTGAATGTACAGGCGTACAAAGCCAGTGTGAGCGAATGAGAACGAGTTGTACGAGCGAATAAATGAATGAGCGAGGGAGTACATAAAAACCATCATCAGGCAACCAAAAAAATACCTACGCGATTTCATATTGTATTACGCCATTAAGAGTCGAAAACAGTGTGGACGAGTCGAATGTGTGGTTTGAACTGAATAAATGGTAATTCTGGGGCATTTTTCGTTTCGCAATAGCAGCAACCATTTGAGTTCATTAAATGACGATAAAATGATACGCTCATTCATTCTCATCATTGTGTGTCTGGGCCACACACAACATACAATGCATTCATCCACATTGACTTCGACTTCGATTTGAACTTCTCTAATTCGATATCGTTTTGTTTAATCTTCTGCATTTTTCGTATTCCCAAATCTATTGCCACAAAGTCAAAAGCATTTGGAATATGTTTTGCTTTAATCTCTAAACGAGGTCCAGCAGCAGCCAACCACCACCACCACTACCACTACTGCCAGCAGCACATAAACCAAACACAAAGTAAATTTATGTATCGATTTTTTATTCGCTTCAATCCAAATCACTTATACGACATACGAGAATATATATACATGGTAAGAGTGAGAGAATGATGATGCGAGATAGAGAGATGCTATGCACACGCAGAGAGCAAAATAGTAACGATATAGAAAGAGATAGAGCCCAAGCAAAAGAGACAGAACACAAACACAAATCGAAGAAGAAACGAATCGACGATGATGTGCGCGATTGTGCCATGGCACACAAAAATATCTCCACTGGGAATTTTTGCGATGATAACATTATCGAACGGTTGTGGTTTCGCATCGTCTTCATCGTATCGCTATAAGTTTGCACGTTGAATTGTGCCATCACATAAATTTCATGTGGAAAGTTGCTGCTGCCGCCTTGTTTCATGAACGGTTAGCAATCGGATTGTCACACGAGCGCAAGTTTTTCACACGTCGAAAAAGAAATGAACACACACTCACTCATTCATTCACTGCCAAAGAATAAGAAGAAGAATACAAAAAAATAAGAACTCCTGTGCAAGAGTGTAGCGATTTTTCGTCTTTCTTTTGTTGTTATCAGGAGTTCGTTATGGATATGGTTTTTATTTCATGACGTTTAAAGTAGAACGGGCTTAGTTTAATGGTGTGCCATCAATTGTTGTTCGTAATTTGCTACACATTAGTCTTACGGGTGTGACAATGTGCTGCTTCGCAGTAAATGCTGCATGAGAGTTGTCTGAGTTCTAAGACTCAGAGTGTGAACGAGAAAATTGTTGTGAGTGTGGTGCATTTGGCAAAAGATTTTTCGCCATTTGCCGAGTTGATTAAAGCCGTTTGTATGATCGGAGGACAGATACCGAAAAAACGAAAATGAATGCCTTTTGCTCAACAATCGTTTGCTCGCCAAAACAGTTGATTTTTCATGGAGCAAAATGTCGCAAGCGAAAAGAGTAGAAATTATATTCGCAATAAATAATCCGGTTACAGATGTTCTTTGGCTGTATTAAGGAATTGTATAAACATATATACATAAATAAATGTGTGTTTCTTTTCGTCTTTTTAATTCTTGCTAGGTTTCAAAAACCAGTTGAGCGATCGGTGAATGCATAAAAGACAGCTGGTTCGAGGCAGTAAGCATAATCGAACAACAACAGTTGCACCCATCCAATAGCCATACACACACACACACAACCGAGCATGTGTCGTATGATAGAATGGTGCAGAAAAAATAGAGGCACGCACAAAACCCATACGAACGAGCCAATTGCTTATATTAATCGATAATCGCTATGACTGGGGCTATTATCGTTGCTTATTATTACCGATTTGAAACTGACACACATTCCAAACTATATTCGATAAGGTTGGATCAACAACACCAGCTCAATATTGCCAGCACATGTAAAAGACGATTCGCAAACGCAAATCAGTGAACTCAAACGGAGTAAATCCATTTGAAACGACTTCGACGGCGATGGCGTGTATAATATCCAAGGCAAATGCGAAAAGTATGCGTGAAAACATATTTCGACAGTTTTATTTCGAATCGTTTTATGACTGTCATGGATTTAGCACATCGCCGCTGCAATTCGAATAAATTCCCGCACAAGTAACTGAGCGAAGAAGAAAAAAAACACCCAACGTAACATACATATTTTATACATGTAACACACAGCGATTTCTCGGCATGGATACCATGACAACTACTCGATGCCAAAAAAAGACTCACATTCGTACCTTTTTTGCGAAAAAAAAGTTATGTTTGTTTGAAGTTTTCTGTTTTTTTTTTACTTACAATATTTCTGCGTTTTTTTCCTTCGCTGCTGTTTGGTTGTTGTTGTTTTTTATTTTCTTGGTATTGACTCCGTCACTTCATTTGGTTATTGTATTTTGTGGCACAATCGATGTCATTGTGTTTGTTGTCATTGATGTCAGTAGTCAAAAATGCTTGAAAACCTTTCAAGTTGGTCGCTTTTTCTCTATCTTTCTTTTTCGCTCATCTACCGATAATTGTAGATCGCTATTGTTGTCGTTTCATTCACTTCAAAAACGGAATAATTCGGTCGTATTTTTTATGCATATGTTTTTATATTTTATAAAAAAAATAACACAAAAATAATTTTTCAGGTCTTTATGTATGTTTTCTACCTCATAAAATGTTGTCAAACACTACCTCATTTACTTTAACGACAACAATATTTTCTTTCTATATATCTCTTGTGTTTTTCTTCGTTTTTCTCGGTTCGACTAATGATTGTTCTCTCTCTCTGTGTGTGTGTTTTTTTGCTTCTCATTTCATTTTCCGTTTTGTTTGTGGTTTTGTTTTTGTGTAAAAATTGAAATTCTTTTGAGTTCTTTGGCATTGCTCGGTGGCATTTAATCTGGGCTTTAGTTGATAGATTTTTGTTCGTTTCGTTCATTGAAAACGTAAAAATGTCGTAAACTATCATTTAGGTGCTAGAGAAGAGCAACCTGGTCGGGTCCGTGTGCAGCATTTAAATGTTCACACACAACAACATTGTCTATGATTCGGCAGCAAGGCGACTCCCTTTTTCAAATTGTTCACATACTTTTCGCTACCAAAGAGCAGAGCGATTTTTGTGCGAATGAAAGAGAGCATAAAAAATGAACCCAGCAAAAATGAAGTTTAATTAAGCGAATATTTTCCCATTCTTGTTTGACAATGTTATAGTCGTGGCGATTGTCGTACATTGACGTTCATTCTGTATCATCTAGCACGAAATGAAAATCCAGCACGGTTTTCACTGTAAAACGTAAATGCCAGCAATTGTGCAGCAACTCGTGCAAGCAACAAAACCAACTCAAGTAGTCTTATACGACAAAGATGTATCCAGGGGTATTTTCTCAATCTTGTTTTATTTGCTCAACAAACAACCGAACCTTAATTTATTTCTATGGAATACACATTAAAAAAAACACACATTTCGTTCGTAAAAAATCCAGTATATTCTCTCTCTCTCTCTCTCTCTCTCTTGATTTCTTTTAATTTTGTATTCACGTCAGTTGCCCGTTCGTTCACCAACAAAATAAAATAATATACATACACACTATGATACACAACGAGAAAAAACAGAGAAATGAATTGAGAAAAAAAACTATTCGCTGCTTCTGAAATCACTTGATTCTTTTTCCCTCTCTCTTTCTGTTTCTCATACACTATTCTTCTCGGTAAATTATTATTTTATTTATTCCACTGAAATTTTACACAGATTTTTGCTACACATCACACGTTGAAACGTGTGTATCACTATTTTACGATTGTGAGCAATAATAATAATTGGCGTAATGGCATTTATGCGACTGTACCATCTGATTCACTCGACCATCCGACAAACATATTGAATTATTGATACAACTAAAATAAAAATGTCTTTCGTATTTTGTTTTTTTTTTTTTCTCAATTGTGAGTGTGCACATTCATTGACCGAGATAAAAACCGAATAAAAAAGAATCTACGGTGTATGTACGAACTGATTTTTATATTTGACTGTGACTGTGTGCGAGTGAGCGGGTGAGTGAATGAAATAAGAATTGGATTGGACAACAATTGACGACTAATTTTGAAGCGCACGAAATAACATGCACACACCGTATGTGTGTACACTGGTCGACGGTTCATGTACAACTGTCAGTGCCTGACTGAAATGGAAACTCAACGAAAAACGACGGTGCTGGGTCGGTAATGCGATGGATAAATGACACACCGTTGTCATATTTTCCAATGCTGTCAGTCTCATTCTGTTGCGCGTTACACGCATTGCATGCCGCACGCTTTTGGTATCTATTGTAAAGCAGCATGCGTTCATGTCCACCTTAACACATTCCATTACATTCCATGGAGTAACGTTAGCATTTGGTATTCGCATTGGTACTTGTTGAAAATCCATTTCAGTATTAGATAGAGTCTAACATTAAATTATGAATGTTTGTTGCGTGCGAGCGACTGTTTATTGCAACGACGGGAGTTGTTGAGTGCTATTTTATTCAGTAAAAACATTGCGGTAGTTCATAAACCGTTGCTGAGAGGTTTTCCAACAATAGAAAAATATCTCAAAGAACACAATCGCTTTTTCTTTATCAAACTTACTACATCTATGCTCGTTGCTCGACATCGCGCGCGTGTTCTACTGAATTCGTGTGATTTTTGAGCAAATCAGTTGAGTTTTTTTTTATTGATTTATGACGCTTTATATTTTAACATGATAACATTGTTGTGTGTATATGATTTTTAATCCAATCAACTTTGTGCATAAGTAAGCAATTTTCGGTATGTTTGCGTGTGTGAGAACGGGTCCAGCTATATATTTTTATTCATTTCAATACACTAATGCGGACTGAATCGATAAAATAAATAAAACAATAAAAACGCCATCAAAAAATGTTTCAAGCATTATAACTTCTTGAATAGACTTATTATTTTTCTTCTTGTTTCGTTCAACATTTTTTACAACTTAGTCTGCTTATTTACAATACAAATGCGTACTCTAAAAGAATCTCATATACAATTGGGGTTTTTCCATTATTTAACTGGTACATTCTTCAACGTTCATTTCGTTTTCTCCTTCCTTTTCTTTCTATGAAATGCGGAATGTCGATGTGGTAAAATTTAAACGCGACTCTCTAACTTTGTTATCAGACTTTGAGCTGCCTCAAGCACACTATAAATGTATGGACGTTCCATTGGATTGATTCGTAACATGAAACCGATTAAATTGTGCATGTCCTGAAATAAAATGAAGGAAAAAATAAATAAATAAAAGAACACACGCAATGCAATTAAGGTAAAGTAATTAAGAAAAAAACAAACCTCTGAAAATGGTGAGTCCTGTGGAAAGCTCACGTTACCGCTGAGAACCGCGAGCGCAACACTGTCTCCTTTTTCGTAAATGATATCGTAAGGGCACTTGAAAAAACAAATTGCATACAAAACACATCCCAAACTCCAAATATCTGTACGCTCGTCAATCATGCAATACGATTGTACATTGAATAATTCCGGCGCTCGATATACTATTGAACAACGTTCTTCTGCCAAATCTTGTAGGCGCTGTGCTTCATGTTGACCGCAAATCTGTTCTCGTGCTTCTGTACATGATCCCAAATCGACTAGAATTGGTTCCATTGAATCGGATAGACAGATATTTGCTGTGAAAGAACATGTGACGTTTAGTATGATGCAGTCGTAATGTGTTTGCGCAAAAGTGAATTTACCTGTTTTTAAATCACGATGTGCAAGAGGTTCTGGTTTGGCTTCATGTAATGCTTTCAATCCTTCGCAAATGCCCACGAAAATTTGTAAAACTTGCGATTCGGCCATGTGATCATTTGCTTTGGCTCGCATATTTAAATGGTCGTGTAATGAACCGTTTTTGAAAAATGGAAATAAAATGTTCACATGACTGATGGTATTTATCACAATATCGGCATCACCTTCCAGTTCAAAATCGATAATTTCCACCACATTCGGATGTTTAATCGATCGTGTCAATTCAACTTCACGTATTGCGATTTTTTGGTCCTCAATACTGTGACATGTTATTCGTTTTAAAGCGTATTTACGTTTAGTTGTCGCATTCTCGACTAAATCTATTAAACTAAAACCACTGCAAATACATAGAAACAAATATTTTTTTTTTTATGATTAACTTTCTCTGGTGCACTTTTGCGGTACTTACCCTTGTGCAATGCGCTCTTTGATTACATATTTTGTACCGCCAATTACGAGTGTTTCTCTTGAACACCAACAACCTGCTTTCAAAATTAGTGCCCAACCCAAGCTATTCATTTTCTATGCCTACACACTCAATGGGTAATTTTCATGAATCAATTTTAATTTACAGCTTAATCTAATTAATTCCACTTTCTCAGATAAACAAACGATATACAAATACACGGTTTTCGAACAATTTATGAATTAATTGAAGGACAATTTGCGCCTGAGATATAAATTTTACATAAAAATTTAAAATTTTCCACACAATTACAGTTAAAACAATTGAATTTCTCTCTAAATTTCGGCAGTATGTGTTTATTCAATAAAAATAGAAAGTTACACGGTTCGTATATCATACGCACAACAGCAACAACGATGACTGTCAACTAAACGTCATTCGGTAAAGAGTACGTTTACATTGTGCGGTTGTTCATCCAGCAAACGGTTAGTTTAAAACTTAACATCATTTTACGAGAAATATAAAAACATTTGGTGTTTTGAAAGTTTCAATTGACGTGGAAAAAAATTACATAAGAGAATTAAATTGTTTTTGTTTGAAATAGTGATATTTAAAAATCAACAACATTTGATACGGGCACTAGTTTGCCCGAAAGTGTTGCCGATGCGAATTATTTAGTGGATACCGATTTGAGTCACACAAACATGATCACACTTCCCCATTGAATCGTTCTTTTCATCTTCAGCGTTTGGAGAGTCAACAACTCATTTTCACTGAGTGAAATAAAAAAAAGTTGAAATTTTATTTTCAACAAAAAGACAAAGAAATCTTGTCTTCCACAATGGGATCATCGACAGAATTAAATGTAAGTTCATTTTTTAAATAAATTTCCAGATGAAATTCTTATCGCAATCAGGTATCTATAGTGCATGATTTTGCCATTCATGTTTTGCTGCTCGTAGTATTGCGTATAGAAACGTTTTATTGATCATCGTTTGCTTGTACCAAGTCTAATCACTACAAGCATGGAATTATAAATAATACAATTTCTACACTGAAAATTCCAATGAGTGAAACGAATGTACGCTGTAGAAAACTAACCTCACTTTCTATGTGTTTTTACAGCAGCAACCGTTGCCCGTTGCAAAGGCCGGCTAATCATTGAACATAAAATGAATTCCTTTTTTGGAAATTCTTTTGGTGAAAAATGTAAGTTCAAAAACGTCGATTTTATTCTTCAATATTTTGATTGTAGCACACTTGTGGTAAAATTCAATTTCGAATATTCCATGGAAATTGTAATTTATTGTGATATTTTGTGTGCGATAGCAAACGGCAGTTCGTGGGTCGCATTTGAAATAAATTTCCGTTTTATTTTGAATTGACACCTTCGTAACACAAAATTCACAATTTTAATACCATTTTCAACCCGAAATTAAACGCGAAAACTGATGCATTTTTGTGTTGTTTCAATTTTTTTAGGTTAGGTCATGAGGTATGACCACGTGGTATGTGCGCAACCAACCGAGCTCATTGAACTGAAACCCATGAAGGTAATATACATTTGAGTGTGTTTTATTTTTCAATTTTCAACATGATGCTATTGTAATCCGTGTTTCACCTGATATTTAATGATTATAGCTTTGTATTACTCTGATTTATCAACATAATTGAAGTTTTCAATGATTTTAAAGGTTTATTCTAATATTTTTTCTATTCACTTTAGGTGAAGCCACATGTCGATGGATACATGATCCGCAAATTTCAGCAACATCTTCAAAAGGGTAATTTCTTTTTATGAATTTTCAATTTTATTTCAACTATTTGACATTTTTGGATATGATGACAATATCACACTAGGCGCAATTTTTTTTGACGATACTCCTGCAGTGCTGATCCATTTTCGATCAAAACTCAACATTTTATCGATACATTTCACATTGAAACTAATTATGGTTTTTATTTCTTTTACAGATTGGCACTGAAACCATAAAACGTAAAATTTCCACACAAGAAAATTGCACGAAACCAGAACAGACTTTGTTGATTTTTGATTTTGAGAAAATCGAATTTAATTGATAGTAAGAATATTGCGGCGAGTAATTAACGAACATTTCAAGCCAAACTCACGGGATTACATACGAGTTCCTGGTAACTCATTTTTTATCCTGGGTAAAGTCCCCGGGCCAGCAGTAGAAAGTACTGATGCGTTAAGCATTTCATTGCAGTTGTCGGTATTTTGCTCATAAAATGAGAGAAACACCTTAACGGGTATTTCGATTTTTTGTGGTAAATGTTCGCTTCTGCAAACCGGCCAGAATCTATAGATATGTTTTGGGCTTTTTCAATCGATCATCTGTTTCGATTGTTAAACCACCACAATGGGGCTCAGTCTGTAATGTTTGTACCCTTTTACTCAACAACATGTTCTTGCTTGATACTGAATTCGATTTCCTCAATTTTCCGAAAAACTAAACGAATTTTGACAAATTATGTTCTGGTATCGTGTCATTTTCAAACACTGCATTCAATTGCTTGATGAGAGTGTTTTTGGGGGCGGATATTAACTTTGTACATTTTCAATTAACATCGCTAGGTTTAACAGTCGCAGTCAATACAGTCTGCATTCAGCTGTCGCTAGGTAATTATATTCGATTAGATTTTATTCTATTTTGTAAATTGTTTTTGTATATGATGATCTTAAAAACCCAGGCCTTGGGACACTTTTGAGTGTTTATGATAATAACCTTTTCTCACTGAAGCTTATTTAAGTCACACCCATGTTGTCAAATTTGAATGTTGAATTTTACTAATAATTTCACTTGTGCATTTTTTATCTCTTTTCACTTAATAGGAATGTGAAGCATCCAATTGACGAAGCATTTGCGCGAGAGTAAAATACATATTCAAATGTATTCCTATTCAGTTTTGAAATTTGAGAAATAAAACGAAAAATCAAAAATTAAAAAAAAAAGTTTTTTTTTTTCATTTCCATTCAAAAGGCTTTTATCATAAGAAACTGATTCTAACCTCAATGACAGACCATTTAAATGAAACCGCTTTAACACATTGTAATCAATGTAAGCCCGAAAGTTAAACACATAAGCGTAAAAAAGCGGAGAAAAAGTAGCACCCCTCTGATGTGTGTGCGCTATCAGAAATATGCGTTTATTGCCTCTTATCCAATGATCAGGGAATCTATTATACAGACACACAAATACATGTAGATATGCCGAAATGTCACATTTTATCCACCATCATGTTTTTTTTTTACTTTTTATCGAGGTGTTTTGAATCGGTTCTAGTCGCACATTAGATTTACGGAAATCGAAAACTTAGTTTTAAATGAAAGGATGTAAACTCGTTGTTTGTTACAAAAGCGCCTTCAAAATTAATTGAAAACAAAAGCAATTCACCAGCTAGAAGTTTTTTTCTTCTGTTTTGTTATTGTTATTGTGTGTGCATGTGTATATTCTAAGCGATAGAAAATGATATCATCACTGCTGAGCTTTCTTTTCAAAGTGTTTTTGTTTATCTATCGTGTGATCAGATTAATCTATAATTTGGCGAGTGCCACCAGTTTGGGATTTGTATTAATTATTGGAATTTTAGTGTTTGCATTGAGTCGATATTTTCGATTGAAACAACCGAATTTACCAAAAAATTTAATCGATGCCATTGGCAGTAATCATCAACATATCGACAGACAATGTTCAACGGGACAACAAAACCTACGATGCGATTCAAGTGACACGATTTCATGGTGGCCCATCGCTAATCGTGCTGCTTGTTTAGATTGTATTGAAAATTCACGTTCCGCTATTGAAAATGTAAGTTCAACCGAAAATGGAAAAAACAAGTATATTCATTGGATAAGTATTGTCTGTGGTGTCGATATAGTAGAATTCTATAAACAGTGCTAATTTAAAATTTATACATTCTTTATGGGTCGATCCATCACATTGGAATTGGGTCAAATTCTCGATTACAATTTCAACATTAAAAATTCATACTCACGAACAAACTCATTTATGCGGTAGTTTCGAGGTAGTTTAGTACATGTTAATCAAATAAGATCGTAAATCGTGCATTTTATATTTAGACTCCCGACCTACAGACCGTATATATACCAGAATAATTACTCCATAGCACGGCGCATCTCCAATGAGATAAAATTTCACCTAATGCCATAGAAACGCTATACACAACATACATACGAACATATTATGGTGCAGGAAATATTTGTTTTTATTAACCATATTAAATGGTTGAATGCGAGAAAAACGATAATTTAATGTAGATTTTGACAATATTCGTCTTAAATTAAGTAACTTAGTGCCTAAGAATTGAAAAACAAAAGCGTATTTTCAATTGTTTCGATTCGTCATACAGACGCTAAACACGGGTCCACCTTGCCATCCTTTGAGATAATCGACAAATTTGATTTCATGCTTTATTGGCCATCGCCACCAATCGAAGGTCAACGTTTTTTTCAATTTTTCTTGATACGCGTCCAAAAATTCGTCCTTTTTCAAGTAACACCATTTGACCAATCTGAATTTAACGTCACTTTTCTCGACTTGTATTGAGGCGGTTGCTCTACGTAAAGTGGCACATTTTTCCATAAATATAAGGGCACCGGCAAATGCGTACGTTTGCTTCGAATCTTCCTTGAACTTTGAAATAAATTCGACTTCTTCGAGGCGTCTTAAATTTTTTGCAAGTTTTTCAATGTATTTTAAATCGAATCCTTCGAACGATGTCAATGAGAACGATCTCAAGTGTGTGCATTGAAGAATTAAATCGACCGATTTGTCATTGAGTTGAAAACCAACAATATTCAAGTGTTCGAGTTGCGCTGAGAAATGTTGCCATTCAATGTCGTCCGTTTTATTTTCATTCGAGAAGATGAGTTTCAAGCTGGTTAAATTTCCAAAATTGAATGGTGGCTTTGGAAATTCATTTCGTCCGCCAATTTCCAATTTCTCAATATTCAGCATCGTATCCATTGAGAGATCATTCAATGTCAATTTTAGGTCATACATGCTCAAACTTCGCAGCTGTGGATTCAAATTGACAAACCGATTTATGATGGGCAGAAAATGTGGCAGGAATTTTGAATACGGAAATGTAAAAATGCCAAAATGTTCCAAACGCGGAAAGTTTTGTTCCATAACAAATGATTCAAACGGATGAAAGACGTTGTGAAACTCGAGGAAACGTAGATTTGGAAACATACGATTCAAATTATCAACCGGTGACAATTTCGCTATTACTTCACAAAAAATCACTTTTTCCAACCGCGTAAATGTTTTCGGACGATACCGTAGCTCATTGAATACGCACGATCCAAAGAATTCCAACTCTTGCAATGTGTCCAGACAGTGTTCGGCTATTGGGTTCATTAAATTGAAATTTGGCGTACTTCGGAATGAACTAAGCGCATGAAACACCTTTATTCTTCGCATATATTTGCCAAAATGTTTGAATATGTTCTCGACCAGCGTTGAATCGATGGTAAAATGATCTGATTCAGCCATCGGATGATATTCAGGTATTTGAATAACTTCACCGCGTGACTTGAAGAATAACTGATTATTTTGATGTGTTTGATTGAAAACGAATTTGGCTGGCCTTGCAAGACGAACATTGGACTCGGCAACGTTCGTTAAATCGATGAGGCTCAGGTAACGGAATATTCTCACCAAACAATCATCGCTCAGATGGACAATTTTGATACTTTCGTCTAGAGATTCTTGCGCTGTGAAATCGGCATTTTCTGCGGCGGTTGATAAAATTGGCACTTCTTCTGGCGAAATATCGATTTCTCGTAATACTTTCTTTGTCGGTGGCTCGGTCATATTTGCTGCAATTCAAAAATTCAATATTTAAACTTATTTTCGTATTAAACAAATGCTCACAATTTTTGCACAAATTCTCGTTTACCTTTACTCATTAAATTAAATGACCACATGTTCTACGTCTTTACCACAACAATATGTTTCAATCGCATAAGATGCACAAGCACAACTAACATGCAGTGCACAAAATTTGCAAACTTAAGTGCACAATATTGTTAAGATCAATTATGTCGGCATTAGAAATACATTTGTTTTCAATTCAAACATAGACAACATAGACTTTGAACCATACAATATTATAATCTTTTTTGTACCTAGCTTTGCACTATAATAATATTGTCAATATATTTGCCCCTAACGGAAAAATCCAAAACTAACTCGCAACACACATATTATTAAGTATTTTGACGTTTAAGTCTCCAATGTATTTCGGTTATACAAAATGCAAAGTAAATGTTTATCTTTTTGAAAAGTATATGAAAACAAAATTAAATTGGAAAAAAATGCAATATTCACGTATTATAATGATTTGATTTTCGTTTCGTTACAGTGTGTCGCACAATCGTGTACCAACATCTTATTGGATGTGAATATAACCAAATGCGGCCAATTGGTAATTTTACATGAGAAAACATTACACAGGCTTGATAACAGCTTACCAAATGGATCCACAGATCATAAGCCTCAATTATCATTTTCCAAGATTAATTCATTGAAATTTGATGATTTAAAATCAATGAACATCGCAAAAAATCATCCATTATGGTATGGTAATTTAAAATTTGAATAAAAAAAAGCTAATACAGCAACTGTATTAATGGAATAATTTATGTAAATTTCAGTGAAAAACAACCAAATGAATCGATACTACAATTCAATGACCTCATGCACTTGCTCGATATGCATGAAAAAATTAACATTTTTCTCTTAATGGGCTCAACAAACCAGCAAATCGTTTCGAATATTTCACGATATTTCGAAAATAATCCGGAACGTTTTAAGCGAATCATCGTCTGCAGCCGGTCTCCAAAGGCCATTTTTCAGGTAAAACAAATCATTTCTGCAATAAACTCTTTCAAGTCCGTCAATATTCGCTGTCAATTACTTTGATTGTGACATTGAAAAATTTCAGTTGCGGAAACAACATCCCCAATTTATTTGCGCCCTTTGGTTGGACAAAGTTACAAAAGTAAATCTTCCGTCGATATTGCTGAATTCACCGTTCTTTTCATTTCTGTACGGACTGCTGTATCGCAACATAATCGCTGTGTTGACGGGCATTAGTGCAGTTTTTATCAACAAACATGATTTTAATGAGTAAGTTATTTGAATTCACCATCGTTAAATCTCTTTTGTTTAAAAAATATCATCATTTTTTTCAATTCTATTAATATTTCAGACACATCGGTCAAATGTGGCGCCAATCAAATATACAACCAATAGTCTACACATTGAATTCACCAAATGAAAAACGTTACTTTCAACATACACTTCGCACTCAATATCTAACCGATTCGTTGCGTTCGGAACCATCGAACTTTGTCAAAATCAAAAAGTGAATCAAATTACCGCTATGGCCCTTTTGATAGACAAATCGAATTGAATTCATACAACAATCCCTACGAAAATTGCACTTGTTCAACAGACACATCTAAAAAAAATAGAATAATACATTTAACAAAAAGAAGCCTTTGCCACAGATCTTGCTCATCGTCAATTTAATTATAACAATAGATCTACAAAAAAAACAGCGACCAATTCATCTAACATACAAAATGCAGCTATAAATGGGAAACTCTAAGCATATAACATATATATATTTTGCTACAAAAAACACAATTCGTTAAGTTCAATGTTTCAGACTGAAACCGTGTTGGGCGTTTTTGCAGCTAGTCATTTCGGTTTCAAATTTACTTTGTAAAATAAACAACGTATTTAATACACATTCGTAGATATTTAAGTTTTTTTTTTTAAACTAAATAGCAAAAGGCGGCACAGAAGAAATGTAAGAAGAGTACATGAAAATTGTATAAAATTTCGCTATCGAGTAAATAAAAATACCGTTATAATTAAGCGATTGAAATGATGTGTTTGTGGTCCGTTTTTTTTTTTAGAAAGAAAGTGAATCTATTGCTCAATGCATTACAATATAAAATCCAACATTTTCTTGATACAAAAAGTAAAATTAATCGAACGAAGCCGCTGCTAATGAAATCGATGCGAAATTGATGATTATTATTATCGTTTTTTTTTTTACTTCGAATTGCATCGATTCATTGTAAATGTATTTTTTGTTTGTTATCAAGATGCCATGGTGTTCATGTTGTATGATGTGAACATTTAATCGTTTCGATTGAATAAATTACATGTATTGAATCCCATCATAATAACAGTGTTCATGTATCAAAGTGGGAAATTGATTATCGTTATCATCGACTTTAAAAATTAATAAAAAAAATGATTGAATATTGCTTGGTGGGGCTTCGATGAATGAATGTGTGTGTGTGGTCAAAATGATGAATGAAATTATAACTGTGAGACAAATCGATTCAGCGGCAACGGACAAAAATGATTAACCTGGAATCGGTGCGAAAAACCACTCATCGAATTACTTCGGCAACCGGTATTGCAATCGACCGTTTAATTGGTACAAACAGCTCATCACTTGTTTTTGTTTTTTGCGTATTTCTTTGAGTATATGGTCATTTTGTGTGATACATGATATATCAAATTGTATGATTCGACTATAGTTTCCATGATTTTATGATCTTTTGTTCAGTCTCTGCGGCAAGGAATATAAAGGCGATGAATGCGAAGATGGCAAAAATTTCACTTTATTCATTCATAAAATCTCATGTCACCGCATACATACACTATACACATAAGCATCGGTTTAATGACACAAGTTTTCTTTTCGGTTTTATTTACATCAGAAGTTTCGCATCGCTATTTTTTTATTTATGGCGTGGAAATATTCGGACAAAGTCTTTTGTTTGACGAGATTTTGCATGGATTTTTATATGCGTATTAGAAATTGAATTACGGTTCTCTGATTTTACCATAATCATAATGAACGTAAACGTGTGTTTATGCTAACGATTTCAAATCGTATGAATTGCTAAATCACGATCGAATCTTGTTCTATACGGTTTTTGTGTGGTCACCTGTGATAAATGTGAAAAGTGAGCACTTATTACGAAGATGAAATGTAGATTTCAAATGGTATTTTTCCTATTCTCTAATTCGGCGTTTTGTCTTTCTAAATTATTATTTCATGCTTTCTTTTTTTTTCTTGTTGTCCAAGAAGCTTTTGACCAATTGCAAATGACGGAATAAAAACAGCATTTGGATTTTTATACTGGAATAATTCGTGGCAGATGAGAAATCACAAATCCATATACAAATTTTTTTCAAGGGGAAGAAAAAAATCCAGAAACATTGGCCACTTTTTTTAAGCGTCCGCTATAATTTTCCAACATAACAATTGGTCTAAATGAATGGTTTCAGCACTTTACTCAATTATTTTTCAATTATAACTCATTTGAACGTTGGGCATAAATATAATTTAGCATCGAGAAAAGGTATTCTAAAAATTGTTGATTAGATGATCGCGCTCGAATGTGATATGATGCGCACTTTGCGCACATACAGACATACATGTATGGAATGGACAACTTCTGAAATAACTAGTATACGAAGCAAGTTTGAAGCGATTACAAAGTGATCGTATACACGTACTGAACACTCTTACGGGTCTGCATTGCTTTCTTTGGATTGCGCACCAGTATTTCTTTGCGTATAAGTGTACGAAACAATGATTTTTTCCGCCAGCAATGAGCATGAGCATAAAAATATGTGTTCGCAGCATGAAGAAAATAGAAAAGCAGCACAAATACAACGACCAACGGTCGTAACAATTGTTTGAGTACGAAAGAGATGCATAGAATATGACGGGCGATCATATTTACCACACCGTACGCAAAGCAGCAACAACAGCACAAGAAGAAGAAGTGGGTCAACGTATAGTTGTTATATATAGAAGTTCAAGGTAAAATTAATTTCAGATATGAAACGGTTTTTGAAGTGAAGAGATACTGTATGTTGTTCGAGTGAGTTTTTTTTGCTGCTTTAAAAGAAAGAAAGAGCGAACCATTTTTTTTCTCTGCCTTGAATGTGATACATTTTACACTATTTTGAATATTAACACAGAGTGCGGAAAAGAAGTGATAAACAAAAAAGTAAACATCGAAAGACAATCTAGATAAACGAGAACATTTAACGGATCTTTTTCTCTAAAATTCATCAGAATTGGAATACAATTTTTTACATACATATACACATTGTGACCATCTGTGTTGCCGTTTGATTAGAGACAAGTGTGTGCGGGGAAAATTTACTATTATTCGTTGTTTTTAATTTATTTTGCGTACACAAGTGATTACAATTTCACGAGGTAAGCAATCATTTACCAAGTAAATCGTATTTATCAATGCAAATAGAAATAATTTGTGAGCAATAACAATGGAAAATAAATGCTGCAACAACAACAACAGCCAAGAGTCAGTTATTAGATGCAATAAAAAGAAAGTCAATGCAATACGCGATTTATGCGCTTTGAAATGGGCAGAAAACGATAGAAAACCATATGTATCGAAACTTATGATGGAACTTTGTATGAACGCACGATGAATATCTTTCGCTATCCCTCTGTATCTTGTCGATATGGTCTAGTTTTGTTTCGAAATTAAATTCCATTTTTTTCTATTTCTATTTCTCATAACGATAAATTTTTTCACTTTTTGCAATGTACGGATTTCACGTCATAATTAGGCATTATAATCGACGAACAAATTACTGACGTATTCCTTGTGAATTTCATCAATTCCGATTTTAATCTGTTTGTGCATTTTGTTAAGTGAAACACAAACAATTACTCGGAATTTTTGAAATTCGTCATTTTCACTAGTATGGCACTAGAAAAAGATCTTCGCAAAAGAAAAAATAACGAAAAAACATTACAATGGTACTCATCAGCACCAAAAGATAAAAACTACATGGGAATTGACAATCGTTGTAAAAGGCGATACAATGTTTTCAAAAGGATTTGCACCCTCTCTTTTATCTTCTTTGTACACTCACGTTCTGCTGAAAAAAAGACAATAAACATTTATGGTCGTCGCACCTGAGTTTTTTTGCTCTTTTTTTCTAGAAAGTAACATTTGTAAAGAATTGAATTATTTTGCCCAAACATGAGTGGAAAGCAGTCATTTTTTCTGTAAATGTTTTTGACATCGCAAATTAATGTTGGTGCAACTGTAATCAACACCAAAAATTCGATAAAAAATGTATGCAAACAATTGCACGAAAAAAAAAACAGAAACTCCAATTGAAGTCTTTCGTCGTAAAATTGATGTGCAAGCTGAAAAGTAAACAGAAGAAAGCCGTTGAATAAAAGCGGCGCGTAGATGGAAAGAAGAGAGTAAAAAAGTCGAGAATCAATCAAGCGTTTGAACACAACGTTTATGTTCATTTTCATAGTTTCGGTACCTGGCATACGAAAACGAAACGGTGTGTACGATCGAAAAAAGCGCTCTCTGAAAAAAGTCGTTTCTCATCTCAATCCTTTCCAATAAATCTTTTAGCAATACAAATGACGTTAACTGTACAAGCGAACAAAAACTGATGAATTGGCCAATTGCAATGATGAATTGTGGCAAATATTTACAATACAAATCTGCATCTTCATTTCTTCATTGGAAATCATCATTTTTTTTTTTTTCAACAAAATAATGGCCTCATCATTGGAATAATGGCAAAAGTAGCAACAAAGATAAAAATGGTCTCACTTCAAAATATCAAAAGAAAAAAGTTTTTTTTTTAAAGAATGAATAGACACCAAAAATGGCGCATCATCAAAAAGTTTTGATGAATGTGCATGAAAATGTGAGCGTGCATCGACGAACGAACCGGATGTGAGAAAATCGAGTCAACCGAGCTATGCTTTTCCATGGCTCATCACTGTTCGATGAACTTGTACCAAAACATTGATGTATGAATTGCAATAACAATCAATTTACAGCGTGAGTACACCATGAAGTGCACCGCGTCAATGAGCCGAAGAAGTGGTTTGTTGAAATTGTTTGTTATTTCAATGCATTTTAGTAATCGATGTGCGCGGCTTGAAAGCCCTTACTAGGTAGCAATACCGAATTTTTTTTTTATCAAGTGGCACAGAAGAGATGGAGAGAGTCATTAACCCAATTCCAATTGAAGCGGAAAGAATATACATTCTCAATTAATAATAAAACGAAGAATGTATGCACATCGACGTAAAGAAAAATGTGTAAGGCACGTGATATTGAAGCTTGAAGTCAAGGCGCAAACCAGCAATTGCATATATTATTACGTTGTTAAAATTGCATCCATGTGCATTTCGTGTGCGTTTCGGAAATGCATTGAGATGAACATGCGCAATGAATTTTCGTATTGTGCAAAATTTTCTATGGCAGAAATGGTTGCGGAATTAAAGAGAATGTTAATTCCGTTTGGTTGAACGGTAAAAGCAGTGTGTCTGTTGTTGATTGCCTGCATTGCACAGTACCTCTATGAAAATAGTACCATTTTTATGCCAATGGCATGCGCCTCCATTTCCCATCATTATTACCATCACAACAATGCTATCGATAGTAATAATCATAACATCTTCATTATCAGATCACTTTTATTGTGTTCACTGTTCACTTTTATTCATTTCAGTGAAATACAATTTTGATTCCTTTTTTTTCATTTCATGTGAATTACGACCATAAAGTCAATTTTTATAGTAACTAGAATAAGTTGCATACTTTTCTTTCAATGATTCAACCTATTTTACACGATATTATTCTGCATAGCAAAAGATCAAACAATCAACGATCGCAGATAGAGCGAAGAGAATGCCGAATGACCAAAAGCGCATATAAAAAAAAAAAAAAACAAAATAAAAATGGTTGAATAGAAAACAACAGTAAAATAAGAAGACAAAAAGGTAAAGATAATCAGTGTGTGGAGTGTGTTGACGACAACGACAATGACGACGGCCACGACAGCGGAAGAAGTGAAATTACGTTACAGAAAGAAAAGAAATCGAGAAACATATTTGCTACAGCATTCGATCGAGCTGAGCAACGCAACACGATAAATGTTGATTTCGGGAGGGTTATGCATGCCGGTCATTCACATTCCGGTGGTGATTGGTAGTTTTGAATAAACAATTTTTATGTGTTGCGATTTAAATTGTACGGATGTCCGATTGCCCGTTTTGCTTCACTTTATCATCGCAATAAATATTCCGGCGGAATAACTATGGCTTATGTTATTCGTTATTAAATTCGTTGTGAATCGATCGATTGAAATGTAAAATGAAAGTTTTGCAATTCGTCAATGAGAATTATAGATACGCGACCGCAAATATTTATTTTTTTTTTATTATTTAAACTTCTTCTTCATTTTTGTCATGGTCTTGTGACACCGTGGTCGTCATCGTCGTCGTTGTTGTAGTCCGTGGATGACGCACTGACACACATTTATTACTGCAAGTTTATCGTTTCTGTTTTCAATCGATGAATTTTCCAACGGTAAATCAATGGTTCTGATTAATTTTGCATTGACCAGAACAACAGCTCCAATTGTTCAAACTTCTACTTCATTTCGGTCAATCGAATAAAATTTTCCGACATTGGAAATTCTATATGCGATATCGAAGAATCAATTTTATTATTGTATATGATGAAATGTAGATGGAAAATGTGTGAGTGTGTTTAATCATCTGTGATAGCGTCTGCAAATCAGCCGATTGGTTTCATATCGAATGTTCGTGAAGCGAATTCAACTGATGGATCATAACTGGTACTTGGTATTGTTTACCTTATTAACCGTAAATAATTGCGATTTCCATTTGATTATCGGCTGCATACGTGATCATTTTCTTATGCGCGCACATGTTCGGTTCCAGATTATTTCTTTAAAAATTTCCATTCAGAGTCGTCGCGTAACGGTTTCGGTGTATAATAATTTTTTTTTTCGTATACTAAACTAGTCGTCGTACGAGTGGATACAATTCATTCATTCATAAAATCGGATTTCAAAATATAATTATGTGCCGCTTATCAGAACTGGAGTAGTATCTGGTTCGTTTGTGATTCGCATTGCGAAAATAAAGACAATATCAAAAATGATGTTGTGTCTATGTAGAAATATTCCAATTTACGGTTGTAAAATTGGCGCACAGTTTCGTTGTGAATCGTACGGAATAAGAATTTTAAAATGTACTCCGTACCAATTTAATTCTTTCGTACTCCATTTCTCAGCATTTGCAATTGCGACTTCGAATTGAAGAACGAAAAATCATAGCATCAAAGGAAACATCGTAAAACAACGCATTGAGTTTCAATTCGAATTATTCTAGTTTCATTTCAACTTTGGTTTCATTTCTTTTTTTCGTCTTCTCAAGTCTTTCATCGCTTGTTACAAAATAAAATGCAAACTTTGTGTTAACAACACTCGAATTTAAATTACTTGTACAAATATTATGCGAAATTCCATCATTTCACTTGAAGTGTTGTATTTTGTGTTGGGTGTGTGTGTGTGTATGCGTGCGCATATTCATAGACCTATTTGATTGCTTTCTCTCCGTAATTGAATGACTCAAATTCAATGGATTTTACGATCATCGCAATAAACATTAAGCAAATGAAAACTAATACGATGTGTAATAGCTATTTGAATGGAATCGTTTGTTAATAGTCGAAATACCACATCATTTGACTGAAATGTATACATTTAACTAAAGGCCACTTAAGCACCTCCATGTCATTTTCGATAATCATCAAGATCCCATTTGCATATGGGTGTCTCAAAATAAAAATGTGTACGTCGATCAATATCAATCGAAGCGGATTTGCAAAATGTCTTCTATCTACCTGGTGAAAGAAATGAAGCGCACTGTTATATTCAACAGGTGACCATTGGTATTGTGATTCATATGCGATACAAAATGTTCGTGTCTGAGCAGCTATACGAATGCATAAGAATGTGTGGTACAAGTTTTACTTCATAAATTGTCAACCGCATCACACCTTTGTGAAATGCCTTCTCCACCGTTGACGAAACATATTTTCGAAGCGAATGAAGCAACACGAACCTGAGTTATAGCGATATTTTCTTCTTTTCGAAAGAAAAAAAAACAATATTTAAAGATCGTAAGCAATGAAATGCGCACGCAGCTCAAGTCGAACGGTAAAGTTAAAAAGACAGTGTGCGCTTATGCATGCATACACACAGAGAGAAAGGTAGGAGAATGAAGAAGCATATATGTTTGAGGTATGGTAAAAAGTCGCCACCTCAAATCACATCAAGAGACATACCGAAGTAGAAGAAGAAGAAGAAGAGAGAAAAAGAAAGAAGTGGGTCATTGTATATAAAGCGAAGTTCAAGGTAAATTTAATTTCAAATATAAATTTGTTCTCCGAGTGAAAAGACGTGCATGAGATAGTGGTTTAATTTTCGTGCAATAATTTTATTTTTTTTTTAATATTGAAGAAGCGAACATTCAATCAAGTGAACAATTTTGAAGTGTTTAATATTTCAAATATTATAGAATCGCATAAACCGTAAAATATCAGGTAAGGCACTATCCACGCCATTATCAACAATGAACAGCAAAGAAAAAATAAAGAAGAAGAAAAAATGCGATTCATAATAATAGACTGTGAAACGCAGTGGCGCAAGAAAAAAATCCACGACAATTTGTTTGAGTTAATTGAAGAAGTGAAACCTTCATGAAAAGAAATGAATGAAAAAAAAAAAACTGAATATTAAGCTTTATTTGCAAGAGATGAACGGAATTTCTTCGAGATTGATCTGTTCTTACACCGGCGATTCGATAGATTCATGTGATGGCATTTGAAAATATGTGAAATACCAAATCATAGTCACCTGTGAATCCGCACATATTTCCCATTCGATCGTGTTCAAACATTCGGCTTGTGTGTATGTGTTTTAGTTGCGATTTACGGCAAACAACAATTAAGTTTTCTCCGTGATTTGATTGATATATTTGACAAAATGAAAGTTTTTTTTATTTCGTTTTGTAGTGTCTTTCATTCGATGGCAGAACCAAAAAGCGCATATTGTTCAAATTACAGCATTTTGTCACGGATCCACGATAATAACGATGAAGCGACGGCCCAGAAATGATCATTTTCTGTTTTCTCTTCATCGATATTCTCTTTCTTTATTATTCGCTGTTGTCTTCTCTGTCGCGTCAAGTGTTCTGTTTTTATTTCTGCATTGTCAAAATCGCTGACCCGAATGAATACCAATTGTGAATTTCGGCCACAACAGTCAAAACAAAACGAAACGACAAAATAAAGACAATCCCCAATCGACATCGTATTGATAGCACTTTTGCCATCATCGCATCGCTTTTTATGAACATAACCATCGAAAGATTCTTATACATTATTTATATTTCGATCGTGTTGATTTTTCTTCATCATATTTTGTATTCAATACCTTACACATACACACACCGATTTATTGTGATTTGACCTAAATTCTTTCGAATTCTTTCGTATATCGACTATTCAAATTGGCTCCGGTGTGCTGTTTGTGTGTCGATAATAATTTTCTTTCGTCTCTTTCATAACATAAAGAATATGCGCCGATAATTGCTTGGTTCCGTGTATGCATGGGAGAGAAACGATAATGGAAATACACATGTGAAACACCAAGAGAAATCAATGGGTAATCTCTTTCGATGAAATGAAAAGAGAAAAAAGATAAGACACACACAAACAATGCATGAAAATTGAAATGAGCTGTGCTAGAAGAAACGAAAAATTCATTTCCATAAATTCAAAAAAAAAAAAAAAAAAACACATGCATATACACGGCCACAAAAGAGTGGGTTTTTTCTTGAGATTCTAGCTCGTCGTTGTCACAACGATTAGGATAAAGTGAATGCTTCTACTTAAGAAAAAAAGCTAGAGACAGCAGGTGAATCTGTCCGGATTTTCTTTCCACACAATTATCGATTCTAACTTGTTATACTTGATAGAACTATCAACGACGCCGATGACCATAAACAGTTTCAAGTTTAATAATCATTTAAATTGCCTGAGCAGGTAAACAACATTGTACCTTTAACTGTGCCAATTGACCATCGTTTCATTGCGATGTGAAGTGATTAAGCTCGGTGAGGTTTAACTGTTATATCAATGTTATATGTTTTCCGTTCATGTACTTAATGTTTACGCATGTTTTTTAAAGATCTTGTTTCGCCTTCTTCTAACAATGTTGAATCATTACCAAATTTAAGTGCCTTGTTGACGTCATATCGTTTTCAAATAATACCTTTTAAAATTGATTTCAATCTTTATAATATCGAAAGAATGCAACTGGTTACGAAATATAACTCTCAACCGGATATTTGATCGGTTGCAATACCGCATCCGTCACGTAAAATACCTAAAAGAAGTAAATTATTGATTTTATTATGCAACCGATGATACATTGTTGCATACGGATGCTCAACGAATCTATTATACGCATTGAAAACTTTCTTTTCCATATTCCAATGACAAACGCCGTTTGTAAAAACAGATCTTCTTCGGTTGCTCATATTTAAATTGCGATGTCAAAATGCTTTAAACACAACATTTTTGTAAATAAATACACGAAGAATCATTTCAATTCAGAAAATAAATGTATTTTTGTATTTCAATTCCCAAAAAACCAGATACAAGATGAATCACAAAACAGTCAATGGTTGGGTGCTACTTTCACTCTTAATGAGCACATTAGTCTATGCATACCCACAACTACAATCTGCACAAAGTCAAATAGTCGGACAATATATACCGAAAACAGCACAACAACAGGCCGAATTTCAACATTATCAATATCTGCGACAACAACAACCTCAGCCACGTGTCCAACACTACCAAGTTCCAGCCCAATACCAACAACAACAGCAACAACAGCAACAACAACCACAAGAAATTCGTAAATTTGCCGAAAAACCAAATGCATTGAAAAAAGTATCGCTCGATGACATCGATCAAGACATTCAAACAAACCAAATTGATGGCAATACATTCTCATGGACAAATATGCTGGGTTCGCTGATGCAAATGTTCTTTGCCAATCAAAATTTACTCGCCCCAACCAAATCGGATGATTCAGATGGCAACGGACTAGCTCCGAGTCCGTGGACGGGAGTCATCGCAGCTGGTGAGTTCATTCTTTTCATTACCTCATTACGTTCTTCATAAGTATGGAATTTTTTTGAAACGATTTCTGTTTTCCGTATAAGATTGCACCGATTGTGTTCAGTGTATGTTACATATACAGGTTTTTGCCATGTTATTTCGCTTATGCTCGCCCCAAGGCATGCAAAATAAACCGTTCTGCGTACCAAAAGCACATACACAATATTATGTGAATAAACCGCTTATTCAGACACGCTTACACACTGGAACTAAATGACTGTTTATTTTTTTTCTTCTTCTAAATAATATTCTTTATACAAAAAGAAAATTGGAGCATCGACCGATTGCACGACGCCACCAATGTAATGCCTAAGTGTACTAACCACAATGCGCGCACATGCTCTTGCTCGTCTTTGATGTGATCGATTTAGTTCTTATAATCGCCAGTGTGTGTGATTTCGATTCGCTTTATGAATGAATGTCTAGAAATAGCACATCGATGTGTTAATAAGACATACACTCGATATACGATAAAGAGTTAAACATACGGTACATGAAAAGTGGTAAAAGGTAACGGTGCCATCTTAGTTGTCTAGCTTGTTCATATGTGTTTACTTCAAAGAAGAGCTCGTATATTAATTTTACGGCTGCTTGCGGTTTAGAATATTGTCAAATGAGATTCGATTTAGCAAAATGCCAATTTAAGCTTTGGATGCTTGACTCTTTTTTGCCCATCGCACATTATAATGAACTTCACGAAGTGAAGTGATAATTAGAATTTATAGTTGATACACAGAGTTGGTAATCAAATTTCAAAGTGAAAATCAAAACTATCAACGGCTTCGTGTTCTATCCATAACAAGTAAACCGCTATCTGTGCCATTTGAATGTGATCGTACTTTGGCACAGTCGTTCTTTTGGTTGTGCGCTACTTCGTATCGATTGTTATTTGTATAAAATCAATTTAATGCTCGATCGACGAAAGAATCGATTTTTTGCATGCCTCGATTTGTTTAGTGACTTTACTTACTTGCGAAATAAATTCAAGCTCATCTCTGACCAACTTCATTTCTGCCAAATTGCTTATTTTCTCTTCGTTTACCTTTTCACTTGAAATTCTTTCTTTCTTCGTTTTCACTAAAACACTGATCACGACTCGGCTTGGCCTGTAAACATCGATTGGCAATGCAAAACACACACACTGTAGATTTTAGTCAACTCACCTGCATGGAACGGCATCTCTGTATAATATATTTTTGAATTCGTTTTCACACGACTGTTTGTCGTCGGTATTTTAAAAAAAAATGAGAAACGGTTAATCCGAACCACATCAAACCAAGAAGAAGTTAGACAGTATTTTTTTGTGTGTGTTTGGATTAATGTCATTCCGACGAACATTTTTAAATTCTAGTCATGTGACACATATTCAGTTCTTGTATATTGTTTATTGTTCATTCAACGCAGCCAAATGAAAACAAAGAAACCGTAAAGAAAGTCATTACAAATGTATTTTCATGCGACGGCAATCTATCTTCATAATTCATAAGGCAACCATCGTCCGACGAGTAAAGAAGAAGAAGAAAAAAAAGAAAACCAATGCGAACAAACAAAGCACAGCCCAGAGAATAACGACAAGTAATTTCATTATGAACAACAAACGATGCCACTGATGCTTTTGCAGTGAGGAATTAGTGAAACTTTTGGCGTAATTTGGAATTTAATTAGTTATTCTCATGAAATTTCATTTTCGCTAGCAAATGAAAATAACAATACAACATTCTCCAACATTGCGTCTCGTTCAATTAAAATCGATTACAAACGCTTGTCTTGTTTTCTGTAATGTGCGCGCGTAAATATATTTAGATTGCTTTTAATTTTTTGTTTTCTTTATATGTTTTTTTTTTGGCAAAAACTTTCATTTTATGCTGGAGAGAAAGAAGAAATATCTTTTTGCTGTGCCAGATCTTGGGTTTTTTGTTCGTTTTTTTTTAACATTCACGTCACAATTTGTATGAATGTTTGTTTTTTTTTCTTATCTAAACCCGTCACTTTTTTTCCGCAGGTTTGAAAATAATCACAACTCTTTTGGGCGGCGGCGGTGTTAATGACGGTATCGACAAAGTTGACAACGGCAATGCATCACCAATGCAGGTTTGTTTCATTTAATTTAATCCATGCTAAACATATTTTTTTCATTAAAATTCATTAAAAAAATGTACATTTTTTGCGTGATTAGAGCATTTTGGCTGCTGTCTTCCAAGGAGTATTGGGCGCTAAAGATCCCGATCAAGTAAATATTATGGCTAAACAAGCCGGCGAATTCATAAATATTGTTGTTAATCTTTTGGACGCATTGAAGACATCATTCTCACATCGATCATTTGCCGCTCGAGAGCTTAAGAAAAAGGACAGCGTGGCCGATTTGGGCATTGCAACGATTACCATGCTTAAAGGTTACGTAAAAACAACCGGAAACACATCGGAAAAATGTATGCAAAAATACATTTGCGAAGCAAACAAAGAATGTAACCAGGACATTGGTGGAAATAGCATCTTCTGCCAAATGGGAAGGTGAGATTTGAAAAAAAACTGGAAAATTTCAACTCTTTATTCTAATTCAATTTTCATGTTTGACATTCGCAGTTATGCCACTAGCTATGTTTTGGAGCGAACAACAGGCAATGCCTTTGAAAAGTTCTACGAAGCTGGTCGACGTGGACGACAAGATAAGGATGACTGCGTGAAAATCTACGAATGTAGTGATAATTAATAACAAAAAATAAAGAGCAAAGACCGAACCAATAAAATCGATGCTCAAGGGGTCAGAGTTAAGTTTAGAAAGAAAAGACGCGAAAAATTCATATTTATAACAATTTAATTTATTTTGTGAACAATAAATGCGATGATTCAATCGTGTGCTCTGTGTGCATGGAGTACAATTGAAAAATTCCGTGCTTAGACGAACGTAATATTCAACATGAAGCGTATGAAATAAATCATTTTCGATTAACCGACGAGATTTCCTTGAAATAAAAAAAAAATATTTTTTAAAATTCACATCGGTCAGTGCCTCTTCATCACCCAAGGAATTTCTAATTTAATCGAAAGTATTTTATTTTTCAATCGCTTCATGTATATTATCGGTCTTAATCCAAAATCAAATTTGTATGTATTGTAGTTATGTATGTGAGAGAGAATTTTTTTTTGAATTGATAGGTAAATATTATTCTTTTTTTTGCTAAATTAGGTTTACGTGTATTTAAACGACTACGAACACAACGATAATTTATTTATTTAAATTATTTATTTATGTTTTAGATTGTAGCTATTTATTCTTCTAGTGTTCTAGGGTCTCTGATGTTATGAATGTATGAAACAGAACTACAAAAAACAATAAAGAAATTTGAAAAATCGAACATATAACCTTTTTTGAATTTAATTAAACATTCATTACAGCACACACACACACACACACACACACACCTATACCATCCATTGTATTGTGCAATAATATATCTTAATATTAACTTTTATGTGATAGACGGTGACCTATTCTAAAGAGACAAATGTCGACTGCGGCACTTTTTATAACCAATTGTTTCAATCATTAATAGATAATTAAGTAATATTTAATGATTTTAGTCTAGCTGGTTTCTTTGTATCGACTAAATAGGTTGATCTATTTTTGGTTCGATTGTTCGTCAGCTTTTTAACGGCCGTTTGGCACAGTGACCTTGTTACTGTTATTTTGTTTATTCATAATCATCATCACGCCAGATAAAACGCTATTTGCAGAATAAATCGTACCAGTTAGTAGAAAAGGGTAATTTATAGTTTTCAATCGTAAACTTACCTTCCCAAGATGCCAACTATGATAAAAAGCCATTTTACAATGGTGACAATTTTGATCATTCTAAATGAAAGAATAAAATTTATAAAAAAAATCTTCATCATTCTGAACAAGAACTTCTAACTACAATCAATCGTTCTATAAAACTTACAAGAAAAGACTGTTTTTTATTTGATTCGTGAAGTCTCGTCCCAAATTCACACCCTCTTCAACCCAAAACAATGGAAACAACACATCTGGCATATTTCTCATAAGCTCAATTTGTTCGATAGGTTTGACCTCCAAGTTAAATTGAAGCCGTTTTGCCGCTGATAATGGACTTCCGGTCATCTATTATCAAAACATTATCAAAAATTTTGACAAAAATGACAGATGGTTTAAAGAATATTTTAACTAACAATTTCAAAAAGCATTTTTATTCCATGATTTTCTTTCGATGGATTCAATCCAGATTCAATGCCTTGCAAGAGTTTCGGATCAGCCAAATAGAAGTGTGGAAGAGAAGCAAACATTGGCGACTGAAAATGTGTGTAATTCATTGTCATAATTGTCGTATCTTTCTTATGGCGTATAAAATAAATCACACAGTGATCTTAATAAAGTTAAATTATATACCCCGCTACATTTGAATAGGTCGATTGTTCCCTTTGGTGGACACGTATCTTCGTCGCGACAAAAACATTGTTTTATATTTATGTCTTCGCCCATATCCATCTCATACCGTAACACTGGAATTCCATTATATTTGGTTTTTGATTGATATGACGCTCCAAGTGATCGACAAATGGAGGGCTCGTACGCCCAAATTCCTGCGTAAACAAAATAATTTTTACATACATTATGTAAAGTTACGTTAAACACTATGTTAATAAGAAGAAAAAAAAGACTAAGACACGAACCTTCTTCTTTTGACATGAATGCTGGAAAAATGGTTGAATCGGTTCCAACATATGTGTTACACTCATCTTCGTCCCACGTGTCCATTTCTATATGAAAATTAAACAAGTAAATTAAAATGTTTTTAAAAGTATGTAAATTTAAAGAAAACCGATTTATTTCACCTGTTTCACCATTGAATGCTATTACTCGGCCTACATCTCGGTAATTGCTTTTGCCACGACCGACTTTGAACTCACCCAAATCGGTATAATTGGTCTGGAACAAACAATATTCTGATATTGTGCGGTTGACTAATCATGCATATTATTGGAATAATTTATGTCAACGTTTCAATTTCCTCAAATGGAATCAAAGTAATGAACAATTCATTTGTCTTCGGCGTGAGAAAATAAAATCGATTCAACTTAAGAAATAATAATCAAAGTCGATTCATGCTTAATAAAATTATCTGAAGTCAATTATACATATTTAAATGTTAAATAGAAAACTGCATCAAATCGTATCATCACTACACGTCATCGTACACGACACATATGAAAATTGTATTTAGGACGTGAAGGTTGCTATCATTATAATTGATTTTTGAATTAAAACACGTAAGGAGATCCACTGATTCGTTCATCATTAAATTTAATTTGATAGTGTATGAAATAGTTGATTAATATTAATAAAAATTAATTATAAAAAGTTTGGACTTTTGAAACATATTTCTACAAAAATTTGTAAACGAAATGTTCGGTTTAAGCGAAATCTATCGAAGCCATAAAATGTTCTATGGTTTTACTTTTCCGCACACATAGTGTAAGGTGAAAAGTATTGTAATCCGTCAAAATTTTGAAAACTTCAGAAACATGTTTTCTACCTATTACTGAGGTCAGAGAACACGAATTTGGCGTTTTTAAACATGGCTTTTGTTAATCTGTACGTCGTACATCGTACGCAAAATTTGTTAGCATCGTAGAAACTTAATTCAAAATATGACTTTACAGGATGATTGAAGGTCGCGAGGAATAGAAATCATTAGCTTTTGAACGACTTTGGTTGATGGAAAAAAAATTCATGCCTGGAGTGATACCTATGAAAAAGAGTCCAATTTTCGTCCAAAAGTCATACTTAATGTAGACTTTAACACTCAAAAATATGTATTTGGGGGTTTTTGGCACGTTAAAACCGAATCCGAGGTTTGTTTTGAGAATCAATTTTTGATACAGTTTCCTTGAAAAAATCACAAAAAAATGAATTTTTGTGTGGAAGCCATGCCTGTATGCTACCTTAATGACGTGAAAGTTTTCTCAGACTATTTTTTACACAAAAAAATGATATTCTGAAAGTTTGAAGAGATTTCAATCAAAATTAGGGGTACTTCCCATAAATTTTCAATTTTTGTCTCATAAACGAATATTCTGTATGGCAGGTACTCTTAATTTTGGTTGAAAAACCTTGTGAAAAATAACTTGTTCAAAGTTTCACGTCAATTTTAGCATACAAAAATCCAAATTTTTTGCGACTTTAGTTATGAAAAGTGTTTCAAAAATAATTTTTATGGCAAAATTAACGTCAGACATATTTTTTTATAGTGTTTTGTTAGAAAATAGAATACTTTCAATTGTCGTACAAGTGGGTTCACCATGAAAGTGTGAAAAATCGAACAAATATTATTTTGAACTTGCTTAATAAAATACGCAACTACCACCGTGCGGAAAAGTTCGTCTTACTCCCGTAAGACTCTGTATTTTTTTTCAAAATCAATGCCGCGAATATCATAGTTTTCTAATGCGCATTAAAAACTATTAATCAATCTAATAAAACTTTCAACGGGTAACCATGCAAGTTTTCGAGGTCACCAGCATTTGATGCGGTCTTTTATCCTGTAGTTCAAAACGAAGAACAACGCAATAAATAATTCTGACACATACGGCATTTTTCTCCCTTCACAAACAATCCAAATGACTAGTTTTTTTTTGTGTCGGAATATTTTAAAGTTCTGTTATCATGTCAAATTGCTATGGGATTGTGTTTTCGGATAAATAAATTAAGCATGACCTTTAAACTTGCTGTTGGAACGAAAATTGACTAATATTCAAAGGGAGTGTGAATAAAGTGACTAATTGGAACATCGAATTGTTTACAGCACTGTCAAAAAGTCAATATTTTTTTTCATATGGGTTTGATTAGATGTTTTTCTATCCAAAAACTCTTCGATTCCATATATTAATAAGGAAAGATGTTACTTACACCTCCAAAAAGTGAAAATGCGTAATGATGATCGTCTACTTTGCGAATTGCTTTATTTGAATCGAATGATAAACAAATGGCAGTGGTAGTCTGGTCGTTCGATGAACAATCGATGGATACTCCATCGAACATAATGTCCATTACCCGTCCCGTGTAAAAAGCGTCAGCTGGATTGTGGAATAAATTCTTTATAGCGCCGTCAATAGCAGGTAACATGGGCTGCTTATCAACATTTATGGCCAGAAACATGCCCATTATCACTGATTTGTTGACGAAAAAAATAAAACAAATTTAAAAATCAAACTTTTTAACCAAATGTAATCGATACTTGCATGGATGTGGCATTGTAATGATTTCATCGCCGGTTAAAGAGCCACTCAGATCTGGACGAAAAATGAACTTATTGCGATAATGATAGGTCAGCGTATCTTCTGCTTCATTATCGACTAAATCAAATTTTTCCTTCCACTCTCTAATTTTAATTTTATAAAAAAAACATTCGATTTAGTTCAATAAAACAACATAGATTATTCTTCTATAATCGATGAATTTGAAATTTTGATAATATTGAAGCAAAAACGTAAAAATTCTTTTTGTACGCGAATATACGATTTTTTTTTTGATAATTGTAGTATTTTTTAGTATTTATGATTTTTTCATCTTGTTAAATAGCTGAAAATGTGTACTCTGGGAAAATCATGATTTAACCCGAATTTGTTAGGAATAAATAATTCAGGTATGTTACTGTGGAATGAACCTTTTCTCAAATATTCTTTTAAGCTCGTTGATTGTAATTTTGTTCAATATTATCACACGGATATTTTTTAAAAAATTTGAAGAAAAAAAATCTCACTCAAAATAGTATGGTCCGATCTCTTGCAGTTTGGGTTTTTCTAAGGGAAATACGTTTTTAAAACATGATATAAAACGTAAAATGAACATAATCTCGTGGTTACAAAATAAATTGATAAAAAAATAAGAAGAAGATAAGGATGATAATTCATTTTGTGTTCAAGTCAAATAAAAAACTCACTTCCTTCAATCACTTCATCTTTATTGGTCACATTGAACAGACGGATTTTAAATTCAATGAAAAATGGTGTTTTTTCGTATAATGGCCTTATCTTTGATCCTGGTGCCACGTTCACTTGCTTTAAATTAATAGTAAATATAAATAAATTGGAAAACAAATCACTAAATTTTATTTACAACTAACATTATTGACTTTTTAATAATTTTAAAGTGAAATTCAATCGATTTGACAATTAATTTGTTTATCAAAAGACTTACACCTTTAATCATTTTCCTCAAGAGCTTCGGAAAAGTTAAAAACAAACCAGCACCGATTATGAGTAAAACAATACTCACAATTAGCGACACTTTATAATTAAATTTTGGAAAATACATTTTCCAAAATGTTCTTTTATTGCTTGTTTTATTGCTTTTAACTTAGCTTTTATTTGAGTTCATCAAAAATATTTTTTAAATGATTATAAAGAAATAAAGGATGATGTAAAAGATTATTCGGAGTTTATTTTGTTCCTTCACCAAAAATTATTTTCTATTTTTTTAAATGTATCACTTTATGCAAGATTTGATTATATGTTTGATTTCAAAAGTCTAGCTCAGTAGACGGATCAAATGAGACTGAAAAGAAACGCCTTGTCAGAGAGTTTACCGCGTTGGATAATATGAGCACTACAAGAAACGTTTAAATTGAAATTTATCGTTCAATTGCGTCCACTCATGAGTTGAAATGAAATTATACACACGGACAGTAGTATTTAAATCACTACACTCAAACTTTTGACGAAATATACAGAAAATAAGGCGTTTATTATCACTTAGCAGGGACAATGGACACGTATCTATTTAACAATTCATTTTGCCTAGAGAAAAAGATTGGACGTACTGCTCAATGGCCTATGTGCAATAGCTGGTTACTCTTCTGGGGGATATTCTAGGCATCGGAATAACAAATCAACTCATAAATAGTGGTTAAGGCGAAATGGATCGATCATTCATTGTTAAAAAATACTATAGAATCTGTTAATGATTTGAATCTTTTACCAAAACTAAATGGTTGGCAAAATTACTATTTTGCAACAGATTTTTTACAATAGACAGCCATTTTAGTCTCATGAGACAGAGATACATTGAAAATATATTACTTACAAAAAAATACCTGGAGATGTTTCTCGATTTTTCTGGTAAATAAATTAATCTTAAGTGTACTTATTTTGAGATTCTTCGTATTTTTTTGATTTGCTATGGATCCAACAATGAAAAGTGTGATTATTTGCTATCAGAATTCAAGCAACCAATTGATTAGACGCAGAATGATATAAATACGTTGCCAGTACACAAAACTTTAGATTGTTTATGATAAATGCTGTAATTTAATAATGAATAGATTACCAGATGGATTAAATATCAATTTTATTTGTGGTTAAATTTTGGAGTGAAAATACATTTTTTGTAATGAATAGTAATAGAAATGAATTTAAGTTTTTACTTAAAAAAATGATGATCGATTTTCTTCTATGTCAAATTCACGGAGTACATTGAAGTAGAACTGCGAGATAATACTTCCAAATGCGTGATCGTATTGCGTTAAAGTTGGATGAGAATAAAATTGGAGGCTAATACCAACATCAACAAAGGCCGTTGATGATTCAAAGTCTCCACCTAAACACACCCAATCCCGAAGCCAATCTCCATATATTGTGGTACAGTCCGCAAAGTTCACACAAATGGTGTACTTGATATGTGGCATAATAGCAATTGGATTATTGAATTTAATTTCATTTTTCGTGAATAAATTTTCATCTGCATGCATCGAAAGTTGATGAGTTTCTAACAATTCGTCTTCGGTGCCATTCTCCGGGTGATTCTAACAGTCCCTAAAAGAGTTTTGTATGAATCGGATGTGTTTTTGAAGTTGAATAAACTGAAACCTCCAAACAATATTCTTTTGTTCACAGTAAATTTTATTCCTCAGTGAAAATTCGACAGTTTCGTTTGGAAGTTCGAATGCCTTTTTTCAAATGTTCTTCATTCCGACTAAACACTGGAACATCATTCCATTTTATGTATTTTCTTGATAGATCCGTTGATTCGCCGGTCGCAATGAGTTCCATAAGATCAGTTACTTCGTCGGATGAGAAAAGTTTTGCATGAGTATGAGCGACTTTCGAAAATGCATTCGCATCCATTGCGGTGAACGGTATCAGATAAAAGCATTCGCCCAATATGCGACGAAGATTTTGTTCATCAGTGGCATCAATTTTGTTCGCAAGCATTTTTTGCCCAAGCAACACACGCATTGAATACAGCGATCGGAAGACAATTTTCATTGGCCAATTTCAAGATCAACTCGAGCAACACATTTGAACAGTTGATAAAACCATCCGATTTGAACATTCTAACCGATTTTAACAGCTTTATCACGAATTTCCGATTCACAACACTTTCGTAATTTTCTGAGGTCAAACTTAACCGCCAAAGCAAATTGTGTACATAAATCAACAATTCACAAGAAACTCTTCACACCTTTTTAGTCCCTCTGGAATACTCGGTGACTTTGAAATCATTCAAGTAGAATAATGAGAGAAAATCCATGAATCCTTTCGGTGATTCGTCGGTAATTTTGACATCACCTTTCTCTTTGAGTGAGCCATAGAACATCGTATGGAAAACTGGAGTGCATGACGCCAAAATGTTTTTGTGTGCAGGACTGCAGGTACACGTTGTTCTATGCCATCAACTTCAAATACAAAGTGTACATCAGCAGTTTCTTCGTCCAAGTACAATTTTTCTAATCCTTTTGCAATTATTTCATTTTCCATCGCGTGATTTTTATTGAGAATTTTCGAGAGTATGCTTTTCTAGTACTTTGATTGTAATATTTGATTGTGAATACGTTTCAAACTGAAAAGTAGAAAATTCCACATTAAAACTTTTGCTGAAAATACGAACAGCGAATAAACTAGCAAAAATACTTACGATTTCAATTCACGTCCACTGTCACTGACATATAGCGCCAATTTGTGCTCTACTCAAAGTGAACAACGATCTACAAGTATGAATGTATTGGCGAACCGTTTTTGCATGCATACAACTGACGCTTGTTTCGCTGTCAACTTCACCGCTCAATATTGCTTAATGTGAAACGTAGTTTTATACATTAAGCTATGGAATAGTAAGATATATATATATATATATATATATATGTTTGTTCAGTGATTTTAGAGAAAACCAGAAAAGATAGAGAGTTCGGGTTTTCGGCATTCGATAGGGCATAAAAAACCCTCCAGACGTATTTTTTATTTTCCCCATAAGTGCTCCCCATTTAATTTTTTCATTCATGGACCCTCTTTTTTGGATTCCACTTTGAAAAATATTTCGATTCCACTCACCATTTATTGAGTGGATAACGAATGGATTCGGGTGGAATTATTTTTCTCCGCAACTTTATTGGGTGGATAAACGATGGAATAAATGAGTTTTACTTCAGTGTTAATTTGATTACTTTGGATCTAGATGAAACTTGTTGAAAAAAAGTTGGAGACACCCGAGGCACCAAATTGTTTTAGATTCCTTATAAAATTACCTTTCGAATGGTATATAAATTATGGAGTTTCCGGCAGGTTTGATGGCATTTTACGCTGGCCGTTTGGCCGAAATATGAAAAATTATGAGAAAAATCGGCTTCCGAATCTTATAGCAAGCAACCTAGTTCTATGATTTTGATGAAACTTTGCCAGATTATAGCTCTTGGAACCCTCTTTCCAACGGTATATAGCTTATTAGCCAATCGAACTTGTGGATGTGTTTCCCAGGTGGCCGTAGATTGACGCTAGTGATATATCAATGATACTATTGATAGTTCGATATGAATAGCGTGCTATTGGTACATTTTAATTTTGTGACAACAACAATTTGGCTCTTCAATATTTTACCGCAAATGTAGAATCTAAAATATCAAAATAGAGCTCTATATTTGAAGGAATATATTGAAGAGAAATAATTGTTGTTGTCACAAAATTGAAATGTACCAATAGCACGATATTCATATCGTACTATCAATAGTACCATGATATATCACTAGCGTCATTCTATTCACTGCAAATTAGTGAAAATATTTGCAAAGTCAACTTTCAAGGGGAAATTTATTGCGGCATTTTCCTCTGATTACTTTGAATTTTAACATCTGAGTTTTCTGAGAGTAGTTTATGGGGTTTACTGCCTTTTTGAAGCTCAACTCCATAGGTGGCAATATAGCCAAAATGAGAAAAATATAGGTAAAGTACATTTTCGAGCTTCATTGCAAGCAACCTAGTTCTATGATTTTGATTAAATTTCGCCAGATGATATCTCCCAAAGTCCTCTTTCTAACGCTATATACACTGAGTCTAATATTTTTGGTAGACAAAATTTAGCATGGCACACTCCACTCACACGCCATTCGTATATAAATCCTATGTCAATGGAGAGTTTCTCTGCTTGTCTATCAAAAAAATTAGATTCACTGTAGCTTATTAGCCAATCAAACTTGTGAAGAGTTTTGGAATTTCAATTTAATTATGGCATTGACAAAAACCTTAGAGAAAAACGAAATCCATGTGATGCATTTATTAGGTAGTTCTGGACGTTCTCATTTCAGTAATTGAATTGAACGATTTCACCATTTATGGATCATCAGCGCAGCTTTTAAGAAAACCATCTATATAATTTATAGGATTTACTAACTTTTTGAAGTGGGAGCGCATAGGTAGTCGTTGAGGCAATATGAGGAAAATATTGGCAAAATCAATTTTCAAGGTGTAATTTATTTTAAAAAAATTGTGGCAAAAAATTCAAAATATGAATGTCGAGTAGTTTGTTTTTCTTAGTAGTACGGTTCCACGTTTCACATTAAGCTCTACGGCCAAAAACTGGCAGTGTATATTTCTAAGGAATTAAAACAAGAGTTAAATGTTTAAACAAAGCAACCGTTGCGAATCGAACAAAGCAAACGATTGACTTTTTTTTACAATCGAAAGAATTCAAGATGAAAACTCAAAATGATGATTCAACTGAAATACATTTGTCACATAACGTCATCCGATTTTTTTAAATTGATTCTTATGGGTGTATTGGTTTGAAGCGTAAAGATATAAAATAATATTCAAACACTTTTCGAATACGTAACAAGTACAAAAAAATCTTTTATTCCAATGCTTTATTCTAAATTATAATTTTAAATACATATTGTCACGCTGAGAGTGATATTTCATTCTTAATTTGGTAATGTGTATTGTATTAATTGTTTATTTTTTTATAAAACATATATATATGGATTGTGTATACGCAAAGGCTTATAAGTAAATAATTTCGATGTGTTTTTTTTTCTTTTAATTTTCTGCTTATTCTGAATAAACATTCAGGATATTGTAGAAAGAATCGTATTTCATTCGTTTAGTTTGGATTATGTTGCATTTTTACACAATCATCATTGCAAAATTATATTTTATGAATAATGTTGTGCGTTTATTTTGCTTTGTTTCAATTGAACGATAACGGGTTTTGTTCAAAACCATAAAAATATTTATAATCGATTGAAATACAACTGTGAAATGATGCTATAATCTGTTCCGTATTCACTTTCGGGGTGTGTGTGAAATTCGATGAAAATATCTTCGTCGACAATTTGTGGATATGGTGAAATGTACTCGCGCACATATTCAAATCCATCAACTAGATCTTTCGTAGTGGCGTTGTTAGAAAAGTCGACATGAATGTTATATTTCACTCGTGGTGTAATAATGATTGGCTTTTCCAATTTGATGTCAATTGGTTTGGTTGTCTTTTTATCCGCATAAACACACAATTGAATTTTTTCCATCAATTCGTAAACGTTATCAATTTGCTTAGTAATTTTTATCGTAGCTGATAGATCGTTGCCGGCATTGGTTACATTGGTTACATTCTTGAAATCAACAAATCGAAATCCACCAAATAACATTTTCTCACTTGCAGTAAATGTTGTATATTCATCACGCGAAATCAATGTGCCCTTTCCTTCTTCATCCAATCTCTTTCTTTCTTCTTTATCCGATTCTTCTTCATATTCTTGATTGCCATCTCGATCGCATTCGATTATATATTCATCATCCCAATTGAATACTTCAACTGCATCTCGATTTTTCATAAATTTCGTTGACACTTCAGTTGATTCACCGGTCATAATGAGTGCCATAATATCGGCTACTTCGTCGAGAGTGAAAAGTGTTTTATTGGCAAAAACAACTTTCGAGAAAGCGGCAATTTTCATTGTAGTAAATGGAATCAAATAAAAGCATTCACCCAGACTTTGACGAAGACTTTGTTTTTCGGTTGCATCAGTTTCATTTTCTTCACATGCATTTTTGGCCCAAGCAACACACGCATTGAATATATCCGCCTCGAAGCAATTGTAATTATCCAACTTTAAAATCAATTCAAGCACTTTTTTTGAAATGTTGATGAAATCATTCGATTTGAAAACTTCCGTGGCGTTTTCTCTAATTCCACACTCGCATTTCTTCAGTAGGTTATTGAGATTAAATTTAACCGCCAATGCATAATGCTTACACAAATCAACGACTTTGGTATTTTCCAAGAGAAATTCTTCGCAAATTTTCATTCCTTCGGGCATATCATATTTGTTGGCCAAATCAATAAATTCCGCAACATTGTTGGTGGTGATTTTTACCTCTTCCATGTAGAAAATGGTCAAAAAATCCATAAAACCATTCATGGAAGCATCCCGAATTTTGACGTCACCCTTTTCTTTGAGCGGACCGTAGAACATTGCATAAAAAACTGGACTACCCAATGCCAATATATTTTTGTGCGCTGCCACACGTTGCTCGTCACCGTCGATTTCAAACGCAAAATGTACATCAGCCGTTTCTTCATTCAAGTACAATTTTTTCGTCACTTCAGCCATACTTTTGGTGGAAAATTGTTTTACTGTTGCCATTGAAATTCGATTTATGTTCAGCAGTAATTTTGTTTTCAAACTGAAATTGAGATAATTATAAAAAAATCAAATACTGGTCAAATACTGACATGAATAAAGATTAAAGTGAAAAAATGCTCACAAGGTTCGATTTCGATGTGAAACAGTCTAACGAATGCACAATGTGATTGAGTTATGTTTTGTATAGAACCGGTTGAAGACTACTGACAAACGACGTGAGGACGTAGTAAATGAATGAGTTTTTGGTGTATATTTGTATTGGTAACCGATTTTTGCGCGTATTCTAATGACACTTGAGCTTGCTGCGCGGACAACTTCATCGCTAGTGTATTTAGCATACACCATGTATGTACACAAACACAAAAAACATTGATATATAGCAAATTTACCAACAGCTGTCAAAATATCTATTGGTATTTTCATACAATCGTCACAACAACAGCACGGTTGACAATTAATATTTGGCGCGATGGACTAAATGTCAACTGCACAGATATTTGAATTTTAATGGAAAATAAAATCCAATTCAAATGAATTCATACCATTTTCATCTTATCAGCTAATTTTATGTCTCTTTCTCAATGATTCACCTCCAAAAAAAACATATTGTATATTGATTCCGATGATTTGAAAATGTTTGAATATTTATTAAAGTTGATGAATCGTTGTGGGAACTTTTAAGATCACTACATCGACTAATAACTTTAATCGTCGATACGGAAATTATTTCCTAATTACGCAATTTAAGTTCAGTTTTGAATCCTGACCCAGTTCTCATTATAATTGATTCTCTGGTACAAAATACATATGAAAAATAAAAACGGTATAAAAACGGCAATAATGAAATTCAAGATCGATTTTTGATTTGGTTTTGTTGAAAAGTTTAGAAGTATACAGACCAATTGGTAATTACGCTTGACAATTTTATAGAATAAAATGTGTTTACAACTCATGACATAAGCGATGGGAACTGGAAACTTTATTATAACGACTAGCCGCATGTTCGAGACATATTATTACGTTGGCGGTTAAAATAATGTGTCCTTGATAATTACGATATCATTTTGGTGAAGTTCTGGTCTTCTTTGAAATATGAAATGAACACAGATATTAATGGGAGACGAAAAATATGTTTTCAAAATGTCAAAAATAAAAAAGGATGAGTGACTTACGCAGAATAGTAGAAATAAGAGGAAGGTGAGGTAATAATTGCATTCTAATTCAATACATACGCCATGCCACGTTCTGAAAATGTATACTTACCGAAATACAAAATCAATATTCGCCGAATATGTTCTAAACTAAAATCAATTGCGTGAAAAAACTAAATTTATTTGGTCAAAAATACCTATAATTCAAGGATAATTTTTTAAAATTAAATCCCGTATTATAATAGTCTAATTTTATGCTGAATTTTGTATGTTTACTTGTGTTTTTAAATATTGAAGGAGAGAATCTTATTTTATTATCAAAAAGTTTCTATTGAATTCAGGTGTGATAATGATTGAAGTAGAGCTGCGAAACAACACTGTGATTCGCATCGAATTTTGATTTAGGATGTCTATAGAATTTAAGTCCAATATCATCGTCAACAGCAGGTGAAATTGGTCTAAGTGATCCAGAATAACAATACACAATGTATCGATCATTCACTACAGCATTGTTTGAAAAATCGACACAAATGGTGTATTTTATGCCCGGAATGATTACAACCGGATTTCTCAATTTGATATCAGCAGCGAATACGTCTCCCTGTGATTGAAATTGATGACTTTCCAGCAATTCATCTTTGGTGCCATTTAGCCTGGTGATACTAACAGTTACTTGTAGAATTTCCTGTGGCAATCTAGGCCAGTCGTAGTCGAAAATATTGAATCCTCCAAACAACATCTTCTTGTTCACGCTAAATGTCGTATATTCTACACTATCAATCAAAGTGTGGTGTAAGGCACGCCGGATGCATTTTACCAAACGATTTACATCCCAATCAAAAACTTCACATTTTATGTATTTCTTTGACAGCTCCGATGATTCGCCAGTGGTAATGACTGCCATCAAATCAAATGCTTCATCGGATGTGAAAAGTAGTCGGTGAGTAAAAACGATTTTTGAAAATGTGCATACATCCATTGCGGCGAAAGGAATCAGATAAAAGCACTCTCCCAAGGTGTTACGGAGATTTTGTTGATCCGTGGCGTCGAATTCATTTTGTTCGCAATCATTTTTTGCCCAGTTCATACAAGCATTGAATACATCGATCGCATCACAATTTAGTTTTGTCAATCTCAAGATGAAGTGGAGCAAGACGTATGAACAATTGATAAAACCTTCCGATTTGAAAACTTCGATAGCTTTTGCACGAATTTCGGATTTGTAGTGTTCTCGTACATTTTTTAGGTTAAATTTAATCGCTAAAGCTAGATGTTTGCATAAATCAACGGTAGCGGTATTTTCCAGAAAAAATTGTTCACATACTTTCAGTCCTTCGGGAATGTCGTATTTATTGACCAAATCTGTAAGCTCTGCGACATTTCCAGTGGTGATTTGGACTTGTCCCAAGTACAATATTGCGAGAAAATCCATGAATCCTTTCGGTGATGCGTCGATAATTTTGACATCACCTTTCTCTTTGAGTAAGCCATAGAACATGGTATAGAAAACTGGACTACATGATGCCAAAATGTTTTGGTGTGCGGGCACACGGTGCTTTATACCATTGACTTCGAATACAAAGTGTACGTCAGCAGTTTCTTCGTTCAGATACAATTTTTTTAACCCTTCGCTCCAAATTTTAGTCGAAATTCCTGTTTGGTTTGACATTGTTCGATATGTGATGACATCTGTTTTGACTATCTTAATCGGAATTAGTCGATTTTGAGTGCATTTCAAACTGAAAGATTGAAAATTACAACTTAAAAATATGACCAGATAGAATTACACTTACTTTTCAATAGATATGAAGTTAATTTAACTAGGATACTTACGATGTTGAGTTACGTCCAGTGGCACCCACATAAGACGCAGTATAAGTTCTTAAAATGAACAAGCTATGCTATGGAAAGTGAACCGCTTTTTGCTGAGTTTTGCATACAGGCAAATGACACTTGTTTCGCAGACAACTTCATTGCTGAATGTATTTATCCAAAGAAAATATTATCTATTCCTCAATATTCCAAACCATACGTACGACGTGGAACAGACCCACAACAACCTGGTCTCAAATCGATTAATTTTTCATCCCCAACCGGTTGATATCTTTCTCTAAAAATCTATATACGAACCAATCCTTACACATAATAGGAAAATTGGTATTTGTGTCGAACGCCATGGCTAAAGCTATCACTGGTCACTGGAAATATATTTTTCTACATAATCGAATATGTATTTCGAGCTTCTCCATAGCATTTTGTGCATTAATTTGAAATGTTAGAGATAAATGAATATAAAGTGGTCATAGACGGCTTGATTATTTTTTTGTTTTAGAAACTCTTCAATATTGAAATAGCGTGTAAGTAGTTGTATTATACATTCTTATATTCAAAATGTCTATGCAACAGACGGTGAATCGTGAACGTATTGTACATTTAAACTAAAAAAAACATATTTTCGTTTGTTGCTGTCCAAGAATTTTAATTAATAACCTCTCATTAGTTAATAACTACCGATGAATAAAATTTCTACGCTCCTTAATGGGAAAATCAAAAAATCTCATAAGTTTAGAGTCTCTTACGTCGTTTAATTTACATGCAAATAGTATTTTTTACAGTATTTTTGTAGACAAATTATACCTCTTTCAGGGGCGTCACCCGGGGGAAGACAGGAGGTGCGGTTCCATTTCATTCATTATATTTCAATTCGATGGTGTTCTCATACGCACGTATCACACTTCCAGTCAAATTTTATCTCTTCAAGAGAGTGCACATAAATTAATTCAATTTAGCAATAAACAGAAAGTCACTTTTAAACATATTATATTTTTTTTATATTGATTCATTTGTTTCGAAATTGAACAAAATGATAGCATTGGCATTGGTAAAGGAATACATGTTCCTAATTGGAATTCTGAAGAATAATCGGACGAAAAAATTGCACCTTATAATGAATTGCATTTACTTTGAATCTGCTTCAATAAGTTTTCTGTCAACTTTTTGGTTTTTTGCATTCACCGCAAAAACTTTTGACGAATATGTTGAAAGTTTCTATTATATTTCATGTTCTTTGTTGATGCTTGCGTGGTATTCGAATTTCTTATGGCAACAAAATCGAAGCGCCCAATTTTTTAATAAGCTTGATGCCATAATTGAGAAAAGTAAGATTTTTTCATATTACTGTTTAAAGGAATTGGAATTTTTATAAATCGCTCTAAGTACATTTTAGATTGAAACTTAAAAACATTTAGTAATATTTTCACAATTATTATTGTGAATGTAATAGTAAATGCTCTTAAAAATTTATCTTCAAAAGTTAAAAAAAATCTTAAGAATTATCATGATCGATGCAACAAAACTAAATTATGCTGAGGCAATTTTTTGAAATGATTTTATTTATGTCAAATGTTAGGTTTTTTTTTTGAAAGTCTATGGTCCAAACAAAAATTTTAAATTCCGAACTCGATGTGAGATAATAACATTACACATAAATACAAAAATACTTTCTTTTAAATTGTTAAAACAGGATGCCGTAGTACGATCAACCAAATATTTTACCAGAAAACTAATGATATAGTTGAAACCTTGACTGCAAAGTCACATTTCATATTAATGAAAATCATAGCACCATTTTATGTGTTTTTCCCATTTGTGCTATCTTTATATATGAACGTTACGTCAAATAAAACATCGAAAAAAACGTTTCAACTCTTTTATCCAGCAACGTAAGAAATTATTTGATAAAATCGAATGTCTTCTTGATAATATTTCTCAAAAAAATTATCGTTTATAGATTTCCTTTCAATTGTTCAAAACCAGTTGGATACTTAGCATGCGCTCTGATTGAAGGCCAAACTGTTTATTGCATGGGCGAACTCTTTACCATAATACTAATATTTACGCTTGGTTTCAGTATTTTTATTACTGATTTTGTTTTGGACATTGAAGAAAATCTATGTCAGATAAATAATGATCTTATTGGAGAGGAAATCAAAGAGCCAACCGATATGGAACAAGTTCAAATGAAGGAAAAACTCATTGACATCATTTTGTTCCATTCTGAAGCAAGAGCGTTGAGTATTGTGCCAATTAAATGAACAATAATATTCTAATAATTTCTTTATTCGTTCAGATTAACAAGTCGTTTTTCAGATGTGATCAGTGGCATAGTATTTGCTTATTTAATATTTGCGTGTATATCGTTTTGCAGTTTATACTTGCAGATAAATTCGGTGATTATCAACAAAAAATAAATAAGATTTTACATTCTTTTCAATTATGATATCAATTTTATTTACTTTCTTATTAAAGCTAATTACGAATGAGAATTATGTTCGCATTCTACAAGTCTCAGGTCCTGCTATGGTAGCTGTGCTCTGGTTATTTTTCTTTTGTCATTATGGCAGCCGGTTTACGCAACGATTCGAGGACATTGCCGACGATATTTATCAAATTTCTTGGTATAACCTTCCTTTGGATCTACAGGAGAATATACCTCTGATGCTTGCTGTGGCACAGAAAAATGTGCATCTTGAAGGACTCTTCGGTACACGTTGTACTCGCGAAGTTTTTAAGAAGGTATTAACATTCATTTAAAAGGAATATCAAATATGAAAATCGGTACAATTTCTTTGTGAATTTCAGATTATAAATACAACATATTCTTATTTCATGGTACTGAGGACCTAACAAAATCGATTCGGCACCCTCAAAAATCTATGCAAACATATCGAAATCTTTGAATTTGACAAGCATTCTAACATATGTCTCAAATGTATTTGCACTAAATTCAGACGTTTGCCATTTGAACAACGAACACACAATATTAAATTCGTTTTTATTGGTATAAACCTTTATTCATCGAATAGCACATTCACTTTACACTGAACGGGCCATTGTCTTCGATTTTTCTCAGTATGTGTCGAACCTTCAAAATCATGTTTTGACAAACCGATTTGTCGATTTCTTTCAACATTCTCTCAATCCATCCAACCAATTGTTGTACGTTTCAAGTATTTTGAACATTCGACTATAACATACACCCAAAAATAGACGAGAAATAATTAATTTGGTGTCTTTTTGGTTTTTGTAAAGTTACAAAGATGGGTTTTTTTTCATGGAAATGCTATATTTTAAGAAGTGAGCCATTATTGTGGGTTTTTCTGCTTGCAAAGCACAATTTTGTCTTTAATCAGATAGTTCTGAACGAATTCTATTGATTTCAACAATATTTGGTTGATAATAGAGCAAGTCATTGAGGATAACCTTACTCCTACAAACATGTAATTTTGTTTATGCAGAAAACAATAAATATGTGTATTTAAGTGCAGATTTTTATTATTTAGTGTTATTTTAGGATAAATAGTCGATGTTTAAAATTTCAGACATAAAGCTGACAAAAAGTTGATAGTTTTTTTTTTCATAATTCATTCATGTAGATTTTGTAAACAATGAGGAATTTCATGCAGAAATTTTAACCGAAGAATCTTTGAGCAAAAACAAAAATTATTCCAGAAAATCAAACATGCAGCTCGCTTTATTAATTGATGTGTTTTCTATCCGCGAATAATAGTGCAGATTTCGCGAAATGGGTGGCTGAAGTAATAAAAGTAAAATTATTCGTTTAGTGTATGTCTAGCTGCATGGCTCAAAATAATTTTCTGACATAAAGAAAAATGTTGGAGTGGCTCTTGGTCCACAATAAAATCCATTAAAAATTCCGTGCCAAGTTGCTGAAAATGAATACTTTCAAAAATCAAAATTTAAATACGATCAAAATGATTAAATCCTCTGTAATGAAAGAAGAAAAACGCCAATTTTATTTAGTATACAATATGTATAATTTATTTAATCCACCATTTATCTTATACAATTTAATTCATTATTTGAATAGAAACTAAAAAAAATATTCTTTAAAAAGAAAAAAAAAATGAATTAATTACATTTAGATTATTAGATTTTTTCTTTTAAAAAAAGAAGGTGTTTTTCTATATATGTTTGTTGTGTTTTTATTTCTTCTCTAATTTTTTTTCTCTCTTCCCCGTTACTCGTTCAGTTTTATTTTGTTTGAACGCGTTTAATAGTTTTTTTTGCATACAATTTTGCTTCATTCTTATTATCTTATCTACTCCACTTTTTTTTATATCTGTTCGGTGTGTTTGGATCATTTTCTTTTTTAATTCCACGTTTCACAATCTCTAAACGTTTATAATTTGTGATAGATTCATTTTCTTGTTCAGAAAGCCATTTGCTTTTCTTGTATTTATTTCATCATTTAATATATTTTACAAAATATTTAGATCAATCGAGCGGCAAACACACCGAAAGCAGAAAAATTGTTGTGTGTCTTTTTTTCATTGTTGTTTTTTTCTGTCGACCAATTTCATCGGTTTGCCTCATGTATTTATTTTTGCATGGAAATACATGTTTGCAGAATGTTCTGAATTAAATTCATGACAAATGGAGTAGCGACCACCATATATATTTGAATCTACTCGCTGTTCATCTAAATATAAATCAGATAAATATGTGCAAAGAGGGCGGCGACGGCAATAAAAAAAAATCAATTCTAAAAAGGAACAACGCACGCAACAGCACAACAAACCGATAATTGAAACTATTGATTAATGTCAATGTCGAAATGGTTCATCGTGACATGTAACAATTAATCTCTATCTGTGTAATTAAGTCTGTGAGAAGAATTAATTTTCATATGGAGTCACGTAATAAATTTATTTTTGTTTTCTTCAACACATGTGTCACACGTACAGATGTTATAATGCCGATTCAATTGAAAATAAACATATTATTTTCCACTTACAATGACCATTCCGGCCATCATACGATAAATACTAGACGAAAATGTTCGCATCCATATCGCTTTCATTTGATTTGTTTTACATTAGGGTTTTTTTCATATACAAATTACATTTATTCCATATACTTTGTGAATATCTTTTAAGTAAATTAAACATCACCACGTTTTTTTCTTCTTCTACATCTTCAATTTCTCAATGACACACAAATCTTCATTCGAGACTCAATAATTAATTAAAATTATAAATTTTTCTGTACAATTTATGTTTGTTGTTGTTGTTTCTAACAATTGTTGTCTTTCGAATTCGTCGCATAATGCCATTTATGGCAATTTCGATCGGCCAGCGCTAGAATCCATTGAGCCGGCCACCAATCGGCTATTGGATTTAGCGCATTTCAACAACATTTATATTTCATTAGTTTGTCACTTGTTCTAAAAATTTATTTATTTGTTTTGTTTGCTTTGGATCATTTATGTGAATGCACCCATTTAATTTCTCACAATTCCTGATATTTCACCTACAAAAAGTGCAGCAATTTGCCACACGTCAGCGTGTAAGTGAATTCTACTTTAATCATTGTTAAGTATCACCATTGGTTTGTATTCTGCTTGCCTACTTTGAATTATATGATGCAGTTCAATTTTCGATATAAATTCTCTTGAATTTATGTCGCAGAGATAATCATAATAGCTTTATTTCTTTTATATATTATAAGATGTATGCGTTATTTTTTTTCATTTGCTCAAACAATTACATACGATAGAAGTTCAATTGGACACCATTAAGATTGACGAATGTTGACAACCAATATACGAATGCGCTAACAAGGAACCACCGCAGCAACCACCAGTTTGAAAATGTCATTGTATACCACATTCATTCTATCATGTCAAAAATTTGTCAATTTTATTGATTTCCAATTTCAAGCTTTCGCTCAATTTTAATTAATACTCATCATCATTTTCCCTGGCTACTCATTTTTTCCACCACAAATACACAAAATCGGGCAGCTGGTTTATGACTTTGCCACAATTTTTTTCTCCATATATTTCGATAGAATAATTTTTGTTTGTGTTTGTTGTGCGGTTTAATCATATCTTCCATTAAAATCAGGATAGACACTTATAGATTAGGCTACTTTTTACAAAACAATTCATCTGCCCGTTTCTAAATAGAGTTTGTTTAAAACTTCATGTTTTTTTTATCATTAGCCGCAACTTGAATACTATGTGAAATGCAACTCGTAATCACTCGTTGTAATATTTTTTCTTTCTTTGTGCTGAATATATAGTGTAAACTTTAAATTGTTAATGGTTTTTTTTTTTTTTCATTTTAAATATTGTTCGTAATGATGAAATGAAGTGCGCTCATAAGTCAAGCCGACATGTCGACTGCCCTCGGTGTTTTTTTCATGAATTTCACATATTTGGAGGTGTTTGGCAGTGAAATCACTTCAAAAAAAAATTCCCGTATTCATGCTATCTATACAAAATAATGTGTTCATTTCGTATCTTTTTTGCACTCACACTCGAAATATTCGTGTATGTTTTTACTTGTGAATAACATTTTATTGGTTAATAAATAATTTACCGTGTGTTTGAACATCGCTTGAATTTTGTTTGTGAAATTTTAAATTAAGAAAAAACACAGATGAACAAACGCACATTCACTTTAATTAACAAACGGTCATTCGGGCTCGAGAGTGTTTGGTTATTATTGTTCCTTCAGCAAACCGAAAAAGGAGTCACTTTTTTCTTTGTTCAATATTGTTTTGTATACGATGTGACAATTTTCATGCTTTCCACACTATAATTTAATTTACAAATTTTTCGTAATTCATAGAGTTTTTTTTGCAATTTAAAATAATTAAATTTCTACGACAATTAAATATTAAAATTTATAAATCCAATCCCTGTTTTCATTTGTCTCATTTTTTTATGCATTAAATAGTTTTTATTCTTTTATTTTTGTCATCAAAAGGGGAGTTCATTATTTTGCAATTTTGCAAAAAAAAACGCGTTTTCTATCGTCATTTCTTTTCGTTTGATCGAAATTTGATTCGATTGTTAACATATTTTTTGTTATGGTGTTGCCGTGATTTATGCTCTCATTTTGGTCCAAAAATAAATTGGGATTTTTTTAAATACAGACCACAAAATGTTTATCAATTGGTTTTTTTTTAAATAGTTTACAATTAAAAGAAAAACTACGAAACTCGAAAAAATCCTTTCAAATAAAAAAAAAATGTAATATTCTGTCACACATTTTACGTGCTCTATGGGACGAAACTAAGGAGTCTTTAAAAAAATCGAAGAAAAATGTGCCGGCTGAATCCATTTCTTTAGGAATTAGATCATGCTTTTGTTGTTGTTGGTTTCATTTTTTTTTTTTTCGTTTTGTTTATGTTTTCTATTTACAATTGTTATTTATGAGTCGATCACTTCACTATATATCTATATATCATTTATTTGTTTTTGCATTTTGTGGGGGGTGTGTGAGTGTTAGATAGGTAGTCGAAAAGATAGGAGGTATCGACACAAAGCCAGTAATTATTTAGAACACGATACATGTCACCACATATATAATTATGGAATTGTCTATAATTGATTCCATAGCTATCGTCGTCGTCATTGTCGTTATTGTTGGCATTGTCGTCACTCTAATTCAAATGCATATCGTGTCTTTATCTTGCGTGTGTTCTCACTAGCTTACGAACTAAATTTCTTATATTTAACTTGCAGTTTTCATAATAATTTGCTTCCCAAATATAATATCTGCCCCGTGAACAATTTTCAATTTGACCAGTGTTCTGTTCGCTTTTTTGCATGCACGCTTTTCGTTTTTTTTTTCAAATATCAATTATAATATACGTATAATATAATATTCTTTGTATGTTTTGTGTTGTCAGATCTCTCTAATGGTTTTTTCTTCTTCTTTCTTTAAAGTACAAATCCGAATAGCGTTTTGGCTTAGAGACTACATTTTATAAATTGTTTTTTTTTTTTATAGTTTGTGTTTAGCAATACAAGTTTCTCTTTTTTATTCCTTCACTAATTTATATCAACTCCTTACTGGTTAACGGGTTGTTTGTCCACTCAATGTCACATAGCAAATGATTTATGCACATGTTTTTTTTTGTTAGAAGGAAAAAGAAAATGTCGTGAACATAACACGGTCTACTGGTTTGTTATATCGCACTACAAATATTTGTATTTTTGTGTGTATGTATGTGTGTGTAAGAGAGAGAATATGTGTCAATGTATGGATCGGATGCATATGCGTCTATCCTTCAAGCTATATATTACACGTTCAAAACATTTCTATTTGTCGAAGGAACACAGACTGGTTGGGATGAATGTGGTACATCGTTTGCTGGATATTATGACACTGGAATTGATGATTCAGTATTTGGAACTAATTTTGTGGCAGAATTTTGTGGTAACGGACGTCGTTTCACCTTTTTTGCAGGCGATTCACATGCACCACCGCCACGTGACACTTGAAACAATACCCTCGATATGATCAATGCAACTTGTTGATCTAAAATGTGGCTCATCACAAGACCGAGCAGACGTTGTTCTTGTTGTAAAAATAGCGGCCGATTATCTGGATGCCGAGCCAAATGCAATAGTGTACCAGCCGTTCTTCGGAGCATATCTAAACTCGTTCCCATTGAATCGGGATTTTCACGCAAATAATTGATGCCATGTTGATTTGCAATGCCCAATGCCGTTTGTTCGGCTTGTTCGATAAACGCCACCAAATACGAAATGCATGGACTTTGCAGTGCAACTGTTCGTGCCATTGAACTTTCAGCGGATGCTAAATAATGCAATAAATTAACGGAAAATTCACGCAACACTTGATCTTCATTTCGGCATAAATGTCGAGTTAGTACTGAGCATAAATTTTCGAGGCGTGAGAATGGCGGTGTTGCAATCACTAAATCAACATTTGCATCGGTTACGCAAATCTTGCAGAGTGCTTCCAATGCTAATCGTTGTGGTGATAATACCGATGTTGGACCGCTCGACGGGAATGGATCTTGTCCGTGGGCCGACGGACATATGGCCCAGTGTAATAAACCATCAAGGCATGGTCGTGCGATGATTTCATCATAGTTGGTCAATTGCATGTGACCGGCAATATTGGCAACGGCCACCATCATATTTTCACGTAACTGAATCAAATAGTCCCACCACCATTCATTTTCGCCTTGTAAACTGCTACACGAATCAGAGAAATCGTTATCATCCTCACGATCGTAATTGCGAATGGTTTGTGTTCGCACCGGATGCTTGTGATGCAATAATAAAATTCGACCCAAAATGGCTAGGAATGTTTCAGAGTTGGCGAATACAGTTTCATTGCCGGGGACAAATGTCAAATTTCGTAGAATGTTTGATATTGATATACAGCGTCGTGCAACAGTGTCTTGACTTTCGCTAATTAAATATAGAGAGGCTTCATCACGTGCATAGCATTCATCTTCGAAATCGCCGATGCGACGACGTTTTAATGTTTCAGCCGGATCTTGAATTGTTTTCTTCACGTCGAATGAGTTCGTTGTATTGTCAGACTTTATACTTTCGCTCTCTTTTACATTGGCAGTTGCATCATTGCTCTGTGGCCCATTCGATAGTTTTTCCAATTCCATGTCAACCTCACGACAATCGCTATCCATAATTGGCGATTGTTCTTTTTTACTTGGTTCACTGCTCTCGCTAGTTTTTGACGATGTCGAATCGTCGGTTTTCTTCGTCGCCGCTGCTGTTGTTTCATTCTCATCCGTTTCCATTGGCTCCGATTTGATATCTTTTGTCTTTTCGATTGCCACCGCTTTATCGGCATCGTTTACATCAACGACTTTTGGTTCATCGTTTATGTCGTCAATTTTTTCTTCTTTTACACTAGGATTTGGACTATGTACACTTGATTTTTTACTATCACCATTGGCCGAATTTGGTGCATCGCTTGTGACCGTTTTCTTTTCGGCGTTCGTTTCATCGGCCGACGCTTTTCGTTTTCTATCACTTGATTTAATGTATTTTGCAAATGGAATGTTTACGAATTCACCTTTAAATGGATCAATAATGTGCGTATACGGATCGGGTTCGATGTGACCATATGACCAAACATCATTCTCTGCGTCAGTGTTGATTTGTTGATCAACATCGGCATGAATGTCCCAGTTTCGTTTTGAATCCAGCACAAAAATATCATCATCGGCTTCTTTTATTCGAACCGGCACACCTTTGCGCGAGCACATTGTATAATTGGTCATTGAATGGAACACAACTAAACGCTCATTTGGATTTGGCTGTTTGGTAACTTGTCCTAAATCAACAAATTCTTTGCAATCTTTCAGCAATCCATCGTCGTCCTCTTCTTCGTTATCGTCGTCGTCATCATTTCCCTTGCCATCCACGATTGCATCATCTTTGCTCAATATTCTATTATTTTCGGCTTTCAATTGTGGCTTTGCCGGTCGTCCGCTAAACTTATTACTGTCAAACATATCGGTCAAACTCTTTTGGAAATGATCGAGCAGCATATTCAACAGACCGGGTAAATATGCCAATGAAAACCATTGAATCGATGAATCGTCGAATAATAAAATGTTCAACACATCCAATGCCCATGTACTCTCCGACAATAGTCCTGATTGAAGACACATGAATATTCGCCACATATCCGTTTGACCGATGTCGGTTTTCGTAAGCCGCTTTCGTCGATACAGCAACGGTGTAACAGCTTCAACGCTATCACCTACATTAGGAGTTTTAGCTATATTAGAATACGCCAATGATATAGGTTTAATGAAATGAATTTTGTTTTAAATGGCCAAATGGGTGTTTTGATTTTGAATTTGATTTTATTTACTTACTCGGAAAGACAATATCACGTTTGGCGGGCGATGCACTTGGAAATGGTGCAACTTGTGTTTGTTTTGCCAACTGCGGCGGTGGCATTGGACCTGCAATATTTTTACCAGGAATTTGACCAGGACGTTGCGGTGGCCGAATGGCAGGAACATTGCTCAATTGTGATTGATTCATGCCAGTCCATTGCGGTGGTTGCACTTGATTACCTATATTTTTTGTCGGCGTACAAAATTGTTTCGGTTAGTTCTTTTTCCGTAATTTTCTTGAACGAAATTCATAAATGTTGGCCGACAAAATACCAAATATACCTGGATAGGGAGGATGTGTGTTTTGTGGTGGATAACGTTGTTGCTCCCATTGAGCATTTTGAACGGGCGCTCCCATGGGACCAACAGGTGGTCCCGGTAATCGTTGATTGGCCCATTGTTGTGGTGCTTGAGGATATTGACGATTATAATGCGATGGGCTGGCATTGCCCTGCCAATTTGGATAAAGCTGAGGCCGTTGATTATATGGAGCTGGCGCTGGTGAATATTGAGATTCTTTTGCAAAATCTGGATGACGCCTTGACTGCGGTGGTTCTTGTTGTCGATAATCGAATTGCTGTGGCGGTGGACCTGTTTTCAAATGTGCAAATAAATTCAATTTTAAAATGAAAAACTTGATTTTGCAAAATTAAATCGCCTTACCTTGTGGATATTGTGAAGGTGGTGCATTAGGCAATGGTCCAGATGGAGCTTGGGAAGATGGTGGTGCTTGTGTAGCACTTTGTTGAGCAGTCGGAGGCGGCGGTGGCTGATGCGGTGGCTGATGTGGTGACTGATGCTGATTATATCTGGCATCAGGAGCATCACCATAAGGTGGATAACGATTTGGTGCTGCAAATTGGCCTTGTTGAGGCTGTTGAAATGGTGGCTGTTGAGCTGGTGGACCGTACGGTTGTTGTTCGACTGGATATTGTGGCGTTGATGTTGCGCCTAAAATAAAATGATTTTTCCATTAGTAAATCTATTTGAAAAGTGAATTCAATGGGAAAAAATGGAAAGCGTTATTACTTTTACCTGCAGCGTTCGGTTGTGGATAGGCATTTGGTGGAACCGGAACGCTTGGGCCAGTTGTTTGCTGTTGTGTCTGTTGTTGTTGTTGTTGCTGTTGTTGCTGCTGTTGCTGTTGCTGTGGCGGCTGCTGTTGAGGTGGTGGCGGATATGCATTAAAACTATCCATGGATGCAGAACTTGAACCAGGTGGCGACTGAATTTGAGCTACTGAAATAACGGAGAAAGGCGATTATATATCATTCAAAGACAATAGAAATGACGATGATTTTCTTTACCTTGAAATGAGTCTTGTGAATTCGATGAACCTTTGTGGTTTGCGTCTAAATTAAAGAAAAAGAATGAAGACAAATTAGTAATCGTTAAAACAAATGCACAATCATCACATTTGCTCTTGTTCAACACTCACCTGGTGATGGAGCTGATGCGGGTTTTGGCGTTTTCTTCTTCGAATTTGATTCAACTTGCTGAATAAGCGGTAATGGATCAATGCCGCCACGATCAAACTGACATTCGAATGGGAGCAAATTCTTTGTGTAATGTTTTCTTAATGTATACGCTGCACTACTGCTAGCACCAATTCCAAGTATAGCGGCAACGTCTTTCCATAATTTACTCTTAGGAACCTGTACAAATGAAATAGTAACAAAATGCGTCAGTTTGATGTATTGTCGACCGAACGAATGAGCGTTGCTGTTTAAACACAGCACAGCGATTGCTTTGATCAAAAAAATGCTGTCATTTATACGTACCTTACAAACATCAAGAAAACCACCACGTTCTTTAACTGATGTGTATAAACGATACAAATCTAATGGTTGCTTCGATATCGCTGGACAAGCTGTGATCGGTGTTCGTCTCTCTTCCATAAAACTAAGCAATTTATCTAAGAATGGTCGTCGCTCTGGATTATCATCCATTTCATATAATTTACACAGACTGTCCGATTTTTGCTGTAACAAAAGAAATTGACACATTTATTTTAATTTATTGGTGGAACAAGATGAATAAAAAAGTGATAGAGGAAAATCGAAAATATTTAATACCTTCGACGATGATCGATGCGGTGTTGGTTCAGTGTGGCTATTAAAAACAGGACTAGCTGGTGTTCGTGGCCAAGTTGGCGATCCCATTTCGAAATCTTCGTGCATCGTTGGCGTGCTGCCAGCCGATGCTAAATGGCTTTGATTATATGGTTCTCCTTTTCGTTTTGGTGTCGAGCATTGTGGATCTGATGGATCTGATGCTATAAATGGATATTATTTATTGGTTAAATATTTGTTTATGTTAAATTCATGTTGATGCGGAAAGAATCGATTGCATTACCTGCTGAGGCATTGGAAATAGTACTGTGCTGACTAGCCTCATCAATTGTTGTTCCATCCGGGCCAGTTGTAATAACAGACGTTACAGGATGCTGTGACGATGATGATGAGCCGGACGAAATGCCATTGTCTTGTGATTCGGGAAGCGGGATCATACCTAATAACATCAATATGAAATCGGTTATTCAGTGATTTTTTTTATCAAAAAAATGATGAATAGTGTTGATGCTTACCGCCTTGATGAGTATTTCCAGCTTGTGAATTATGATGCGGAGAAAATGGTGGTCCCATGCTTCCTGGAGCCTAAAAAAATAAAATATTTCGATTATTTTCATAAGTTTCATTGCGGCTTCATGAATTTAAAATTGAAATGTTGCGTCTTACCTGCATTCGCGAAGGGGCTTGCATTTGTGGCGGGCCCATTGGTTGATGCATTCCCGGTCCATTTACAAAGCTTTGTGGCGATGTTGGACTTTGATTGCCGTAACCACCTTTGTGTAATAAATGTTGTTTCAAATGATTCAATGGACGTGGTGAACCGGGTGCTGAATTTGGTGCTGGTCCATTCACTAAATTAAAAAAATGGGAAGAAAAGCAATATAAAGTTAGTAAACGTATGCAAATATAATTTTCAATTGTTGTTATGTGCATAATATTGTAAGAGTTATTTGTTTTAGTTACCTGCACCGCCTTTATAAGCACCATGCATATGAGGAGTTGGAGGCGTCGGATAATTTCCTTGTGGGAATTGTGTTTGATTAGGCATGGGTCTGCCATATTGATTTTGATTTGGAACATGAGGTGCGTTAGCTGGACCATTAACTGTAATTGGTAAATGAAAAAGGTTCAAAGGAAAACCAGAAGAAAAAAGGTTAGTCCATTTAGCAACAATTAAAACTAATGTGAGTTTGTTGAATATAATTCGTACCTTGTCCATAATTTGATGGGTATTGTGGTCGAGCAGGATAGTTGCCTTGTGGAAATTGTTGCGATTGACTTCCATAGGGTGGCATTCCTTGAGGTGGCATTGCATTTGGGCCAGTTGCTTGTGGTGGTGGCGGATACTTGTGTGGTGAAGGTGGTGTTGGATAATTTCCTTGAAGATTTCTGTAAACACACAAAAGAAAACAATATAGATCCAATCAGTGTCGTGTTTGGTCTTGAATACATTTAGAAGATATGAAATAAATACCTTTTTTCGTAGAAATCGCTGGCCGATTGTGCATTCGGTATCATCGGAGATCGTTGTTGCTGTGCATTCGGATCCATGGGTTGTTGTTGTTCGCCTGGATGTTGATAAGGAGGTCGGTGATTTTGTGGTACTGCTGGTGACATTGACCTCGATCCTGAGCTTCCAGTTGGCGATGGTGTTGGTCGCATCGTCATTGAATTTGGTGTATTTGTCGTTGCCCCAGGTGCATTACTTTCATTGCTGTTCTGGCAAATTTCCTGCGAAAATTAAGAGAAAAAAGAATGAGATTAATAAAAAAAACGTGTCACTCGTGCATTAAATAAAACAAGAAAAATATGTAAAAATGTTGCATAAAAAAAATAACACAAATTGTATACAAAGTCAAATCAGAAAAGTTAAATGATCGCATGACACCGAAACGTACAAAAACAATGAATCAAGAAATGAATATCGTGTCACGCATTGACAACAATAAATATTCTGAACGATAATTGTTTGGGTAATAAATCGCCTGTAGCAGATAAAAAAGCGCTTAAAAGCGAGATAGCAATGAACGCAAAGTGAGTCGAACCGATAGAGAAAGAAAATGAAAAACAAAAAAAAAACACAAAGATACAGAGAGAATAAAAGTATGAATGCCAAATTGAAATACATATAACCGGCATTTTAAGCATTTGGATTTAAAACTTAAAATTCTTCGTATGTACAGTGTAAAGTGTTTACATAAGAGAGTGAGAGAATGAGAGACGTTTGCATACATACGCAATGCCAAACGGATTTATTTACGATGACTATCCCATTTATGTATTCTTTGATTCATGCATGCATTGCGTTCGCATACCGCCTGTCAAGTTGATTTCAAAAAGCCAGGCACGAACGAATGAAAAACCACAACAACAACGACGACGACGGCAATAACAACGAATGCGGCAACAATATTGAATAGCGCCTTAATTCACAAAAATGAATCTCTTCGATGTGTTTTTTTCGCTCTTTGTTTACCTAATGCTTCTCTGATGACTTTATGACTCATTTTCTTTTAACATATCTTCTTCTCTGTGCTTTGTGTTCGCAATATTATGAGAATTGTTGCTATAATGGTTTTGTATGTCTTGTTGTTTTTGATTTTTTTTGTGTGTTCATCCATACTTATTCTTTTCGGGAATTTTGCGTGCCTTTGATTTTTAGTTAGCTCAAATGGGATTGTATGAGCGTCAGATGTTCAACAGTAACACCTAAGCGAATGTGTCTAATAAGCATATTGTATGTATTAACTACATCAACGAAGCAAGAGAGCGAGAGAACAGAAAAAAAACACAATATAAATGAACAGCGAAACATGCATCAAGTACTAGCAGTCCACTTTATAGCTTCATGTTCATCAATTACGGCGGATCAGGCCACATACAATGAAATAATATTTCTCTGAAAAATGACGTGCAAATGAATATGAAGAGACACAGGGCGAGTGGAGAGGAAAAAAAAACAAAGAATCAACCAACATGCACGATGGCTATGATGACGGCTCATTCCAACAAGCATGCTTTTTGCCGTTGTCGTTGTTGTTGTTCAATTAAATGAGAACTCTTCTCGTCAGCTATGTGTTTCTTTTTTTATTATTATTCTCTCTCACTTCTTTTGAAGTCTGTCAATTTATGAAAAAAAGAGCCATATCCTCTCATTCGATACCTGAACACACTCAAATGCCCATATACACGGAGTCATTTGTCCATGTGTGTACGTGTATCTACGTGAGACTGTGCCAAGAGTATTTGGCGTGAAACTTTATCGAGAAAAATGATTACGAATGGCATGTACAGACACACCGATAGAGCGAGGAAAGATCAAAATCAAAGGAAGAATGTAATGCGAAAGAATGGGAAAAAAACACAACATCAACAAATAAATTAAAGAGAAGTTAAATGGAATAGAATAGAATACGAAATGGAATGAAGGAGAAAGAGAGTGAAAGAGAAATTGTTCAATAATAAAATCGACGTATGTATCGACTGTAGAACAAAAAAAAAGCGCGCGATTTTCATTTGTGATTTTCAAAGCGGTATTGCGCTGCATGCGCCTCTCTCCATTCATTCCAATTGGAATTTTCTGTTGAACTCTTTACTCTTCCTTTCTTCTCAAACCATTCTGTTCATCGTTGCCACTTCCGTTCAAATGCTTGACAATCAATTGTTCGATTTCATTTTAGCAGAGGATACATAAAAAACATTACTTTATCATATATCATAAAATATACAGGGGGAGGAAAAATTTTTAAGCCTGATATAGAAACACACATTGTATTTTTAAATGACTATATTTATTATTCAAAGTAGTCTCCATGAACACGAATGACACTTTCATATCGATGCTTCAATGCTTTAATTCCTCCTTCAAACCACTCGGCATCTTTGTCCTCCCATACGTTGAAAATATCGTTCGATATCTCTTCTTCGGACTCATATTGCTTCCCCTTCAGATATCTTTTGGTGTTTGGGAACAGGAAATAGTCGCTGGGGGCCAGATCTGGAGAATACGGTGGATGGTGGAGTTGTTCGAACCCACATTCCCTGATGGCAGCTTGTGCAAGCAATGATTTGTGAGGCGGTGCATTGTCATGCAAAAGAAGAACTTTTCGAGTGAGCAAACCAGGACGCTTTTCTCTGATCGCTTTACGCAATCTATGCATTTGTTGAGCATAATAATAGCCCGTGACTGTGGTATTCTTTGGAAGGAATTCAACCAATAATATGCCTTTGGCATCCCAGAATACAGAGGCCATTACTTTGTTTGTGGCAATTTGTTTGCGTGGCACTTTCGATGCTGGTTCACCACGTTTGTGCCATTCCATCGTCTGTGATTTGAGCTCTGGATCATAGTAGTGGATCCAGGTTTCGTCGCCAGTCACTATTCCTTCAAATGTGTCCGTTTCATTCCATTCCAACAACTCGAGAAACTCGTGTGCAGCAGCAATTCGTTCTTCTTTTTGGGATTTGTTCAACGTTCTTGGAATCCATCGCGAGCAAACCTTTCTCATGTGCAATTTTTCATGAAGTATGTTGTAAATACTCTTCTCTGAGATGTCAAACATTGCTGCTAACACTTTCTTGCTCATTCGAGGATTTTCGTGCACGTGATGTTCAATTTTTTGCACTACATCTGAAGCTGTTGCTTCAATTGGTCGACCTGTATGAGGATCATCTTCCAATGATTCTCTACCCCACTTGAATTGTTTTGCCCATAGTTTTACTGTGGCATACGATGGGGCAAGGACCCCATAAACAGCACGCAAGCGATCATTGATATCCTTTGGTGTCACACCTTCTTTTGTGAGAAACTTAATCACCGCACGATATTCGATTTTATCCATTTTTTCAAAAATATCGAGGTTGCTTGGTATGCAATGATGTTGAAAACAAACGACGACAGATATCAACTCAATTTTTTTTCTGCAATACTATTGACAGTTCGTACGTCAATTACAGCACAAGAACAATTTGTAACTAGTGCCGTCTATATGTCAGGCTTAAAAATTTTTCCTCCCCCCTGTATAACTAAAAATGTCTATATGTAAAATGAAAACATACAATTTTTTTTTCTTGTTTTGTGATAGTTGTATGATACAGATGAGTTGAGCCGGAGAACGGAACTAAAAATGTTCTGTACATTGAATTCATTTGTCATAATCTGCAGTGGCAGCCATGTGGAATTCGGCACATATTGAATTGAAAATTATTGTCTGTTAAGCTTGTTTTGCAGCAAAATATGATGATGGTGGAGCTAATTAGATTTCGAAAATAGCAAAAAGTCACTACTGGCAACGGCAAAAACCGAAGCCATTTCCAATGTTCAATGTTATATGTCTATGTTTATGTATGCATACCAAAAAAAAAAAAGTGACAATTTTAACCAACAAGCGCTCATCGTCATACGTCGCATGAAAAATGCTCTATAATTCGTTTCGTTGAAAATTATGATAGAAAAAAATATATAGAAACAGCAGAAACAGCAACATCATACACCATACACTCAACAACGACAACAAAACAACAAAAAGTATGCAACACAATTTTGTTTCTCTCTATCTCTGTGACACTCTCATCATACTATCTCAAGTGTTGCAGTGCTGTCATTTCGATTGTATGACGAGCGGTACAGTAATTTTGCAGTATTTTTTTCGCATGATCCATCGCTAAAAATGTTAATATATTTTTAATGTTAGCGTGCTTGGGTGTATGTGTGTGTGTACACAAATGTACTCAGCGAGAGAGAGAGAGAGAGAGAGAGAGAGCGGGATAGAGAGATCTAAATGCATCACGGTTATAGAACCTCGGAGGGCAACAAAATCATCACATGAATGCTTATATATATCTACGTTCGTTCAGTCAAGCAAATTTTATTCGCTCTTTCTCTCATTTTTTTCACTGTGTCGTACACAATTTTGCTATATGTGTATTTATCGTCAATGCTAATATTATTTGGATGCGTATATGCGCTATCCCTGTGTATCAATGTCATTTAATAAATTAATCTTATGTGAGCTCAAAGCGTTCATGCTTACACATGCTTGCTCGTGAAATGGTTGTGAATTTAATTGCCGATATTTACTTGTACACCCAACCGGTGATAAAGGACGATTGGAAATTCCATAAAAAAAATTTGTGTATAGAGATATTGAAAAACAAAATCCAGCGAAGGAGACCAAAAGGGATATACCCGCGTATTTTGCAACTTTTACTGTGTACAGTGTACACCAAACATTTATAACCGAATCGATGTGAAAAAAAAACGCCATACATAACAAAATTGAACATTGAACACTTGGCGCAATTTCGGTTTGTATTTCTGTATGGGTGTTGCGGTGTTTTCCATATGCATGTAGAAATGGACGAACAGACGGACGGCAGGGCATTTAAAATGACTATGGCAACGGAACATTTTTCGATCTCCCCGATCGGGGGAGAGAACGAGTGAGCGAGCGAGCGGCTACAACAAAAATAACGAACTAATCAAAATATACATATTCTATTTTTGCCTCCAATTTTCCAATGGATGGGACTCTCCCTTCTTGATTCTATCTTCATGCGGTATATGTACATTGTACAAATGTATATAGCATAGCATGCGAGACATAAATACATTTCGATTGTCATTGTGTTGTTGTCATCGTTGTCGTTTTGCAAAATAGAATTAAATGTTCAGTCGGTTGGTTGGATGTTCAAAGCTCGAAGCATTAGACGAACCATGTTTTTCTCGTCAA